CCCCCCCCCAACTTCCTCTCCCCGACCTCCTTTGTTCTTGTTCCTGCAGCTCTATAGGGAACTGTTGCGTACCATACTGTTCTTCGGGAAAAGCTCATTCCCTCTGCGTGACTGGTATGTCATCCGCAAGTGAAAGGCCACTGAGACCACCCAGCCTGGGTGGTGTGATCAAGACCTACTCAAGACTGCTCGAAGCCTACAAATTACCATGTGGGTTTACAATTATAGAAATCCCTGGTGGTCTTTTCATACGAAGCTGTGAAGCTAGAGAGATATAGTATCAGACGAGATTAGTCAATCTCTATCGAATTTCCTACAGATAAATCCGAATGCCTGTTAGAATATTTCAGGACACCAGATCTTCGAACATTTCTTCGGAGTGGTCCAGCGGAGACGCTTGTTAAGTGCCAGTGTCTTTAAAGATAATATTGTATCCAAATACCCCATAGCTGATTCAGGAATATATCCAATTAGCTAGTTCTACTTCGTTCCATTAGATCAGTTTGATTTCGATGTCTTCCCTATGATCTTCAGATTGAGTCTTGTCGTGGAGAATGAACCCAAGATGGAGGTTCAGTTCAGGCACCAGGGGTACTTTGATAGAGACCACCACTGGGAAAGAAATCCATGAGAGGGGTAATCGCTCGACCCCTTATTTTGTGCGAGCGCCAATGGCGGACATCCGCATAGAAGTTGTGCACGGCTGACGGATTCTCATGGATACACGTATTTTGTGAAATCGTTCAGTTCACAGGCGTGTATATAAGCACTAGAGTTTCAGGGACCCGACGTGTCGAGTAACTGCAACGCCATTCATTGTTTCTCAAGGAAATCGATTCGAGATCCGAGTGTGTTCTTTATATTTCGAACCAGTCGCTTGCAGGGACAGTACATATACTCAATATTGCCTTTGCCTATTCTGTCTCACGTCAGAAGATCACGAATTTGGCCATTTCCTCTCAAATGTCGACAAAGAAACACTCTTCTGGGGGTCGCACTGAAAAGCTGCGGGCATCTTGTGATACTTGCTATCTCGCAAAAGTTAAATGCAGCAAGTCTCGACCTTTGTGCAAACGATGCCTTGTATTAGGTACAAATTGCACATACAGTCCTTCTGCCCGATTAGGAAGAATCCCAAGGACAATTGAAAAAGGTGGATTCAAAGAGGAACATATCATCACTGCAAGAGTTCAGGTACAAAGGGAAGGACACTTTGAAACCAACTCTCCTACCATGAATACAACGCTGTTCAATTACGATGATGACAACAAGTCTTCCCAAGGATTCGAAGCAGGCGATGCCTGCTCAACTCTCCTTTTCCAGCCACTCCCGGAATATTCAACGCCTGAAAATCTGCTATACCCCGAGCCTGTACCTATCATCATGGACGGCAACGCCACATCGGGACCCTGCATAGAAAATGATGATGACTTCGGACTCTTCAGTAATTGGCTCTGGCGAACCAATCCAAATATCACAACGGCCAACATTCCGCCCGCATTTCTGGACAATTATCTTTTCCAGCCAAGCCCCGAAATCACAGATTTCTGCGCGCATAACCCCTCGGATGTGAGTCCCGATCGCGAAATCAACAGCTTCCCATGCGAGGCTTCGGGGATGGTGGATCTATTTCCTCCTGGTATCGGGACTGCAACTCTTCCTTGTCGTTCCAGCTGCGATTGTTTGAATGGCTTGTGCGTGGACGATTCAAGAAATCATCTGCAGAACTTCTGATTCGATGGGTCCTGTTTGGTATTTTGCTTATAACGGTTGCGCCTAATAGAGCAGCAACCTGCATCCTGTCTAAGGTACGTTCACATGCTTCGAATACCTCTCCTGCTGATGCGAGCTCTCCCATTCCAGAACACCTATTTGTATTTTTAGAGACTCAGCTTAATCAATTCCCTCAATTACTTTATTAATCAAATGCTATAAAGCTAATAGAGAATGTCAAATCAGACTTGGCGTGCAGATGGACGTTTTGTTGGGAAAAGAAGGGGGGGTGGGAGAGGTCGAGTATGAGGTTTCATGTGAGAATTGAAGTACGGATTGACCATTTCTATCACTGTTGGAGACTTCCTGACAAAGGAATAGGAAAAAGAGGTAAATTGATTTGTGCCGCTCTGGAGATATTTGTTGGATACCTTGCAGTAATTACTCAATTACTGCAAAATGCTATAAGATTTATTACAATGTTAACAACGTCAAAGCAATTAATGTATATAAGATATTCATCACTAGGTACTATCCCATACTTCTATTTCTGGTTGTTTAGAATTTGGAAGTTGTAGTTATTCATAATCACTCAAAGCCTTGTTTGTTGCATCACTTGAAGTTTCAAAAAAGTTCGCATAACACCGCGCGTTTATAGTACCTTATACAATGAAAATACTTACCAAGTATTACTCTATATTTATAAGATGCTTGCTTTGTTACCTACTATTGAAAACTCCTTTTGCCATTAGAATATTTATTCTTACCTTACGTTAACCATTTCCCTCCCAGCCGCTCCGATTTCCATATTTCTCTCTCACCGTGTGCTTGCTCTCCTTATCAATTCCTGATGTGCAGTAAGCAGTGTCTCAATTCAACGGCATGTGCCATTATTTCTCGAGCGATCTTCATATACGCTGGCATGCATGCATGCATAAGAGGATCGCCGGGTTCTAGAATAGCGTTCGAGAGCCCGCCACGATACCGTACTTCCCTCGTATCTGTGGAGGAGTTCCGGGTGGTAGGCGGGAAATAAAAAGAGTTGGCCGCCTTTGTGTCACTTGTTTTTCTGCAGGCCAATCACTTTGGATATGGGAACCAATTATCTGGACATGGATGCTTGCATGGGGTTTCCGGGTTAAGTGTGTCATTTCATTCGTCTAGTATATTATGTGTGGGGGTCGTATGTACGACTTCTAAGGCTCTCGCTGCATGAGAATAAGATACATTATCCCCTCCTATCGTGTACCGTGTACGTTCATCATTCATGGTGCCACCTACGCGACAGAGCCACCGCTGAGCTTGATGACTTGACCTTTAGGAGCAAAAAATCTTAGTAAGAGCGTAATAACTGCGTCAGGTAGATGTATTTGCTTACCGTTTATCCATTCGCTGTCGGGGCTGACCAGCAGTGCGACCGCTCTGGCGATATCAGCTGGTACGCCGGCTCTCTTCAGAGGGCACAGGCTGGCGATTCCCTTCTCGATAAGCTCCATGGGCATCTCAGGGTAACCGCCGGGTGCGTAATGCTGTGTAGTGTCAGATTGTCACCGCTGTGTGTTTGTGTGAGCGAGAAGCAACTTACCCATGCATTTGCATCGAACATCTCCGTCTTGACACCGCCGGGTGCAATCGCGTTGACGGTGATACCTTTCTCACCACAGTCAACCGCGAAGGATCTCGTAAATCCCTCCACTGCGGCCTTGCTACCAGCGTACAGCGCATGGTTTGGAACACCGCTCATGGTGGCGGCCACCGAGCTCATGAGGATGATACGACCACCACGGCCCAGGTACTTCAGACCCTGCTGTGCGACGAAGAACTGTCCCCGACAGTTGATGTTGAAAATGTAGTCGAAATCGGCTGGTGTGACATCTTCCTCTCTGGACCAAACCTCCGTTCCCGAGTTGGAGATGACAATATCCAGGTGGCCGAAGTGAGCCACCGCCTTCTCGAACAGGGCGAAGATCTCTTCCGGCTTGCTGACATCGGCCTGGAGCGCAATAGCCTTGCTGCCGAGCTTGTTGATCTCCTTCACTACCTCGTTCGCCTTGTCGGCGCTCTTTGCATAGTTGACAACGACTGAGGCACCTCGGGCGGCCAACTCAAGGGCCATTCCCCTTCCGATACCGCGACCGGAACCAGTGATGAGCGCAACTTTGCCGGCAAGAGTTGGAAAGGGAGCACTCTGGACCGGGGCAGAGTCAGTCAGCTGCACGGCGGCAGGCTCGACAGTTTCGGTAGCTCCTGGAGACATGTTTGGAGATGTGACTTGAAATTTTGACTTTTGACTTCTTTTCTTTTGCTCTGTTCTGGAAGCTCGAGATGTCCGCTGGATGATGTTCAACTGAAAGGAAACTGATTCAATACCTTATATGAACAAGACCAAGAGACTCATCTCGGCCTTCGCGCTTTCCGAATTGCACGAGCGTTCTCAAGCTGGCGCGGCCTTTACAACAAGACCCATGTTACACGCTCAGCTAACGCAGTCCGAATGCTCTGAGACCTCCACCGCTTTCTCAAAATAACTTCCTCGAGATCCGACTGCACACAAGTGCCTGGCTTTGGCTCCACTGGGAGCCAAAGCACACGACGGCCGTCCGGTTATCACTGGAGTTCCTGGCATGCCCAGCCTCCCGGTAATTGACAGTCATGCAACTACGGGACTTCTGTTTCTCGAGGGGAAGTCCGTAAGACGTGGAAATTGGCGGTGCGGATGGGGGTTGGGAGCTCCCCCACCGGACATCCGCAGCGGGAGAGCGTGTGGGATTCGGCCACCTCAACCAACTGCCGTCGATCACTTTCTCCTGCTTGGCTGTGATATGTGCGGGTCACATGGTCTTCATAATGCTCTCTGTATTCTGTACAATGCTGGTGTGATACTTACGATAGTTGCTGTCGTGTACAATTGTATTGCGGTGTTGAGGTTGAAAATGTTGAGAGTTGTACGTCGGAGGTTCAAAGTCCTTATTGCCCGACCACCGCAAACTCGCTAGAAAGGGGCAGTTCGCGGGTGTTTCTCCTGACTCTCTTGCTGAGGACGTCCGACTCCCTGTTTCAATGGTTGTTTTTGAAGCTTGTCGTCTTGGAGATTGATATCGGAACGAGCCGAACATATATTGCACTTATTCTAGTTTCGAGATAGTCAACTTGGAAGAGTTCACGCCATCTCTTTAGGCCTTTTCGGAGATCTAGAGCACGTTCCATCCATATTGTTTCATTCTATATATTTTTGTTGATCAACAGAGCCACTCATATGAAATTCGAAACCAAAAACATAAACATGAATCCTGATGACCTCTTCTAATAATTGGAATAATATAATAAGCTGTAGATATCTAACTGGGTGAGAGCAATCATAAACCAAGCCGTCGTTATTCATGTGCCCTTTTCCCTTTCCCTGGTGCCCCTTCCCATGTGATTACACGCAAAAACCCAAAGCGCCATCAGATCTATCGGTCCCCTGCCAAAGAAGATGCAATCAACGTAAGTAAGATGTGGAGTAACCCCACGTGCCCCATCATATAAGGCGAAGCTCGCTCGTCCCGATAAATGTACTGACTCGGAGTAATTACTCGGAGTTATGAAGTGAAATTAACGCCCCCGACTCATGTGGTTTTCCAGTTCCGCGAGAGCGTCTGGATCTTTCTTCTAATCCCGTCTGAGAATCTCGTCGGAGTTCCTTCATCCAGGAGAGCTAGGCAATGAGTCAAGATATCGTCCGGGTTGCCAAGCTTTGTGAAGCTACCGTCCCTCTTCATAAGGGCAGGAGTTCCGTAGAAGTTGCAAGTGTACGATTTAATGGCAGGGTCCTCCGGCGCTACTGAGTTGATCATAAAGACCGGTCCAGTTTCACGGCTCCCTCCGTTGGAATAGACGCGGGAGATACTATCTGCCCAAAGGATCATTGTGGCACGGTAGGCTGCCGCCGGCCACCAAGGAGGCCTTCCAGTTTGTGGCATGGCACTGATGTTGCGAAGAACTTGTCCGCAGTGGAAGATGGCTTTCTCTGGTTGGTAGATAAAGCGTTTGGAGCGCAGAGAGGACTCCCATGATGAGCCGTCAAAGCCGTCTCTTCGAGACAAGCGCTCGATCTCGGGGAAGTAGGTCACGGTATTCAAGCTAATAAGATGGTACAGTACCAGACTACCTTTGGTAATAGGACAATCCGGAGTTCCTTTTGTGTGAAGCATGCAGAGCTCATACCATTTCTGCAACGAGGACTGGACTTCTTCAAGACGTAATAGAGTCGATGCTGTGGTAAGAGGTCTGGAGCTGTGGTGACTGTCATGCATGCCGTAGAAGCAGCTGAGAAGCTGACCTAGATGGCAGACCAGTGACTGGAGAGGATGGAGAAGTAGTTTTAACCTAAACGGCGAAAGGCGCCGGCTTTTCATCTCTAGCTCGTCTCGGAGCATATCTTGAAACAGGTGGCTTAGCGACACGCCGGCATCTAGATGATTTGACGAGTGATAATCCGGACTGTTAGGGTCCGTGTACAGTTCCTGTTGGACGTTGAGCCATTCAACTGGGTTTTCTGCACGCCATAAACGTTCGGCACTCGGGAGTGGCGCCTGAAGCTCAGTGATCGACAGTATGGGGGCAGTGTCATGGAACAGGCTGAGTTCTTCATCGAGCATGACCCAATTGTAAACCAGCCTATTGATTTATCAGCATATAACCGTGGTTCCATGGTAAATAGTGGATGTGGGTTGTTTCTGGCCTAAGTGTCGACCAATCTAAACTATCACAATGGTGCCTGCAGGGCTATATAGGACCACCACATAATGCGGGGCTTGCTGAATGAAGAATTCTCATACCTATAAGTGTGTTCTCGCCGCAACCATTCTCTCCATCTCAGTTCCATATCGGCTGTCTCATCGAATGGTGAAACCATGGATTCTTGAGGCTCCAGCATCCCGCTATGTTTGAGCATCTTTCTTGTCAGTGCACTGAGATCTTTAATCTGGAAGTCGAACTCACTGCAAGATACATCCCCCTTTGAGCCCCCATGGCCATTTTTATATGCCATGCATCACCACCCCAAGCACACAGGAGAGTCAAGAGTAAAGCTGACTTGAGCACAAGTGGATCCGCCGACAGTTCAACGTTCTTCTCGATTATGTCGAAGATAGATATTCGGCATGTTTCCGTCAAACCCGCAGCGAGGAACCGGCCCTCAAGCATTGGGATAGAACTTGCTCCCTGAGCCATCATGAGCAGGAAAAGCAAGGTAGAGGTATCGTTGTCCAGCATCAGCTCATTTGGATCCAAGGTAGCGCCATGGCAAAGGCTATAATATGGGGCCAAGTTGCGGACTGCGCTACGCAGGAGATTTTCCAGGACGTTGGACGGAGGAAGTGTGAAGAAGGTACCAACACTTCCGGAATTCATGTAGCCGAAGTTGCTCTGCCCGCTATTGTGGGTCCTCAGTGCCTTGAGAAGAAAGCTCTGGGCGAAGGCGATGATCTTGTCTCGCGTCGTTGATAGGAGAGGAACGATGGTGAGGGAATTGTCATCACTGTTGAGCTCATTTGGTAACATCAGATGGTTCAGGGAATTCCAGCTCTCCTCGAGTCTCGAGCTTTGTTGGAGCTTTTGCAAGTGGACAATTGCCGTCCTTGGACAAGATCCGGAGAAAAGCCTGGGATTGCACTTGATAAAGGGCCATCCTTCTTCTGCAGCCACTACAAGATCCAGCTCTTCGATGGGGCCAGTATTAATATCTGGCCCCGAGAAAAGAGGCGATGGCTCTTGAAGCCGGGGCTCGATTCGTCCTTGCCATAGATTGCTACTGCTGTTGGTGCGGCTATGGGACAGGGAGGTCGACCCGGACGGGGATGGTAGGGTAATGCCGACAGCATCTGATAGATTATCCGCCAACCCCAGGTTTGAAGGAAAGTAAAGCATTGACGATTGATTAGAGAAACCGATCCCATCACTTCCACACATATCAACATCCAAGGAACCATTGTTCCACAAATTAATATCCAAGCCGACACTCTGAGGGTCAAAGTCCCCATTGGCATTCAGAAAGTCATCAACTTTGACAATTCCTCCGTGGGATTTCAGCATCTCGAGAGATTGCGGAGAGTACTGGAAGCCTTGTCCAGGATTCTCTACCGAGTCCTTTAGGGGATTGACCCACATGGGAACATCTGGATGGGTCTGGTTTTCCTGCAGAGCGCCGTCGCCTTGCAGTTGGTTTTCCAGAACCAATTCCGTAACACTGCTTCCTCTCGTCTTGGTCGCATTTTGGTATTTAGCAGTCGGACTTCCGTTGGCTGTGGATGCCCGCGAGATTATCCCTTTGGAAGTTCGTCGGGCAAAGCGAGGAGCACATGGCAGGTTCTTGTCGGCACACCTTGAGCATGGCACCTTCTTATCGCACCCTGCTTTTGCCGTTGCACAGTTGCTACAGGCTATCGGCGTCCTGGAGCTGATAGGTGGTTCACCACCTGGGCCCTGCATCGAATCTCGGACTTCATGATAAGTCGAGTGATGCTTCTGAAGGAGGTCCCTAGAAAACCCTTTCATCAGGGTCCTGCGATCATTCATGGGTGAGGCGGAAATTACCTTCTGGCAAAGGATAATTGGCATGAGTCGCATTTGTAGGGCTTCACATTAGTATCTGGAAGAAGCTGTGTCAGTTGAGTTCCTATCAAACCTAAGGTCCGATCAGCTCCAGGACGACTCACGACTTGGGAGATGTCTCTCGAGATGCTCCTTTCTCTTGAAATTCTGCCCGCAGTAAGCACAGAACACCATGGTGCCGGTGGTCGTCTGGTAAAGATTGAAATTTGATCTCCGGTGAAGCGTGCTATTCCTCCATAAAGGATAAAGGGTACGATGTTTTCACATGTACGGAGCGAATGTCTCATCGATCCCACTCTGCTGACGTCTTAGGTAGAAGTATCTAAATTTGCGATGCTGAAGAAGCAAAGCAACACATAGGGGAAAGGGTATTACAAGGCGTGACGCTGAGGTGAGAACCTAATTACTGATATTGACTATTGACCATGTTCAATAGCACCTCGGAGGAAATCCAACATGGATCAAGTATTTCCTGCACCGGCTACCTAGTTTTGCTGTAGTGAAGAAGACTATTCTAAGCGAAGTCTGTGTTGGGCAGTAGAAAGTGGGTTTGCGGAGTCCGTTCGTGGATCCCAGACCGTCTCGTAGAGAGAACTACCCTGGATGGGATCTGCACGTCACCCAGAGACTTGTGGGAATGCCTTGCCAGTTGCTGGAAGAGCTGGGACAGTTGGGTGAGATGCAATGTCGGACAGGACGATAATCGATATTGTTGTGGCATCGACGCCATGCAATGCACGTTTCGGCGATCAAAACTCCCAATGCGGCCAGTGACGGTCGGATAGGTCCAGCCGTCAAGGCCCTTATTGTGCCACGGGCCGCTGAAGATCCTCGAAGACCTGGGGGCGGGATGTGGGACGTGTGGAATAATGGAACAATGAGGTTGCGTTGCTGCTTGAGGGCTTGAGGGCCTCTCTGCCGCCTCTGCTTACATACATCGCGAGCGGTATGATCATGACGCCCCCAACTATAGGATCCGCCTCCGAGCGGCTTTGCCGTCCTAAGCGGACAAGATGGGACAAGGAGGACAAGCCACGGGGAGGAGGCAGCTCAAGCCTCGTTGGAACTTGGAAGCCCAAGGCAATGGTCGATAAGGGCCATAAGGTCTAGTGCGGGGTATTGATGGACCTCTCAAGGCTCAAGCAATTCCTGGTAATAGTAACCCTTGGAGTGGAGAAAGCTACCAATTGGAGCTTGGCCCCTGCTGTAGAAAAGAGGCTTAAAGAGCCACCAAGGACAAGGCGCCGGCGCTTTTTTTAAGGCTCATATGTCTCAAGTTTCATCTCAAGGGTCGACCTGGCAGCTTTAATGAATCGCTTAATATGATCTGCATACCGATTTGGAAGCACTGACAGAGTATGATGCGTGCCGAAAAGGAGCTATTCTGACACTGCATACCCAGAATCCCTCAAAAGACACACCGCTGCCAAATCTCACAGCCACCCAGCGACCCTCAGACGGTCAAAGCATGAAACATGCCACCTGCCGCTCAGCCGTTCTCCCCCCTCCATCCTGGCTCCATGCCCTGTGCTCCATGCCCTGTCCCTACCTCTTCGGAGCCTCAAAGCCCTTGAAGATGCTCTCGAATTCATACTCGTTCCACCGAACATTCGGTTTCAGCCCTGCAAATTTCCACACGCCATCCACCTTCCTATAGTAATGTTCATTGGTGGCATGGCTATGACCCCTCTTCTCTTCAACAAGGTGATCAGGAGCTGTGTATCTCAAGTGCCCTGCACGCAGCTGGTGATGACCGATGATCTCTGTATCCGAAACCTTAATCCATTCCGTAGCACCGAAAAGGTGCTGAGTTTTCAGGAGTGGATCCCCCAAGAAGCCTGGGTCAGAAACCATGGCAACGAAATCCTCAGCGGCCATCTTCTCCCACTTCTTTCCGGATACGTGTGTGTAGTCGATCTACCCATGCGTCAGTGGTCTGCGAACATTACACCTAGGGGATAAAACGAACGAGCAACGTTGGTGCCACGATTCCACGCAACCGCGCCCAGTCCTGCTGTAGTGTTAGAAGTGCTTATGGATCGGCGTCTGCGGCTGACTGGAAGGGTATAGTACCTTGGCGTCATAACTGTCAGCCCAATTGAAAGCGACGGCACTGACCGCAAGGTATTCTGTGGATTGTGGATTTCATCAGCCTCGTATTAACCTCGAGGGTATGGCAGCCATTAGATACCGTGTCGCCAACTTACCTTCAAAGGTGAGGCCTTTGCTTGCAGGCATTGCAGGTACGACAGAACCCATGGCGAGTTTTGAGTTTCAATAGAGCGTTTGACTGGAAATCACAGGATGGTGAACAATCTGGAGAGGTGGCCTCCTCTATACTTTTAAGCACAGCTCTTGGGACGTCCTTCGGTGCTAGAAATAGTCGAGGACCACAAAATGTCCTGACTGCGGAGGCAATTTCCAATGGCATTCGGACACCGATGGGCAGTTGGCCTGCGCCCAGGCAGAAGAGCTGGCTCCCGGACCCGGAGATGGGGCTTTGGAAAGCTCAGGAGTCCTCCACGGGACCCCGTAACATGCATGCTACCGTCTTGCGGGAGTACCTGGGATAGGGGAAATCCAATAGCAAGATGCTGCCATACGGAGCTCTACAGTGGAGCACAACAGCCGCAGCTCACGAGCGGACTGTTGAACGGATCTGCGGACGGGGAGCGAGTCGTGGCATGGTAGTTGGTACAGACTAGTACATATGACCTGGGTAGTACCGGTGCGACGGAATCATGAATGGGTGGAACAGCGCGAGGCTTGCACTCCGCCAGAAGACCTCGATGGAATAACAGTTGGCGGATGGAGATCTCGTCGGCAATTGAAGCCAGGAAACCAAATCAGATGAGTAAGCAGATTCCGGACTTGCACACCTTGCCTAACGGGGACGGCGCTCGTTCGCTTAGGGATTCAACAAGATATCACCGCTTATGATGAAGTTACGATTCTTTCGAGGAAAACAAGGAACAAAAGAGAATGTGAAACATATACATCAACATGAAAGCAAAGAGGGACGAAATCTTCGAAGCCTCGAAAGATGATGGCATTATATTTCTAGGGCCTTGTGTGAGCTTCATGTGTCGACCCTTCTCAAACCTGTGTCCAATGCCGTCAACGGACAAATGCCCTGTGGTAGTGTCTTACCAACGGAGCCCTGGCTGGCCGTACCATCGACAGCTGGAGAGTACGAAATGTCACGAGGCTTTTGCAACGGACGGAGGGCGATGCTCCACGTAATATTGATGCCCGCTCATAGTCAGCAGTCTAGAGCCAATAGCGAACATGGCCGTCGAATCAGGAAGAGCACTGCGCGCGGCACGAGTAAGTACCACTCGCCAAGTAAGGTACAACAGTCAACTTTTTCAAGAGAGCTGGGACTGTGGGAGATTGCGAGACTGTGGGAGATTGCGAGACTGGGAACTTGGATAAACACTGACATCAAATTGTTGAGAAGGCCCTGAATATGTAGGTAGAGGTATTTCGACACCGTCATACCAGCCATCTGATCTACATGCTGATCTAGGGCTCTGACTCGATAACCGACTTCGAACGCACTGGCTCCGTCATCAAATCCAACTATCGCGAAGAGGAAAAAGAACAAAAGAATCTGATGTATTTTTCACAGCGTTTTCGTCAAACTTGCGGTCAGGCCTTGCTTGACTCGTTCGTAATTGTTTTCAACGCCTCGCATTATCGTATATGCATTGTGCACTCCGTATTGATACAGGACAGGCGCTTGGAAGTACCAACGGCTGTCTTCCGCAGGACCCCTACCTCGCGGCTCATCAGTCTATTGCGGCGGCTTGTTCTTAGTCTGAACCTTAAATCATCAAGCCTCAACGGGAAGCCTACCAGAACTGCCGGCCTCCTTACTCGTGTGTAGAACACAAGAGGAATTGCGGTGACTGAATTACTTTTGCATTGCATTATGCCTCCTTATCTTCGAGAACGATGGAACCATTTCATTGTTTGGAGTGAACTGCATTCGGGAGGAATTTCCTCGAGGCCTTGCCTCAGAGTCTTGGAATGAACGGACAACTAAGAAAAAATGGTGCGAGATAAGGAAAGGGAAAAAAGGAAATTTTCAAAGATGGATGTTCATCTCACCGCTCAAATCCAAGGCGAGGGCAGCATACTCTAGATAAGACCCTGCGATGAGTATTGGACCTTTGATGATCTTCAAGTTCGCGATCTTTATCCATTTGGCTGCTTTTCTGTCTTTGATTTTCTTTTCTTTTGGTTTCTCCTTAAGGGTCAAGACGGGTCGACCCGATCCACGTTTCTGTTCTGCGAAAAGGGTCGCGACGGAGTATTTCTTTGGCATCAACTCTTTGACCGCGACCCTGCAACAGCATACATGTCTCAAGAATACAAACAAATGAATCGCCAATGCTTGATACGAGTTTGTTGCTTAGTCGATTAATCCTATCTATCAATCGGAATCCTACTGCCGTCGGGATTTTGGGGAAGGAAGGGTTCCTTCCTTGATATCTGGAAGATAGAAGCACTCTAGTGAAAATGTCGCCAAAAAGTAGGAGTATGTTAGGGAGTCCTATCATCACATACATAGAGCACATAGAGCCGACGGGTATCATACTGCTTTGGTCTAAGAGGATAGTTGCATCCAGTACTACGATAAAGGCGAGAAGAAACAGGTTGGCCTCTGGGGTATGGCTTTTCTCAATGATGTGTAACCTCTGAAGCTGTCACAGCTGGCGGGCTGGAACGAAAGTAGTAATCTTCGTAAGGGGAATTCCAAGCTGGTTCGAATTCTAAACCTTCGGAATGAGGCCCGTCTTTATTTGGGGGCAAGACAGATTGGGGTATGTCTTGCGGATAAATGTACGGCTGCGAGAAGTTCATCTCCATCTTTGACCTTGGACGCGAGGCAAATCATATTATTATTGGTGAAGATGATGGAACAAATCTCGGCTTTTGATCTACCTAGATCATCCATAGTTAGAGAGTTGGAGCGCGAATATACGACATGAGATTCTCTTACGATACATAAAAGTCAGTTGTACCCTTCATCGTACACTGCCCTTGAAGGCGTAAGAGGCGGTTTCTATGATATGTATCGACGCTCTTAGATGATCTGCAAAGTCATGTGGTGCAGGACAGATGAAAAGCAAAGCGGCCCCAAGATCTTCAGGGTTTGCTCATATTTGAATGAGGTCTTCCCTTTCACTCGATTGCTCTTACTGGACCCATCGATCAATCCCTATATACACAACGGAATGGAAATGAATATAAAAAATCAGAAGTTCAGATATTTGAGACAGCACACAGTAGGTACCGTGTGAGGGACAGTGCAGAACTTATGTCGTGACACCCTTTTTGCTTGCATCCACTAACAAAAGGGCAACAATGCATATGGCATCTCGCCATTCAAGTCCAATCGTTCGGAATCCGGTAGCTACCTAATTCCATTGCAACTCCCACTGTATCGACAGAGAGTTTTGCTGCACATCGCATCCATCCAAAATTCAGCACGAAATCCATCGACAGTATCTGTCTGTAAATAAATAAAACGGGCGTGGTCATATCACTACACGTGATGCGGCCGCTTCACCCGAGTATCAACCGACGACAATGATCGCAGGTCTTCACTCGAGTTACTACCCCTTGACACAGGTATCTCAAATCCAAACACATCATGGCAAGCCTACGAATGCCTATGCTGCGCCATGTGGTATCTGGCGCAGCTCCGTACTTACGGGCCTCTCAGCGGCGATGGGCGCAAGTTCACGATGTCCGCTTTTTAGCTACTCAGCAATCCGACAGGATTCTAGCGAAATACAAGGAAAAGCTAGACAAAAAGGCAAAAGAGTAAGGTTATTCGGTGAAATATACCATATCCCCAGTCTTAGAATGGGTGCTAATGTGTAATTGATGAATAGGGAAGGTCTGCGCGACATCAGCGAATTGAAGGAGGCATACAAAGACAAGATCCAAGAGCTTAAGAAGAAAGAAGCTGTCCCAATTCCCACTGTGACACCCACCGAATCGCCAGCATCACCAGAACTGTCAACTTCTTCATCGCCGTTCCCACCACCCCCACCTGCTCCGCAAGTACCTACCAAAAAGGACTCCTCATCCACTCCCGGTCTCAAAACTCTTTCCTCATTTCTTGATCTCGAAAAGACAAGGGCACTCCCACAGAAAGAGATAGAAGCAATCTGGCGCCTACGACATGTTAATAATGCACAATCACTCTGCGCAACAATTCCCCTGGAAACATACCGAACCATTGAAGCAACAGCTAAGAAACATCCTCACTTCATCCTTCCACTTCCGAAAGAAGGCCAAGGCGCGGAAATACACTTCCTGCAATGGACCTTCCCGGCGGAAAACACAGTTACTGTACTCTTCACTCATTTGGCAGAATACAAATTGAGGGGCGAATACAGTCAACCACATACAACGATTACCCATCATTTGGAGTTGGCGGAAGACAAAGAATTGGTCTTGTTACAAGGACAAGTTATGGAAGGTAGAGGGGTGAGTGTGGACGAGGCCAAGTGGTTGGTTATGTGCTTGCAGAAGTTCTATGGGATGGGCGCGCAGAACGCTGAACGGAAGAGACTCCTGGAACAATTTGGAAAAGGGGATCCAGCTTTCAAAGTAGAGGATCTGGTCGAAGAAGCCGAGAAGATTGTCTAGTCCATGGGATAATAACATGGTTGTTGGATACCAACAATGTCAGGGGGGCATTGGGCATGCGCTCCGAAGGTAATGAGGTGTTGTATTGACTTTGAAGAAGGAATTGAGAGGCTCCGTTGAGGCTCTTAACGGTGGTAGGGGCCCCTTCTGGCTAGTCCCAATTGGGCGATACCCCTGAGTAAATGTCCCGAATCTCTTTCAAACCGAGGGTCATATGTACAAGTGTATAACAGGAATATAAATTAGAATATACCTCAGTTGATGATTCGCAAATTCGATGAAGTTTTATAGCGAAATAGAGTCAGATAACTAAAGCTACTCGGATAAGGAATGCTCATGCAAGGCATCAGTGCGTAAATATATTCTTTATCTTGTGTTTCTATCACGATTTCGAGGTCCTGGCTCGAGTTACAGGATCATAAAAGCAAGGATAGTATCTCCAGGAAGTTTGTTTGTATGATGATCTTTTCTAGGTTCTTGATAGAGCCAAGGACAGAAGGAAAAGGAAGAGATGATAGATCAGGCATTGGAATGAGCGCTTCCAATGCTTGATCGGTGTTTGGCAGAGCAAGGCCCAAGAGAAATGTAGCAGCTTGCAGTCTTACACTATATAATAATGCGGTCCCTACTTGGAGTCGATATACTGCAATCGTCGAGATGAGAGTTTGGTCAGCGAAAGTTGTTTTGCAAATATAAATGCTTAAGAAGTCGCCTGAGGATTTTATGTATGATACTTTATGATTGCCTGTGAAAGCTGGCGATTTTCGCGCATGAGCTCTCAAAACAAAAAAGTTCGAGACCTTGAGTGAATGTGTGGGATTTCGAACGCCTGCGCGTAAATTCAAGACGGCCACGCCTGTTCAACACACAACACAACACGCTTTTTCGTAACGCGCGCGAAATCAACAATACTGCTCTGGATCTTCGAGTCTTGACAGAAGTGAGCGAACGTTTGGCAAAAAGTTACGTTCAAGAGAACCTATTTTTTTGAGAGAGAAGGCAGACAAGACCGAATTCAAAACAAAGTTCTCTAGATCGAGTTCTCGGTCTGTTGAAGAACTTCACCTTTTTATGCGCAACTTTCTTCGCCTTGCGCATCTCATAAACACATACGTGCCCTTGTTCTCAGATCATTCGACATAATTTCGACGTAGCTTCGTCGCTACACTCAATCTGTCTCCAGACGCGTCAAGTCGAAGCGCAATCCCCGCGAATATCTTCTCGATCTGAAGTCATGGACTACACAGCCTCACCACAACTTCCTTGCGACACAGGATCCACGGAACCAATGGCATCTACATCAAGAAAGCGTTCGCGAAGCCCATCTGCTGAACTCCCGAATGAGAAAAAGCTTCGCGACAAGAGTCCTGAGTTAGATTCACGCCGAGATCTCCTTGTCACCCCCAAACAATCCCAATGGGAACCGATCATACAGCCAGCAACACCACCACAGAGGGGTCATCCTCGGGCCAAGCTCAGGGAAGAGCAATACCAGCAGCAATTAGCTGATACTCTAACCCCGAGCCTTCTGAATCACCAGAGGTCACTGCCATTCACTCCGGCAGCAGAAACTTCCCGCGAGTCCCCTCTCTCACCTCTCCCTAAAGTCCCGGTCCTACCATCACTGAATGGCATGAATTTGGAACATATTCTCCAAGGAGATACGATTTCACTTGGTTCTGAGCAGAAAAAGGAGATCTACAGGTGGATGAGGAAGAACAATGCTCGCATGATTGGCAATCACCGAACCGAATTCGTCCAGCTGCTCGACACTCTCGGTTTCACGGACCCGACACTCGCCCCTCTTGTACAAAAGCCCCTACATACGAAGCTCCGGCATCTGATCATGCGAATTGGAGTCGAGCTTAGGAAGACCGGAGTCATCATCGTTTCGAAGGAGCAGGGCAAGAAGGAGGTTGTTCGGTTCGCTAAATGGACTGACAGCTGGCTTGAAGACGACTGGGACGGCACGATTGCGAAGCCGGCTTGGACAAATCAGTTCATGGCGCCGGATTCTGACGATGAGGCATGGTTAGGGGGAGAGTCGGCCCAGCCACGAATCCCAGCAGCCAATTTGGATTCTTCCCCTGCTGGTACTAAGCCGCTCGTGATTCAGGAGCAGGAAGCTGACAACAGTGATGCGCATGCGGGGCTTGCTGGTCAGAGACGAGGGAGCGATGCAATGAGAGACTTGGAGGAATCTAACAATAGAGGCTTCCCTTCCTCCTACCGCGCCATGCATGGTACTCCCGAACCCAATTACCCGGTCGACATGTCGCAGCTACCACAATACCAGGACGTCCCGCTAGCACCCGTTGGCCGCAACACCCCCCATAGCGCGCAGCTCGCGTTCTTGAACGTCGTGGCAGCTGTTGATGATTACTTTCATAAAGAAGACAACGAGGAAGAAGGTTTTGAAGCTGATGATGAGGATTCAGATTTCGCATTGGTTGATGAGGATATCGCGGAGGATTTGGAGATAATATAATGCATGCATGGAGTATGAAGATGATGGATCGTCTGTCATCACCAATTTGGATGAAGATGGCTATGTGATTGCTGGGTGGGAATTGCGAGGCCTGTTTTTCAATCTCTTATGGCTCTTCCCGTGGATTATTGAACGCGTGCAAGGGGATAGTGATAAGACTTCATCGACTGCTATTGGATTTGGGATTTGAAGACCACCCAATACTTGGGAGGTTGTTTGTTGAACGTGCTCTGATCGCTGGACAATAGGATACGATGAAGACCGATTCTACAATGGTGGTTAGTGTATGTAATAGTACTTGCCAGGCAAATTAACAAGATGTTAAGCATCAAAATCTGTGGAAGCAGCGAGGAGCCGTATCTGCTGATCTGCGTGATACTCCCGGGAATGAGTATTTAGAATGGGGTAATCCTGCTTGTATCTGGTATTTTTGGCTGAAGTAGGCAATTCAATCCAAGTGCTGGCTTCGATGCTACCCACTACTCGAATCTCTCTTATTCTAGCCGCTACATAAGAGGGGTCATTATCGGAGCTTGCAAGATCTACGACTTCGACATGAGAGATTTCAAGGAACATGTATTGTCGATTCGACATCTAGTCTAATGAAAAAGCATCTAAATCCTACAGGCCACATTCTTATCCCCTATAAATATCATGATTACAATATCTAAGTGGTACCCCATTATGTAAAGCTTCGTGTCTCCGTCCTACTAGAGACCTCATGAACCTCGTCCTAATTCGCCCAAGCCCGTATCTCTCTCACGATTCTGAATTCCGACAGAAATTTAGCTAAAGACTTTCTACCCGTGGAATTGGATTTAAATACTTGGCGGACCCATGGGTTCAACCATATTATCTAGAACCCAACCCATGGGTTTCTGCGCAGCCCAGGCAGAGCAGCTCAAGAGCAGCTGATCGTCAGGCTCGGGATCCGTCATCTATCGTTGTCGAAAGGGTACTCAAGGGTAACAACGACATCTATACAGCAGAAATCAGTTAAAAGGCAGCCAAATCATGATAGTATACACAGAGAAATGCGTCAAGCCAGATGAGATTCTGTCGGGGGACTCGGAAAACACTGTTTCACCAAAGACAGCAAGTTTTGTACATTGTCCTGAAAAGAGTGGATAAGAGAAACTTGGCTGCCCTTTGTCACACATAGAAGACAAACTTAAGATATCCTGGATGATGGGGTCTGATATTACCGCACGAAGAATGGAGGTTGAGATAGGAGACTACTGGTAGGCCTTAGCGAATCCGTTTTCTATAGGGCGGCTAGGGCCCTTGCTCAGCGAGTGCGAGCGCTTAGAAATATACCTACCGAATGAAAACATCGTAGTTTAGGATCCTTTGTGCTCTTACGTGTAACTGAAGTGGTACCTATTGTTCAAGCTTTTTCGTTTTACCGTGCAGGTAGAAATGAGATCTTGGCCGGTCTGTTCCCCTGGAAGAAAGGGAGCCGAGAACTTGAACCCCTAATTTTAACCGAGTCTTTGTTGACAATATCAATCAGGTGATGTTAAGGTCACTGCCATCAAAACCAACGTTGCCGTTGTTGACAATGCGATGTGCAACAAAACGCCATAATCTCACATGATTAGTGCTAATCTCCCTGCCATCAAAGCGACGTTTAACACTCCCGAGATTGTCGTCGGTGCGATATGCAACGAACCTTCCTTCCACCTCCCTTATCACGATCCCTATATCACGTGATGCTAATCCCGCTACCATCGAAACCGGCGTTGCTACCTAATGCGATGTGCAACAAAAACTTCCAAGTGGTAAGCTGGTATGTGATCTCCTTGCTTTATGCTTGTATAACAACATCGAGTCTAGAATCGCAGCTATGCGGATTCAAACTCAAGATTTGAGATATACATACTCAAAATAAGCGTATTGAAAGTCTAAATATTATCAAATCCCCCTTGACTTCGAAAACACAGCTAAATCATTGCTTTCAATTTCAAACCATCAATCTTCATCATACCTATCTGGAAGGTAAATAAAAAGGCACAGAATATACCTAGCAAGGCTAAGTTCTATTCCCTCTCGTAGAAATGCAAAAATGAGCTGCTTTTGACACCTTCTCACTTCCCATCGAGGGGTTAAGATACTCAACTCAACTACATAAGGTATGTATATATGACTTTGAGGATCCTCGTCTCTCACGAATAGCGACTCGCTCAACTCTTAGACAGAACACAATATTAGATTCAAGACATAATATATATCACTTAATATATCTAAATAGGAAAGCCCCCATCTAATAAACCGATCACTGAAGTCATAAAACACTCACCACTCACCCCTTACATTCCAAACACCGTAGTACAGGGTCATAAAGCATATCATATAACTCATATCTACTCGTATCACTCATACCAGCACCCCCTTCCCCCCATCCCCTCCCCTCCAAGCCCCCACAACCCAAGAGCAAAATACGCATAACGCCAACCTTTCTGTCCCATCCATTGATACCATATGCTTGCTCCCTTCATCCCCCATCCCACATCCAATCTCGCACCCTTTTACCATCCCACTCTCACGTCCCCCCTACATCCCTAGTGCCCACCGCTCCAGACAAGGCAAAGGAAAGCCAGCTATTCGAGATCATCGCCATGCTCCGCAGACCAACCGAGGTGAAAAGGGAAAGGGAAGAAGAGTGGAGAGCGGGTTCCAATTTCGAAGATCCCTTGATAGGTAGTTACTCTCGCGAGGGATCAGGACGAGGCGAGCTACTGCAGGTATGGGCCGTTCTGTGATTGATGGAAAGTGTAGGTGGCGAGAAAAGTGGTATCATGATTTCGCTCGTACTCGAGAGAGAAAAAACAAAAAGTCTAAGATCTCATATGTCTTGAAAAAAGCAAAAAGCGGAAAATGGAAAGAAGAGGAAAATAACAAGTCCCAGCGCTTGCATGCATGCATCTCATCTCGTTGCTTCGCGTTTCGTTGAAATCCTTCCCTTCTCTCTGCTTCTCCTTTCTATCCCAGCCTGTCCCGCCCTTGCGCGCCGCATCCTGCCGCCCCCCCGGATATCCTTATACCCAGATTTCAATGGAACACGCTACACGTCGTCATCTTCAACACCCAACAGCTCAAGCGGCATGCATCTCCACATCCTCGGGATATGCCGGATCACCCAGTCTCGCGGCTTCTCTCTGCGCGATTACTTCTCTCGCGTAGAATTCAACCAGCATCGTGCCGTAAGCTTCCAACTCCTCCACGGGGACGGAGAGCCGGAAGTCATTTAAGAGGAGGAACTGGAGTTCGAGGTGGTTTAGTTCGGCAAGAGGCAGACCACCGACCTGATTCCTTACTGTCAGCTACCTATGGATCCGGGGATAGAAATTGATGAAAGGGTGCATCAGAAGGTTCGAGAGAGTGAGCATACCTTAGCATATCTTGAATTAGTATAAAAAACATCCGAGAAGAATTTACTAGCACAGGTGACCCCTGCAATAACAAGCCGATGGATATTAAAGCTATCCACCACAAAGAAGTGACTGAGCGGGAACTGAACTGGATCTGATTCGGTCTTTGGAGCATGTGTATATTGCCCCTTCTCTGAACCCGATGAGTCTTCACGCACGCTATGCGAGTCGGGTGGACTGTCTGCCAGATCTGATCCGGAGGCTGAATAAGAGGTCGAGGGCCGAGAATCCGGATCCATAGCATCACCGGAATCTCGCCGTACGTTGTGAATGGGGACGGTGTTAACGCGCTCAGTCATCCGGTCAAAATATACCAACAGACTCAGGAATACCTCGTAGGTTGTTGGGCAATATTTGTGTATGCGGCTCAAGTAACTTAGGATAGTTATGCTGGGGACGTTCTTCCCGTGAAATGCAAGGACGCTTGATGAAAGGCCACTCAGATTTGCGGAATCTGTGGCAGTTGGAAAGGGACGATGTAGGTTCTCATGCTGTCGATCATTTGTCGTTGTGATCTTGGTCAAGAGCCCGGCCACCATCTCAATAATATCTGCGATAGGCATCCCACTGATCTCATATCTCAGCGCTGGTTCAGCCGCTGTCCGCCGCCGTCCAGGTTGGCCTCTGGAGGAAAGAAACTCTTCATTTGCAAAACTCTCGATGTGCGCCAAATTCCGCACTTTGATTGTATTTTCCCCATGTCTGCTCACGTTATCCAAAGACTTGGCCGATCTTGCGAGAGGTTTAGATGGTGGTGATGACAAGGGAGCCGCTGCCTTTAGCTTCGGATCTTCGGGATCAGGTTTCTGGTCTCGTCCATACGGCGCAGAAGAAGGTGGGAAATGTTGCTGACTTGTAAACGGCTGCCGGGTGTACGACGATGGCCGCGGACTAGAACTTGGAGGCGGTGATGGAGGTCTTGTAGTTAACGTCGTCTTCTGCCTCGCGCCTTGCTCTGTTCCTTCCCAAGATTGCGGGGCCTTGGTGGTCAAAGGAGGTGTGGCTGTTGTGGCAGCGTGTGGATGTCGCGGACTCGGAGGGATTTTGGTTTGAGGTTCGGCTTTTGATCGCGACCGCGGTTTGAATGATGATTCGGTTGGTAGTTGCTGTGGAGAAGACCCCGATCTCGTATGAGTATGATTCCACATGGAGTCAGATACAAAATCACTGATCACCGCGGCCATATCAGCCTTGCGTGGGTACTAACGGAAAGAGAAACTGCTGAAGTATATTAGCTTCTTCGAGGTAGACGGATGATCTGTCGCGCGAAAGAGATATAGAATGCCGCAGAGATGGAGTCGGTGAAGTATTTTGACATCGAGAGACCTGTGGAGTGTGGGAAGTTGGAGGATCTCTCGGTCTACCTATCGTCGAGGTACCGCGCGCAGGGTCACAATAGCACCAGAAGAACAATACCAGCTTCACCTGATGCCGGGGGATACGGCGGCACGATAGACGTCTTCCCCGAATCACTTCCTACAGGCTCGACTCCTTTATCGAGCGCAGCGCTGAATGGCGCGGGGACTTCACGATGCCCGCGGCCGTCGTCGTGGGGGGGTTTGAAGGGTTACGTATCGAAGGTCGAGAGCCGGAGGAGGGAACATCAGAGCTTACCTGCAGCATTGGTAGGATGTACCCGTCAAGAGTGTATCGTGTACGAGATCCTTCCCCAGTCCTCGGTATGGCGGATGCAGATGCGAGATGCAGATGCAGATTGGGGAGATCTGTGGAGGTCGTCGGTATCGCGACGTTGGCGTTACGTGTGTATTGTCTGTATCGCCGGGCGGCTTGTAGCCTTCGTCACTAACGACAATCTTGGCGGCCTCAGGGTGCAACGACTTGCGCTTACATACACAACAGACAACGCCGAAGCAACGAGGGCGCGATCGATCACCCAGGGCCCAGTAGTATGACGAACACACAGAGGCAAAGGGGGCAACGAATCGAGCAACCAGCTGTGGATCCCCCGCCCAGATCTGGGACGCCGTCGAATAACAGGCTGGAAGATAAATATAGCAGAGATAAAGAGAGACAAGAGGATCCTCTTCGAAATTCTGGAGCGGGCGGTCGGGGAAAAGGATGGGAGGAATCCCACGAGGCCGGGGAGACAATGCTGGGACAGAAGGAGCAAGAAAGTATCCAACAGAGGATACAATGATGAAGTATGCTTCTCAAGAAGAGGAGGAGAAGGGAAGGGATTCCGGCCTCTCTGGACCGTGGGCGTGGAGATCCCACCACTTACTTACTTAGTCCTATCCAGCCGGTTGGCCTCCGTCGCCTTTCTTCCCGCCAACGACAAGCAGAGACACTGACACGAGGGTTGATAACTTGGTCGTCGCGCAGGGCTAGGAAGGGGCTCTTGTACTTCCACGAATGTACCCATCGGCCGGGTGGGCTTCCGTCTTGTCTTAGGATTCTTGCGATAGCACCAGCCTCGAGGCCCTTGACTCCTTGACACAGTCTGATACGTCGCTGGCCCGATGTGCTCTTGTCTTTATCAGGATAGGTGTGGCATCATCCCACAGCCATGCATACGGTGCATCGAGGGTGAATCCCCATTCTTCCTCACCGCCGTCCCGGGAGGCTTGACCGCTATTGCAACCCTGCACGTCCACTATTCTGTACACTGTACAAATATCCCGTAGAATTAGAATCGTAGACTGTGCGCAAGACCAAACACCATGCTATTAATGCTCAGCTCCTATTGTACATTTGTCTCTATTCATGGCGAACGGCGTAATTCGTATCGGGCAGATACAAGTGCCTGTTTGCGCCCTTCTTCGTCAACACCACCATTCTAATGACTCCGCCAGAGCTCCCATCCCATTTGATGGCCTCTTGTAATGCTCCCTTGACAAAGTTGACAGCCTCTTCCTCGTCCATCCCTTCCTTCCAGTTGGCGTCACAGTATCCGTAGATGTATGTCGAGCCTGATCCACCGATGGCATAGGGTTGCTTGTGTAATGAACCCCCCAACGGTATCGAGTAGACCTGGCCTCCGTGTCGCTCATCCCACCCAGCAATGATCAAGCCAGCACTGTGCTCATTAGCCTCTGCATCTCCAGACGGTTTGTACCCCATACCTTAATCTATCCTTGTTCTCGTAGCAAAGCTCTTGGAACATCGCTGCCGCTGTTTGTGTAGTTGGCTGTCTACCATTCATGATACCATACATTCCCAGTTGATATTGAACAATATCAGCAACTGCTTGTGTATCCGCTGCAGATCCAGATCGACAGCACCAGATTGTATCGTGGACTTGTGTGAGCTTGTCGGTGACTCGGTTGGCAATGTATGCCCCAGTGGTGGTCCTACTATCCGCACCTGTTCATCATCAGAATGCCATCCAATCTTGGAAGACCTGCAAAGGGTACCAACCCAGTATAACACCATCTTTGAAATTGATTGCCATGCTGGTCTCGTGTCAGTCTCGTCCAGTAGTTGTTCTCGGGGCGGGCTCATCTCACATCGAAGTTCCTAGACTGGAGACAGTGTTAGCGACGCTTATTTGGAGGATTGAAACCTCTTACTTCACCTCTCCCTTCTTTAGTCTCTCCATGTCGACGTGGATGCCATCTGATAGAAGCTCAAGTCAGCTCTTGTTTGTACAATGGAGCTCTTGTGACCCGGTGCAATGTACCTTCATTCAACATTCCTGTCGTGCCAAACTCCATCTTGAACTGCCGGGTATCTTAACGAGGTCGGGGAAGAGAAGTTAAAGCTTAAAGTGGCTGATATGGTCTGGCAATGAAATCGTCTTGATGAAGCTCTCACTGAAGCTCAGGCAGCATAGACGCGAGGCAAGCGCGAGGCTCTATCGCACGTGATCCTGATTACATAAGCGACCTGACTGCACCACTGGTGCGCCAGTTGGACCTGTAGTAGTATAGCAGTTTTGTGCTCGTAGGCTTGTATCCCGTTCGGCGTGATCGTTTCTGTAGATGCAATTACGTGGCGATTCAATAAACTTGAACCAGCCTCTCCTCAAAGTGGTGGGAAGTATTCTTGCCCCTTTTCTTTGGCGAAGTCGCCGCACGGGGTTGAGAGACAAGAATATCATCCAGGTCAATACCTAAGGTAGCCTCACACAGGAAAATAAAACACTCTGTATTTTAAAGTCTAGAGTAAATGTCAAGCCATTTCCAATAGACTTGCTCCGAAACTCCTGCAGAGGATAGCCCAACGCTCCCAGTGCCCGTCCCATGTACGCCTTGCTAAGAAACCCGGCCATTTTCCCTATTATACAAAAGCAGTCAATCCGCACAAGCCCTACCCACCTCGACTCAATCTATTCGCAGTCAGTACCACCATTCATAATAGCAAGTGTACGATCAACCTACCCCTCCTTCTCCAACTCTAACTGCTTGAATCCATCCTTCTCCTTCTCCTTCTCCTTCCCCTTCACCGGCCCATCGTCCGCACACCCACAATCATAAAAGTCCCCAATCTTACTGCAATCAAAAAGGTCCTTCTTCAAGCTCTTGTTCACCTCGTTATGCACATGGCAAGCCCACGCCGCGGCTGTACTCCTCGTCGCGACCTGCGGCGGGAACTTCGCCAAGATCTGCTGGAAATGCCGCGCGCATTCTCCACACGGGTATAGTCGCGCAAAGAGATGGATGTAGGATTTCAATGCCTGGCTATCTTCCTCGGTCGGCTTGTCGGGGAACTTCGCCATCGTAGTGTGGAGGACCTTCCACGCAGCGTTCCCTAGTTCTGCTCTGTTGATGGAGTCAGCGCGCATATCTCAATCGGTTCCTATGCGGTTAGGGAACGTACTTCAGAGTTTCATTCTCCAGCTTTGGCGCCGTTGCAGTCCCGAGCAATATCTCATTGTCAACGAGGACCGGTTCCTGTGATGTTGGGCCTGGGTAGTCTGCGCCCTGAGGCTGACTGCGGAACATCAGGACGAAGGAGGTTCCTATGAAGGCGAACAGTGCAAGTATTGCGAATACGGTAATATGCTGTCGGCGCGGCATCCTGAGAGAGCTGTTCGTAGATGGAGGGAATCTTGTTGGCCGGATCCGTATTGAAGACTTGGCGGGGGGTGCCGTCCAGTCAGCACCGTACGTTCGGCGAGATTGGGGCATGAGAGGCTGTGGTTGATGGCGGTGACGAAGACGAAGACGAAGAGATCAAGAGAGTAGCGCAGGCGCCTGTATCATTGTGATTATCCAGGGCGTGGTGTTGGATGGAAGAATGGATGGATCTGGTCCTGCCTGGGCATTGAGGTACAGATGCGCGCGCCGCATAGCTCACTCCTGAAACCCAGGTACCTTGCGGTATCTGCGCCGTATATATAAACCTTATTTTATAGCGTTTGTGTAATTTACCGTATAACTAGCGCATATTAATAACCAAAATATAGACCCCTCCCCGCCCCCTGTCAAGATCCGCAAGGTACAGCGATTGCCCCGCCGATTTCGCAGCTCGCAAAAATTCCAGCTTACTGCTTGTAGAGACTGAGAGCCATCGACTTGCAACCGCAACTCACGATCCAATTTGTACAATTCTTGCAGCTATTCCCACATCTTCCTCCTCCCGTATCCTCCACAGCACTGAAAACGCCCTTGGAGACCACGGATACCCAAGTCGACGACGAGTATAAATACCCGTACGTGAACGCAACGCCATCCTCCCTTGCTACACCGCAATCCTCACCTCCCCCACCAACTCCCCCATCATGACTTTCCCACCACCCCCCACCAACACTATCGACTGGGCGAGTGGCATCGGCTTCAAAGTCCGCGAAGGTACCTCCATTCCACCCCGCACACGCACAATTGCACCTCACTGACCAGCCCGCCCCAAGTCAACGGACACATCGAAACCCACTACAGCGTGAAGACCGGGAAATGGACATCGCCAGCCTTCGTGACCGACCCCTACCTGCGCCTCCACGGCATGGCTCCCGCCCTGAACTACGGGCAGCAGGCCTACGAGGGCATGAAGGCCTTCCGCAGTCCCGACAACCAGATCAACATCTTCCGTCCACGCAAGAACGCAGCCCGGCTCGCGCACTCGGCCGAGTTCGTCTCCATGCCTCCCGTGCCCGAGGAGTTGTTCCTGCAGTGTGTGCACGCGGCCGTGTCTCTGAATGCTGAATTCGTGCCCCCTCATGAGACTGGCGCTGCCATGTACATCCGCCCTCTGCTCTTCGGATCCAGCGCCCAATTGGGCCTGAACCCACCCGAGGAATATACCTTCGTCGTGTACGTGCTGCCGGTAGGCGTGTACCACGGTGTCCATCCCGTCAAGGCGCTTATTCTGGAAGACTTCGACCGTTCCGCGCCTGACGGAACAGGAAGTGCGAAAGTTGGAGGCAACTATGCCCCAGTACTACGCTGGAGTGAAAAGGCGTCGAAGGAAGGATACGGGATCACGCTGCATCTGGATTCCAAGACCCGGTCTGAGATCGATGAGTTTTCCACCAGTGGGTTCATTGGGGTCAAGAAAGATGGAGACAACGTAACGGTCGTGGTCCCGAACTCGAAGAACGTTATTGAGAGTGTAACATCCGAGTCTATCTTGGGCATTGCCCAGAGCCTGGGATGGAAGACCGAGAAGCGCTCCGTAAGCCTCCCTCCCCTATTCATCCCCCTCCAATCCTCCGCTAATGACGAGCCCACAGATCAAATACGAAGAGCTCCCCACCTTCAGCGAAGTCATGGCCGCAGGTACCGCCGCCGCCCTCGTCCCCATCAAATCCATTACGCGCAAGTCCCGTTCTGAAACCTCCACCTACATCCCCGCCGACTCCGAAGAGCCAGGTCCCATCTGCCTCAAGCTCCTCACTACTCTCCAAGGCATACAATTGGGCAAGATCAAGGATACGTTCGGCTGGAATAGTAAGGTGGAGCAGGTCAATGTGAAGGATTACACGCCATGAGAGGTCATGAACGGCGTTATTGGGAAGAATGTTTATAAATTGCCCTAGAATGGGAGCACAAAAAGGGAACAAAATAAAAGTTTTGGTCTTGTTGAAACTGGAAACTTCTCACGGGGGGCGACGACTGGTTCCAATTTGTAAGTCTTCTCTTCATCCTTCAAAGGTCGTGGTGGTATGTATGAGCAATTGTAGCCAGATGTAAATAAAAATGACCAAGGAAGTTTCCTTTAGTCATAAACGGCAATGTCCCATTCAGCCCTCTCGGTACTTCCGCTCTTCTCTTCTTCCTCATCCTCAACCAGCTGCGGGGCCGGTCTACCACTCTCACTCCCAGCTCCACTTCTAGATCCATTATCCTCCTGGTTGTCGATGACCGTCTCCCAATCTGCCTCTATCATCCATCTGGTAATCCTTCCAACATCCAACCCAGATTCAGGATTACTAAACCTTATACTCCTATTCCTCAGTTCCTCCTCACATTGCTTCTTTCTATGAAATTCCTCCGCCTTGGTGGTAATCCTTTCGTGGAGAGTGTCTGCACCTAACACCACGCTCCCGTCTTTCATTGCAGAGAGTGATGACTTCTCGGCAATATATCTTTGGACCAGCAATGCCGGCCCTTTATACCCGAGCCTTTTACGATTTTTTCCCACAATTGCATTCCGCTGGTTCTCTACCGTGGAGAACGCGATGCGGACGAAATCTGTCGGTAGCGAGTAACGATCTTCCAGCTTCTCCCTCTCCTCCTTCGAGAACTGCGAGCTCCATTCGAAGTACATGGGTTCGTATTGCGCGAAGCCATTCGTAAGCTATCAGATCCCACCGGTCAACATTCTCACCCTCGCAATTTCCAAAATATCTCGGACTGCGGAAAGAGGGAAGGAGGAACATACCATCTCATAAGCTAGCATACCAATCTCCTCATACCCACTCACCAAGACCGCGAACTCCGGATCCTCCCCGCTTTCCCTCGACGCTTTAGCTTCTTCCGCTTTCCGCAGCACCTCTACCATCTGCTCACTCGCTCTGCTGATATTCTCCTCGCGCACTTCCACATCATGGACGGCCAGGCATTTCTGTCCACGCTTACACGCTCTCCCGCGGGAGAAGAAATAGCATAGCTTAGCCCTTTCACGGTTCAATTTGTCTTCCTGCTTTGTACCATCGTCGTAAGGAAGGCATCCAGTATTCGTTAACATGGACTCGGCTTCATCTTCAAACTCAGCGTCTGCGTCATCGGCGTATCCAGACTCTACCCCATCTAGCAGTTCCTCGCTGTTATTCTCTCGTCTGATTCGTTTAGGTGCTGGTTCGTCCAAGTCGTGCTGAGCATAATCATCTGACGCCTGTGGTGGTGTTAGTCAGTAATTTGATGGGAAGGAAGGAAGGTTCTGAGAGATACCTTGCGCTTGTCTCCCCTGGGGGCTTCAAGGGGAACTTCAGCTGGAGTCTGGGGGGGTTCTTCATTCTCTGGCTCGTAGTCTCCGTAGGCCAGGTTTTCTTCCCACTCGTAAACAGTCGCAAGATCGTCTTTGTGTTCTGTGTTATTCATCTTAAGGTCGAGTGGGGAAGTATATGTTAGATATGTAGGAGTTGAGAGGCCAGGATCTGTGCCTAGTTGTAGAAGGGTTATTGTCGTAAATTTTCTGGTGATCAGGAGGAATCTGGAACTGTTGGGAGAGTGGGTTAGGTTTATATGTGGCTTTAAACATTGGCAATTCTCAAATATGGAAGTTGCGGCTTGAATCGAGGTTGCTTCAACTGAAGCAAAGTTCGGCAGGCACCGAGGCGGGTTCTGATTGGCCCACATCCTGAATAGGGGGGACCAACGAGAGACGATCTGAATTCTCAGCCTCAGATCAGGTAACTGATCTGGAATAACTAATAATAACAGTACAACAATAAAACAAGTAACAGAACACAAGCAATAATGGTCCCTGATACCCGAGCGCCGCTCTAAACTCTCGTGCCTTTGCAAACATGGAGGTCTCGCGGGCACTAATTACCTCCTCGAATCCATCTGATGATAAGTTCGTCCTGGTTGACTCCAGGCATTGGTCTAGCAATTAGGGCTTCGAAGATATCAAGATCAGCACCTGTCAAGCGTTCGCGCGCCAATGCCACCGCGTTGGCCAAGTTCCTCCAGACCTTCGCCTCCTCAACTCTCTTCCGTATGTCCCATTCATTGCATGGTTCTTGAACTTCTTGTTTTATAACGGGGTGACTTGTGTATGGGTTTGCTCTGCGGGCTTTAGCTTGATCTAAATGTTATTCTCTGTTAGTTCTCGACTTCAGGGATTTTGCCAAGCGGTAGTAAGTGGATGCAGTTACGTACTCTCTTGTTCTTCCTTTACAAGCCCAGAATACTTTTGGACAATGAAGTTCTTCAGGAGCACTGCGCGGCGGAGCGGATATTCGGAGCTGTCTATCCTCAATGCAACTTTAAGGAAATCGCTCTGGATATGGTAGTCATGCTTGATCCGCTCTCTCGTGTATGACGGCATCTCCTTGCTAACCTCCATGTGGGTCGGGCTGAAGGGTTGAAGTAAGACTCGTATCTAAACCACATTAGCCTTTGAATGTTCAAGCTTGAATGAACCATTCTCTCCTCACCTTATCTCTTATGCCTTTTTCATGCCACATGAACCCCGATAAGAGAAATGTCATTGGTTCACCTTCCTCCTCCAGCTTGATCTTCTTCGCTGTGCGTGATAGCATCTGAAGTGCTGAACGGAGGGTGTCCTCACTTTCTTCGTGCAATGTCTGTCTCAGCTATTAGTCTTGCTGTGGTTTCGGATAGATCATTGACTGGCCTTCCTCTTGATGCCAGATTTGGCGCCCTGTTTGACGTCCCTGTTATTCTCCATTCCACCATATATATTATTCTCCTTCCAATCTATAGCTCGATAGTAGTTGTCGTCATCTTTGGAGTAGAGAATCTCCTTTTTAATACCAGTCTCGTTTTTGGAGTACCTTGAAATCTCCGAGAACATGATGCCATCCGTGAATGAAGCGTGCGACATTGTGTGATCTTTGAGTTGGGGAGTACGTAAATATACCAATTAATGAAAGGTTGAGATGTATGGTTATTGATGGATGGGAAGAGATTGGACCCGAAGGGTGAAGCTGGCACGAAATGGTCAGAAAGGGAAGGAGCACACTTCTCCCAAAAATTGTTAGAAACTTCGAATCTGATGAGCCATCTGCAACAAAACAGTATGAGATGCGAAATCCCAACCCTCAGTTCTCTGTTTCTCGTGTCTACAATAAACAAGATCCTGACCGGGATTCGTAGATAATAATTGGTACTTCAGGCCCAGAAGTAGAACCTTATCTGGGCAGATCCAGATCATCTATCAAGAATGTCCAATTTGTGAACACTCGGCACTTCGAATCTGGAGCAAATAAAGCGATTTAGTGTTTATGGAAGAGATGACATAGTCTTTTCAGCTCCTTGTGATCTTAGGTATATAACTGGTTGGACAAATAGCTGGTTAAAACCAGCGATTGCGCACTACCTAGTCATAATGCAGAAGACCGATTATTGAGTACCTTAGCAATTCCATTTTCGTATTTTATACAGCAATAGTTACATAATGCATATAAAGCAAAGAATATCGAAGTAGTTGCTCACTTAACTGGGAACATCTGAAGCTGGTTCCTCAGACTGGTCATCGTCTGCTGGAATATCCTCGGAATCTTCTTCAACTGTCTCCTCCGCATCACTCGTAGCATCACTCTCGATTTTTTCCATACGACGAACGAACTCCTCCTGAAGCTTTCGCAACCAATTCAACAGAACCTTATCATCCATTGGACTATTTTCAGCTTGCTTTAGTGTCTCCTTCAGGCTTAGGACAAGCTTCCTCCGCTTGACAAGTACGAATGCCTTCGATGACTTCTTCTTGGCCGCTGCCTGGTCCTCCAGAGCCTTCGATACTTTTTCGGCGATCTCAAGGACTTGTGGTGGAAGGTCTACAACACGGGCTAAAGCCAATCCGTAATGTTCTTCTTTGACATAGCCTTGGCCAATCTTATAGAGCATTGTTATTGTATTCTCCCTGCTCATATCTGAGATGAGGTGAAGATTAACAACACCAACACGTTCTGACATTATCTGTGCTGCATATAATTAGCTGATGCAACGCACGCAGGAGCTTACCTTGGACTTACCTAGTTCACGGAAATGCGTTGCGAACCAGATCAATGCTTTGCTCTCAACCAAGGCTTCAGCAATGCTCAACGCAATAGCAAGACCATCTCGGGTGCTAGTTCCGCGGCCAAGTTCATCGATGACAGCGAGACTGGACCTATCGATGTTTCTGGACAGCCACAGATCAGTACCTACAAATGATGAATGAAAGGGATTCGACCCAACACTTACCTTAGGATGAACGCCGTCTCTCTCATTTCAGATGCAAAGGTTGAAACATTTGCCTCAATGCTGTCGTCCATTGATACTCGGGCAAATAGTTGACGTATTATGGGGAAAGAAGCAGTCTGCGCAGGGACGAAACAGCCAACTTGGGCCATCACACTCATGAGAGCAATTGATCGTATGTAGGTGCTTTTACCGCTCATGTTGCAGCCAGTAATGATCTGGAACCGACATTGCTGGGCAGCATAGACATCATTGGGAACATATTTCTCCAAGTGGACCTGTAATTGTCTATTAAATTTGGTCGTCGGGTTTCAGTATGAGGTTCACGCCACCTTTTCCTTAACTGGATGGCGGCCAGATTTGATCGCGAGGCAATCGGTAATCTCTGGCCTAGCATAATCATTTGTGGTAACTAACTGACTGGAAATATCTAAGTCAGTCTCGTTCGCATGGAATCAGAGGAATGGAAGGGTCCGCTGTTCAATTCTCGACGTAGAGTGGAAGAAGATGTCTTTGAATTTGACATACCCAAACGAGGCAATCATGTCTAACATAGCAATGCTCTCACAAACTCGAAATAGGCTTGGAATTTCGCCTCGGATATTGTCGATCAAATCCTGAATGGTCTTGTCGCTCATCAAGACAACTTCTTGATGCGAGTCTTCTATTCTTTGATTCAATTTCATGAGATCCAGCGTTTGGCATTCGATGAACCCCTTCTTACGATATCGATTGACAAGGATATCGGGAAGAGATCGACCATCAAAACTATTTTCGGAAATTCTTAACCAATATCGGCGCGAATTGTCATATTTTGTTTCCGCTTGCATCTCGTATTGCTCTATATGACTCGTAAGTATTCACAAACGATATGAGAGATTCGATAATTGACACACGGTTGATATCAGTGACGTGTTGGTGTACGTCCTCTGTAGCTTCTTTGAAGGTTTGCCGTGCAACATCAAGGAGGCCACTGACACCAGACTGTAATCTCATTAGAATCGGCACAGCTTATGGGTGAGAGGGATATACCTTCACAGCATAAGTCCTTTGGTTGCGCAAATCCAAAGGCGTCTTCTGGAATGTAACATCCTCGTTTATGACTTCAGCTATAAGCTTTATCGTTGGATCGATGTTCTCGTATCGACAGTTCTCTCGGATCATTATAAGAAGGTCCGATCGAGCGCCTGCGAGTGCTCCGTATAATGGTGGTATTGCTTGGACAAAACTCTTCAACATCAAGATATTGTTGATCGCTTGTTCAGACTGTCGTATATCAGGCTGAGCTGGGATGATAATAAGCTAGACAAAATCAGTCAATTGTTTACCTGCAAATGAGAGACGACAAACACTAGTCAAAAGCTTCTCAATGTCATGAAACGACCTGAGACCTATTCAATATCATTTTTAGAAAAGAAGTGAGAAAACATTGACATCCAAACCTGGAAGTAATCATAGACGTCAGCGGGGAAAATAATCAGCTGCTAACAGATGACTAGAAAGTCAAACCTTGTCTTATCTGAAAGAACATATCCTCCCGGTTCGACAGTTCCTCGAGTGCATCATACCGCTGGTTAAGCACGTCCGCTTGCGTCGAGGGTTGGAGAATGCTACTTCTAAGGAGTCGCGACCCCATGGGCGTCAATGTTTCATTCATCAGTCCAAAGAGACATGCCTTTGACTTCGCATTCTGCAAGTTTTGAATAAGTTCCAAGGATTGGATAGTGGAGAGATCGATCATCATCGAGCCCTCAGACGGCTGATACTTGATACGGAGAGAATGAAAGGCGAAAGTCAAAGACAAACTCAAGTCGACATACTTGAGTGCCTGCCCACATTTGTCAGGCAAAGACAAAACTGGGAGAAAAAGAGAAGGGGGCTATGGCCTACTGCGGCAAAACAGCAAGTTGCGAAGTAATTGCCACCAATCGCAACTTTGATTGCTTCAACATCTTCAATGAAAGCCAACTGTTGGATATACTCCAGACCTGCAGTTTCCGACCAATACTTACGATCCAGGGTGGTAATTCTTGCTCCCAGGACATTCTCCTCCACGACCTGGAACATCTTCGATTTGGGATTCGGAGGTCCTGTGGTGGACACTATCAGAATTTCAGTGGGTTCAAAGACCTGGAGCTTATTGAGTGTTCTGGCGTAAAATTGGTTGTCACATATTTGACTAAGGACAGCTTCACCAGTGGAGATATTGACGAAGGCCAGGCCGACAGTTGGTGAAATTCCTCGGCCTTCACTTATGGCGCAGATGATCTGCTGAGACTCACCACCACCAATTGTAGAGCCCGCTCTCGATCTCCTGCCTGTACTTGGACGAGTGGTACTCGAGCGGCGGGGATACGCAGGCTGGGAGGTCGAGTTTGTGTATCCATTTTGATACGATGTTGACACCGTGCTGTAGGACGTTGAAGGTCTCGGCGTAGCCATAACTAAGAGTCTGTGGCTGTGATCAGTAGATAAGGGTTAGTCAATATATCAAGAGTCCTTGTTTTATCATCAACCTTATTATCACAAGGCTGGAATGAGATCTGGTCGAAAGAAAGGGGGAGAGGAGTGAAGTTGAGACAAGGTTGAGACGGAGAAACGTAACGCCGGAAGATGCTGGTCTGTGCGCAAGGCTGAGAAAAATTCCCGATCAGAGATTTAGATTTCTCAACCTCGTCTCATAGTTATCCGGGGATATTTGGGTTTTGATCCCCATTTTCCAACCAATTAAACTAATCTTCTTGGATTCGTATTAACTATGGCGACCGTTGTTCCACCGCCGAGCAAGAGGCAACGAACCGAAGCCGCCAACAGAGCCAGAGAGCAGCAAGACATTGAGGAAATCCCCAGCGATGCGGGGAGCTTGCGATTACAGTTCTTCGATGAAACTACCGGTCTTCCAATAGGCGATGGGCCTGTACTGGTTCCAGTAGCTGATGCAAACCCTAAGAATCTGGAGCTCCTCCTGAACACTCTACAAGGACATGTAAATGCCCAATTAATCCCCTGGATCCATTTCAAGAGGCTGACCTCGAAATTAGGATCCATCCGAACATATCCCTTATCGATTCACACTCCCTGTCTCCGACAAGAAGAATCCCGAACCTGTCACAACCGCCTTTCCTACCAACATATGGAAGACTCTGATATCGCCTGGTCTGATAAGCACAGAAGAGGTACAGAACATTTCGGCTGCACCGCAGGCAGTATTCCGGGTACGAGCAGTGTCAAGATGTGCTTCTACGATACCCGGTCATGGCGAAGCGATATTAGCAACGCAATTCTCCCCAAGAAGTTCATCGAGGATGGTCAGTGGTAGCGGAGACAATACGGCACGCATTTGGGACTGCGATACTGGAACTCCAGTGCACACATTGAAGGGTCATACCAGCTGGGTCTTAGCAGTGAGTTGGTCACCGGATGACTCAAGGATCGCAACTGGGAGCATGGACAATACGGTTCGCATGTGGGACCCAAAGACCGGCAAGCAATTAGGGAATCCCATGAAAGGGCACACGAAATGGGTGACGAGTCTTGCGTGGGAGCCGTACCACGCACAGAAGCCGGGTGAACCACGGTTAGCTTCTGCCTCGAAGGATGGCACAGTGAGGATATGGTCAACCAACCAACAGACTATCGAGATGGTGCTGAGTGGGCATAAGGGCTCGGTATCATGCGTGAGATGGGGCGGTACTGGCTTTATCTATACGGGCTCGCACGACAAGACCGTGAAGGTCTGGAATGCGAAGGATGGAACCCTGGCACACTCTCTCAATGCGCATGCGCATTGGGTCAACCACCTGGCGCTCTCCACCGATTTCGTGACTCGGACAGCGTACCACGACCACACGGGGCAGATCCCAGATTCCGAGGAAGCCAAGGTCGCGAAGGCGAAGGAGCGGTTCTTAAAAGCCGCGACGATCCAGGGAGAAGTCATCGAGAGGCTTGTCTCAGCAAGCGACGATTTCACCATGTATCTGTGGGAGCCTGCAAAAGGGACCAAGCCAGTAGCGCGAATGCTCGGCCACCAAAAGCAAGTCAACCATGTGACGTTCTCGCCGGATGGCTTACTGATAGCGTCCTCTGGATTCGACAACCATACGAAAATCTGGAACGCGCGAGACGGGAAATTCATCAACACGTTGCGAGGACACGTGGCACCTGTCTACCAGTGTGCCTTCAGTCCCGATTCGCGGTTGTTGGTGACTGGGAGCAAGGACACGACGTTGAAGGTGTGGGATATGCGGACGCATAAACTCTCTGTTGGTAAGTTTGTGAAATGAACCCCGTGAACTGCTCCTGGCTATTCCTTTTTCGAAATTGGGGCTGACTGGGAATAATATTTGTAGATCTGCCAGGGCATAAGGATGAGGTGTATGCTGTGGACTGGAGTCCGGATGGGCAGAAGGTGGGAAGTGGTGGGAAGGACAAGGCAGTACGTATCTGGAGACATTAGATGACCACAAAATAAGAGACTTGATTGAAAGAAAGCAAGCTTGATGTTTACCGCTTTTTTTTTCCCCGCGCTGTTATGGAGGAACTTCAGTGAAGAGTCATGACTAGGAGCGGCCCATATATCAAACTGGTATGCAGTACCTCTAGGTCAGGTGGTGAACCATTTTAAGGGATTGTGGGAGACCAAAGATAAGGGAGGTTGTTGGGCCTCTCAAATCATATTCGGCTTTTTTTCTAGCTAGCTAGAATATTCACCACCTCTTCGTACCTATCCATTCACAATCCATATTCATTAGTCGCATAAATCACATCACCAAGGATCCATATAGAAAGAGAGAAGAAGTCTTCTCTAATCTTCGAAGAATGATTTCAATATCAAATAACAAAGAGCACTACACCAACCACCACCACCACCAGCACATTCACACCTCCCTCCCCCCTCCTTTTAAATCCCAAATTTCTCATCCCACTCTCCAACGTATCCGACGACTTCCCCTTAACCAGGGGCTTAACATTATCCACAAAGTACCGATTATGATCGCCTACCACATTGCCAGGCGGGTAGTATTCACAAACCACATAAAAGCCCGGCGTATTCTTGACTCCATTGCACGCCATCCTCCCGCACCCCACCGTCGTCGTATTGCTCCATACGAGCTGTGTGAAATGGCCCGTGGTCTCGCTGAACCCGGGCCTTTCGTAATCGTACTTCGCGCCTTCGAGACCCCAGGCTTCGACGGCTGCGCTTGCGTTCGTGTAGCCGGCGGCTAGGTTCTCGCCGGTGGGCCCCGCCTACTTCCATTTATTTGATTTAGTCTTGATTTATTGGTATGAATACAATCTGAACTGAAGCTCGGATCCTGAGTCGTGTCGTGGGTTTTCGAAGAGAGCTGAGGAATGGGAGAGAAGAGGAATGCAGGGTCAACGAGGAAGAGGAGGAGGAGGAGGATATATACTCACAGAGTGCTTAAACACGCAATTACCAGCCCATCTACTCGCATACGCAGCCGAGGTATCATTCCAGGCCAGATCTGAGACGTTGTGTTCGCGGCGGTAAAAGTTGTGCGCTGCTAGCATGGCGGACTTGAAAGCTGCGTCGTTGGTATAGGATGTGCTTGTGGGAATTGCAGGAGATGAGACAGTGATAGTAATTGTTGAGATGATGGCAGCTGTGGCATGGTAGGAGAAGGTCATAAGGAGAGCCATGAGTCTGATGGGAAGGAGGGAGATGCGATGCATTGCGAGGGTTTATGGGGTCAGTGAGAGACGCTTTAGATATGTGCGTGGCGGACGCGTGATGATTGGATTGCAGGACCAAGAGGACTGATTCCTGATTCCTGACACTCGGGAGATAGGGAGTAGACGCAAAGCGGAATAGAGATCCAAACCTCGAGACAAGGATGCCAACGAACCCAACGCTCCCCGACGACACGGGAGAAGAAAGAACGCGGAAAGATCTACAATGATTTTAAGAAAGGTCGAGACTTGAAACAACTTCTCAAGGACGAGACAACGACGTTCACACAAAACAAAGAATGGCACTCTCACACTTATTCACTCACTCCCTCTGCGCGGTAATCTTGCCAGGGGAAAAACCACAGAGCCTAGGTAGTTCCATATTGCCTCAACGGTATCCTGTAGAGGCAGCGTACAACCAAATCTTCTCACCATGGATAGATATATATTGTCACAGTAGCGGGCGGGCGCCAGGAAAGCATGTTTCCTGCCTTTGTTTCTCTGGGAATTCGATTGGATGTCGATGCACGACGTTGATCATGCTCGGCTACATGTTCAGGGGGTGTCAGAATATCTCGGAGGGGGCCGAGTTCGGTACTTTTCCGCCCTTGCAGGACTCGGGAGGAATATTATTAGTCCGTGCCTATTTATGGTACAGCGGGAATGATAGATACACCTTTATAAGGATCGCTAAATCAAACCCTGTGTCGATTGAGCTGGGATGATTGGCCGGATCGTCAAAGCCACCACCGCAATTGGAGTTGAAGTTTGGGAGCATAACACTCAGTTGGCCCCCTAGTCCGACAATGCACAGATGAGGGAAGACCGCTTGCTGCTGCTAAGCTTGAATATCACATGACACGGAGAAGGAGACGGATCTCGGGAATAGTACAAACAGCATTGCGAAGAGGAGAAGCGAGTTCGTTCATTTCATACCTCATATCTATCCCATCCCGTCTAGAAGATCGCTCGTATCGAACTCCTAGAGACGCCGTTCTATTTCCAGGTATTACAATCCCATTCCGTTCGGTCCAGCCCGCGAAACGTATCCGATGTCTGTGAAACCAAGGGAAAATATAGAGAAATGCCATCCGTAATTGCCATCTTATGAACCCGCCAGAAGAAAAAGACAATTGTTGCTGTGCTCCGTTCGTAAAGTGCTGTTATTAGGCGAACGCAGCAAGCTTTTGAAGGACTGATAAGACTCCTGGTTATCGTTAGTGCGTTGCAAATGTTGAGTCGGGGAGATAAACGTACCTGTAACACCTTGCGTGAGGGTGCAGCCAGCCTCAGTGTTTCGACTTCCCAGACTCACAGTCGTGACAGCTCCCACCGTACCATCTCTGTCTAACTCATTTGCCCAGCGGAAGATAACTTCATCGTCTCGACCATCGCCAACTACCATTAAGAAATCAATAGGAGAGGTATAATCAAGATTAGGAGGCATGTTCTTCTTGAGACCCTCGAAGATCTTCATTGCTGCCGTGCCTTTGGACCAATCTATTGGTTCAACGGTTACTGCGCCTGTTTCTTGTAAGCAATTGATCAAGCAATGGGTTGGGTAGAATGAATGTACCATCAACAGGGATAGCTCTAACTCTCTGCTTCTCACACGCGTCGTTGATATGGCTTGCACAGTCGCCCGCCTGCCGACTGGCGCTCTCGAAATCATCGGCGTCCTTGTAATGGAAGATGAGACTGCAATGTCTCTTCTCAATCCAGGATCCGGGAGTACGCTCTTGATAGTATCTCATGGTTCCTTCAACAGACTCTTGCCAAGCTCGCATTTTTTCAGGGTCGGGCATTTCTTTCCACTTTGAGTACCCGAATTCTTTGATAAAGCAGCCATTTTCGGCGATGAGACCAAGATTAGGGACGCGTTTGAAAAGTCTGTCGAGTTCTTCGGGTTGTCGACCGGACATCACATAGACAATATTCTTCTCATCGGCGAGGAGGTCGTTGAGGACGTCAATTGTGCGCTGTTGCCGTTAGCATCGGGTAAGTATTATCCATTCACGTATCTTACCTGAGGGCTTGTCAAAATAATATTATTGGGGGATCCCCACGAAGCCAATGTACCCTCATAATCCAGCATGAACAGTCTTCTCTTAGAATCCTGGTACATATGTCCAAGGGCATTGAGCGACAGACGTGGAACCGATGTCGTATCTCGTTTGTGCTGCTCATCATAAGCCATATCGAGCCTTTGCAAGAAAGCCGAGAACCAGTGTTCCGCTGTATGGTGCATTACAGCAGTATACAATTTCTTCCACCGATCAATCTTCTCTTCATCGCCCATCTCCAAAGCCGTCTTGATGGCATCAGCACACTGTCGGTAGTCCCAGGGATTGACTGATAGCTCATTCCCACCAAATACTGAAGCACTACCGGTAAATTCGCTCAGGATGAGCGAGCCAAACTTATTATGGCCTTCCAATTTTCCATCTTGACAGAACAGATACTCATGACAAGTGAGATTCATGCCCTCGCGTTGGCTCGCAATCATCAGTGCATCAGCAACTGTCAGCAATGCCAGATATTGTGCATAGCTGATATCCTGCTTGAGATAGACAAGAGGTTGGTACGCCAGATTCGCCCAGGATGAATTGACTCTCATAACAATATCAGAGACAGTGGCATCAAGCTCAGATTGCTCGGTAGTGGAAGTAGCAACCTGAATCATGACAACTTTGTCCCGCCACTGCGGGTTCTTGTTAAGGAACAGTTCATAGGCCAGGAGCTTTTGCCGGACACCGCGTACGTGATCCAGCTTATCTCTCCCAACAATCAATTTCTTACCACGATATCGCTCTTGCATCGTTTTCATCCACTCCGCAACGTCTGGGTCAGTTCGGTTCATATCCAATGCAACAGGATCGATACCAATGGCAAGGCTGATAACATCGACAAAGCGATCTTCCAGTTGCACACCTTCATTGGTAGCTTCAACACAGAGCAGTCGGCTGCAAGTCTGGAGGAAATGCCGTGCATACTCGTGGATCTGGAATCCAATCAAATTGGCCCCTAGCATGCCCTCCAGCAGCTCCTTGCGAACGGCCAAGCAACGGAAAACTTCAGATGATGGGAAAGCGACATGGAGGAAGAATCCAATCTTAGCATCTGGAAGCTTCTTGCGTACCATTTGCGGTACCAAAAGTAGGTGATAATCATGGATCCAGATGACATCACCACGCTTCCAATTCTTAACGATCTTATCTGCAAACGCCTGGTTTACTTTGACATAATAGACCCAGGAGTGATCTTCGTATGCCTTGTTCTTTGGATTATCAGGAATTTGATAGTGGAAGACGGGCCAGAGAATCTGCTTGCAATAATGGGTGTAATGGCCGTCAAAATCGCTGTCCTTACAGAATACTGTCAACGAGTCGTATTCAGTAGCGAGGCGGTCCTCGATATCTTGTTTTTGCTGAGTGTCTTCCAGAGCATCAGTCGGCATGCCCAATGTTCCAACCCAGATCTTATCATTCAGCTTGCCGCCTCGGACCGCTGCTTGAACAGCATTTCGAAGCCCCCCATTGCCTTGATCCGCTGGAACTACAGTCCAATCAGCATGTGCAAAGACACGATCATGGCTCACACTCCGTCCACTCTGCGGTTGGCGAACACCAGCTCGACCAAGCGCGGCCGCCTTCTCCGCTGTTTTATTGTGTTTCAATATATCGGCTGGAGGAGGAGAGCTAGCTCGGGATGGCGGTTGGATGAAAAGCCGCCCGGAACCCCATGCTGGCGAGTGCGGATCACTTGGGGCTATGTTGTTGAGCTTAGGGAAAACTTGACGCAGTTCCGGGTTCTCGTTCTGAGCAAAGAATTCCTCATGATCTATATCCGCTATTGGTGTCTGTGGGGGCGTGATGTCTTTTTGTGCGAAAAGGCTGGGCTTTTGCTCTGTTTCAATCCTGGCTGCGGCATGCTTCGGGGCAGCAGGTCTTGTACGACGCCCTCGGTTGGGGAATGTTGTCGAGGTCGAGCTAGGGAGCTCAAAGTTTATTGTATTAGGGAGAAAGCTGTAAAGTGTCTCCCGTTAGCATTGTGCTCCAACCAAGATGTGTTGATATGTTCTTGGGATGGGCTTTGTCGGGTTTTAGGGGCTTGACCATCACATGAAAGGTTAGGAGGGGTGAGCTCTTGACAGATCCTGAGCTCTGTGTCACCACGTCAAACTTCCTATGCACATTGGACAAACAAGAGGAGGTTGCAAGCAAGTCTCGCAATTGGAGAGATTCTGTTGGAGCCGCAGGGGAAGCCGACTTACAGTGATACCACGAAGACCGTCATGGTCAGAGATTAGGAGGGCGGGCAAGGCGGCGGGCGCAGGGTAGACGGTATGGAGAGAGAGTGCAAGGACGAGGCTTGCAGGTGGCGGATGGAGGGGAAATCGTCACAAGAATGAATAGAGGCGGAGGGGTCGAGCAGGATGCAGCTCGAGAGAATAGGATTCCTTTGCGCTCGGAGAGGTTTCGTGGTCCGAATCAGTAGCCCAGCGCAAGGGAAGTTTCGGGGAGGCGATTCAAAGAATCCCCAGGGCGGGCGGGTAGATTTAAATAGAATGAATAGCTATTGAATGAAGCCGCATAGAATTGCGGGGATGCGGATGGAATTGGTGGGTGGGACGAGAGCAGACTGACGAGAAGGACGAGAGGACCAGACGAAAAGACAGGAAGTCTGCACACGGGGTCAAGGAAGAGGCCACAGGTTGATATAAATATAATAAATCAAGGAACGGGGGCGAGCATTGGCTATTGGACTGGTGATATGGCCATGATTGTCGTTCAGTCTGGACGACCTGGACGGGCAGAAGTTGAGGCGGCAGAGGACAGGAGGGGAGGGGTGAGGTCACAAAAGATCTTTTTCTCGAGCGTTCTATGTATTCATACGTCAGGCACGCCGCCGCCAACAGGGATGCGCACGCTTTTTCTGCCAGGCCTGGCCGCTGCGATTTTCCGGGCGTCGGTTTCCATGGGGAGAGTTGAGTTTAAGTATGAAGACACGAACTGCAGAGGGAGAAAGGGAGAGAGGATAGGTGGTTGAGAGGGTAGATGCTAACATATATATATACGTAGTTACATAGTTACATATTACATACCTAGTTACATGGTTATTATGAGGTCTCCCTCTCTCTCCCCGTCGAGAGAGATCCGGATCAAAGGGCCGAACCAGAGCGAGAGCAAGGGAGATCAGCATCAGCCACACATTCACCGCCTTGGCAAGCCTCAAACTCAAAAGGAGGTCAACTCCGACCATCGATCTGTAGTTAAGTCTCGACTCTCAATCCATGCCAGGCCAGGGCCATCTGCAGTTAGGAGAAAATAATAATGTCGGGCGCGGAGGTTTAACTGGTAACCTTGCCTCTTTGAGCCGGTTGTTTCCGGCAAGCTTGGTTGCGAACGAACTTGCTGACTTGCCAACTTGCCCTTCACCCGCGCGCCTCGACCCTCGCCCCCAACCCCATCCCTCGTCGAGCGCAAAACCATACTCGCTACAGACATCTTCTTTTGAAAACCACCCTGTGTCTGCCCTGTCGGGCATGTTGGGCATCTATCAGATTAATGTGGCTGCGGCCCGGTCCAGACTGCTGTCGTGGCTCTATCGATGTTGGTTAAACATTTGAATGTGCCTTATACTTGATCTCGACCCTTCGGTGCATCGAGCTTGAGGGGGGGGAGGACATAAGAAAAAGGGGCGCCATGCACTGCGTCGTAACTCGATCCAGCAGCACACCATGAGGGGTGCATGATCGTGGAGAGAAGGTGATAGAGTACTTGATGCCCAACGGCATGGGAGGGTTGGAGAGTCCCTGGCCCCGTCATTAGAGAAAGCGCTATTATTATCAGATTGTCCCCGGATTCTCGGATGGACTGAGGCTTTTGAAAGCTTCGAAAATACCTCTCGGCATTTGAGAGGCATGTGCGCCGTCTTTCCCCAAGGTGGGAGGAGGGTCCAGACTCCGGACTCCAGGGCGGAAAGGTTGCAATCTGATCTGGCCTTGCTATTTCTGAGCCGTCATCAATTCACATTACCATTACTACCACGCAGTCCCTCCTGTGATCCTCCCTCGTCTCAAATGCCGCAGCAAAGGCTGTGCATCGACATGAAGACCATCACATGCTTCTCAAACTCTCTCTAGCATTTTAGCCGGGAGCATACACGTGTTCAATCTATGAGTTCTGGATGGGCCATCGCTCGCGAGAAGAGCACGTATTTTTGCCGGATGTGAGGAGAAACCGGGTCGGAAGGCAAGAAGCGTTAATAACCACTTTGGCGTCCGGGGATAGAGCGAGCTAAGGCCAAAGCCAAAGCTCAATCCTGACCTCATGAATAGAGATGGTTGTAGGTAAATGTATCTTTCTGCGAAGAATGCAACTCAATGCCCTAGCATAGAAGAGCAATAATGATTTCAATTATTTACTGCAGGCGGCTTGTTTGGTTGGAGTAACACAAAGCAAGTGCAAAGCGCAAACCCGTGTCAAACACCACTCCTTCGACTCAGCCAGCCTGGAGAAATTACATCAGCAAAGTTCTCTATAGCTTCTAGCATTGATAGAGCACGATCGATCTCGGAGTCCTCCCTCAGTACCCTCGTGGTCTTCCTCTTTTGCCCACGAGGGTCAGCAAGCTCAGGGGCCTTTCCTGTAGAATCAACATCGTCCTCATTCATGCTGTCAGCCTTTTGGATTGCTTGGCGTTTCTCAGACCGAATGCTCTTTTCTATGAAATTGAGTGCCATGTCTAAATCGCATTCGTCTTCATCCAGATAACGCAAGATTGCCTTTCCTGGAAGTTGTGTCAGGGTTCTGCCACTGATTTCCCCTTCAGACGCGCCGGCATCCAGGGAGTTTATGAGCTTAATGATGCCTAGGAGCCTGCTGCCAGGCAGCCCCGAGTCAGTGTTAAACTCAAGTTCTGCATCTCGATACGAAGGGAGTGAGGTATTGGACACAATGTGGCCTTCGTCTATAAGCTTTTGTATTCTCCCACGAAGAATCTCATACTGTGTAGCAGCTAATGGCGGATCCATTGCGATCTTTAGGCCACATCTGTCTAGAAATGCTGCATCCAAACAGCTAAGCATATTTGAGGTGCAGAGAAAGATAACGTTCGAGTGTTCCTTAGCTCTATCAAGACCGGTGAGAAGAGCGTTGGTTGCTCGCAGAGAATCTTGAGCCTCGCCATGCATGGTCGACTCCCGTGAGTTAGCGATACTCTCAACTTCGTCAATGAGAACACAGATCAGTTGTTCAGAATCCTCTTCGCACATCTTCTCGATTGCAGTAAAGATCTCATCAACCTGCTTCGCGCTTTGACTGTAGAACTTCGAGAGGAGCGTCGCGGTCTTGATTTGGATCAGTTTCGTGTGTTTATAAATTGAGTTGAGTCGAATTGATATTTTTTGGGCCAGTCCTTGGCACAAAGTTGTCTTTCCGGTTCCAGGTGGACCATGCATTAAAATCAACGGATTAAACACTGGCCGTTTTGCGCCGGGCTTTCTGGAGAACCGGACTACTGTCTGTTAGAGTACGAAAACAGGAAACCTTTGGGCTGTTGAACGTACTCATGTTTGTCACAAGCCGGATGAGCTCACCCTTTAGGTTTTCTTCGAACACAAGTCTATCGTAAAACGTTAAGCATTGAAGTCTCAGTAAAAAGCTGTTGCACTTACTCGTCCCACTGCTCAGCGAAACTCATGTGTGGCATCGACGTGATCTCTGATTGCTGGAGAGCCTCCCTTTCCTCCCCGGTCTTGTATAATTTGTAGACGTGCACCTTGACTGTAACATCATTTGAGGAATGACATGTAGTGTCGAGATTTGGTCCATTATACTCGACTACCTTCAGGGACAACAAAGCTATTGCTGCTTCCTCGTAGAATTCGCCCAGAAGAAGAGAGGCACCTCGAAACAAGTCAGTCTTTATACTTTGGAGGGGAAATCTTTGACTTACGATACTTGTTCGCCAAGATATCCTCTCCCAGATCAAAGGTTCGGTCTGGTATAGATAGCAGGCGTTCGAGATCCTGTCGCATCACCTGTAGGAGTTAGATGCTTCAAGATACCTAGAAAGTGATTCGAATACCTCGGATTCGTCAACTTCCAAATCAATATCGCTCTTGACCCGGGCTTCGAGGTATATCTTCCCTGGTTTCACTCTGGATCCATCATTCTGAGCCATCGCATACTCCGTCTCTTCCCCACGATACTTCTCCCCTCACCTTGGGCCCTGATTGGCTGTTTGAGGTGAGCGCGGGGGTGGAGTATGTGGAAAGAAAGTTTGGGTGGAACGATGAATCTCCGCAGGGGTATCTATAGGTACTGTTTACCTAGGGCGGTACCTCAGTATCGCTTCACCACCTATGTCATCGCCGGGGCCCCCGAGGTGAAGCTTTCAATCTTCAATGATCCCATAAGACCATCACCAAAAGTTGCTCATCATGAGTGGCACTGACAAAGAGTGTCCGAAAACTGATCCAACGGACCCTACAAATGGCCAAAAGCAAATATACGTCCAGGCCGTCTTATCTCTCGCGCTGGGCGCATCTGCATTCCTGGGCTTCTGCGTGAGTTTCGTCGCAAGCTCCTCTCCTCTATTGCAGTAGGCTGACTGGTGTAGTTCCTCCGCCCACGATGGAAGAGTCTTTACGCTGCACGGAAGAGACAGTCCGATGCTGCTCTGTCGCTCCCAGAGCTCCCAGATAGCTTTTTCGGATGGATGCCAGTGTTGTACAGAGTAACAGACGCCGAGGTGCTTGCTTCTGCTGGCCTCGATGCGTATGTCGTAAGTCCAATGGGCGTATGGGATGCGCGGAGACATGGCTGACCAGAAACAGTTTCTAGCATTTTTCAAAATGTCGATAAAGCTCTTTGGGATCATGTTCCTACTCGCATGCGCGATCCTCGTTCCTATCAACAAGCACTTCGATCATTTGCCGACTTTTGGAAACAGCACTGATCCGCATGCTCCCGACCTTTTCCTATCACTGGGCCAGGATGATTGGGAATTTGATGATATGTATAAAGGCTCCGAGAACAAGCTTCCGGACAACAGTTATTCGTGGGCTTATCTCGTCTTTACCTACGTCTTCAGTGGCCTCATAATCTACTTCATGACACGGCAGACTTTGAAGATAGTTCAAGTTCGGCAGGATTACCTTGGTAGCCAGTCAACAATCACGGATCGGACCATCAGGCTATCAGGCGTCCCAAGGGAGCTTAGGTCTGAAGAAAAGATAAAGCAATTTTTGGAGAAGCTCGAAATTGGCAAGGTAGAGAGCGTTACTATCTGTCGCAACTGGAAGAAACTCGATGACTTGATGGAGGAAAGAGCCCGCATACTTCGAAAGCTAGAGGAAGCGTGGACGGTACATCTTGGGCAACCAAAGAGCATAAAATTTGAACCTACCGCGCAACTAGCACACCCTGGCCTTGAAGACGATAACGAAGAATCGGAAAACCATGAGAGAGACAACCTTTTGGGGAACAATCATGTCACAACTTACGAGAAACCACGTCCTACTACCAGGGTCTGGTATGGATTTCTGAATCTTCAAAGCAGAAAAGTTGACGCTATCGATTACTACGAAGAGGAACTTCGAAAGCTAGATGATACAATCATCAAGGCTAGAAAAAAGGAGTACAAGGCTACACCTCTTGCATTTGTCACAATGGATTCAATTCCGGCATGTCAAATGGCTGTTCAAGCTATTCTCGATCCATCTCCAGGGCGATTACTGGCAAAACTAGCCCCTGCACCATCAGATATTATCTGGGAGAACACCTACCTAACTCGGTCGAGCAGAATGATTCGTTCTTGGACAATCACGATCTTCATTCTGGTACTTACAATATTTTGGCTTGTTCCCGTTGCTGCGCTTGCTAGCTTGGTAGATCTTTGTTCTATTCGACAAGTTTGGCCGCAACTTGCCGACTTTCTCGGAAGCCATGATATCCTGAAAGCTCTGGTACAGACAGGGTTACCAACTTTGGTTGTGTCACTGCTGAATATAGCTGTTCCCTTCTTATACGATTACCTGGCCAACAAGCAGGGAATGATCTCCCAGGGAGATGTGGAGCTTTCCGTGATTTCAAAGAACTTTTTCTTCACGTTCTTCAACGTCTTTCTCGTCTTCACGGCATTTGGGACAGCGAGTAAATTTTGGCCAGTTCTGCAGGAGTCATTTAAAGATGCAACGAAGATCGCCTATCGACTCGCTACTTCGGTCAAGCTGCTTGCCATCTTCTACACCAACTTCATCCTCCTTCAAAGTGTGGGTCTCCTGCCCTTCAGACTTCTAGAATTCGGCAGCGTCTCTCTTTACCCGATTACTCGCATGGGTGCGAAAACACCTAGGGACTATGCGGAACTTGTCAAACCACCAGTCTTTAAATATGGCTTTTACCTCCCTTCTGCTATCCTCATCTTTATCTTGTGCTTGGTGTACAGCATCCTCCCTGCCGGCTACATGGTGCTCTTCTTCGGTTTGATATACTTTGTCTTCGGCTACTATACCTACAAGTATCAGTTGCTCTACGCGATGGAACATGGTAGACATGCAACTGGACAGGCATGGCCAATGATTTGCTACCGCATCATGGTCGGAATGGGAGTTTTCCAGGTTGTGATGGCTGGACTGATTGCACTTCAGAAATCATTCACTGCTGCAGTACTTGTTCTACCCCTGATACCAATGACTATTTGGTACAGCTATTATTTTTCGCGAGCCTATGAACCATTGACTAAGTTCGTCGCTCTCCGAAGCATTCGACGGGAGAACAATGCCGATATCAACCTCGCGGATGAGGACTTTGGCACCGATCAGTCCGTAGGACAACTTCGACGCCGGAGTACAACAGTTGATGAATCTAGAGAGAAAGGCTGGAAATTTGTGAATCCAAACGTCGTAGCCCCGTATGTATATCCCATGCTCTGTGACCAGATCAATTAGCTGACATTTTCCCCAGATTGGAGAAGCCCTGGATAGAGAAGGAGCCGGAAGCAGAGTCAAATGGCGAGACAATACGGCTAGATCGGGAGGATAGCGTTGAAAGCAGCACCAGCCTGGGAGACACCCATATATGGCGAGAGAATGGCGATGAAAATGTATAAATACCAGTGTTTCGATACCCGCGGCATGAATGGCGTTTAGGGTGGACTTCATTGCCACGAGGAAGGGTCGCCCTTTCCTCTGGCTGGGTTTAGAGTTTTGCGTAGCACGTATACCCCCATGTTTCCTTTTCTGGGTTTTATTTATATCATACGAAGTTCTCAATTTTATCCAGCTACCTACAACTTCGTATCCCTATTGGTATTCCTATTGAATCATCTTAATCCGCTTTTCGGATAGCTTCGACGGCATCACTCAGTACGTCCGCGGTACTGCACACTTGCGCTGTGACTGGGAAATGTGAATGACCAGATTGATCTTTGAATCAAAGTCTCTCTCGCCGCCTGGCCTGGTTGTGTCCAGGGGAGAGGCCTGGCAATGACTATCGTTTCATACCATTCGACTCTAGTCGGCCAATTTGCATCCTCCCAGGAGGCCATCGACAAAACGTCTTCCGAAATCCTCTTCTCAAGGGACGTTGCAGGCCCAGACGGTGAGACTGCTCCTTCACCGAGTGGGGAAGGGGATGCTCCATCAGCGATGCCCGTCTTCGAATCCAACTCGAGGCACGTCATGACTCTGAGCGAGCCTGCTCACACTGCATCTTCAGTATCTCAGATCACGCCGAAATCAAACGTATCTGAAGAGCCAAGTAAGTTGCCCAAAATTACTTTTTGGCTCCCAGATTCTAATTTGTCGAAGGCCGCAACGTGACTGTACGTAGCACAGAAGATCGTTCTGAAGGTTCTCCAGGTCTTCTACCCGCTCCACCCCCTACCCTCGCCGGACGCATTCTCTATAACGAACACCATCGCCTAAATCCTTCTCCAATCATTCCTCCAGAGACAACGGTTCCCTCAAACAACAGCAATACTTCATCCGCGCAACTCAACAATGAGAGTGCCGTCGATAAGGGCAAAGACAAGGAGGTGGAACGGGGCAGGACGGTGGAAAGAAGACCCATGTATGCGAACCCCCTGGCGAAAGCTGAATCTCGACTTCGAATGAATGATGCCGCAATCGAGGTCGATGTACGTCCGATTGAGAAGCGGACACTCAGTCGCAGCAGCACGTTCTCTCATTTTGACGATCCCACTGATCCTTGTGCCGTATTGGAGGACGACTTACTCGAGCCCTGTCCACATGTCCCTGTCTGCAGTACTGTGTATGAAGTCCTGAACACTCCACTTGATGCTTCGGGTATAAGGGCAACCAAGGCAGCTCGATCCAGTGCCAATGATTCCCCCGGCTCATGGAATATCAGGAAACCAGCTCGCGCGCTCACGGTCGACCTCAGTGAAAGCAGGCCCCTTTATCCAGCACCGGTCACCCAATCCGAGACCATGACCCAAATGTTTCCAGATGTTGATCATCGTGAATCCTTCATCATCACTCCCTCCCCACTCGTCTATAACACGACTCAAAGCTTTTCAGACCTCCCTCTGGATACTCCTAACGCTCCGGCATCATTAGGTGCTCAACTGCCTACGGAGATACTTCAACAAATCTTTTATATGCTCTCTCCGGCCGATTTCAATTCTTCCAGACACACTTGCCGATCATGGTTCATTAGCAGCCTTGAACGATCTATTCTGGAAGTTATGATGAGCCGCGGAGGTTGGTCTAGTAGCATCCAACGCGACATAGCAGCAAATCGTGCTTTGGACTCAGAAGCTCGGATAAATGATGAATGGCTAATGAGCAAACGTATATCACGAGAATGTGCTCTTGGTCCGGACTGGACCGGCAATGGAATTTCTGACAGCACTGAATACCAATCATTGCCTTCGAATAAATCTGGATTTGTCTGTACCTGCATCGTTGATTTCACAGATATACCAGTGCACAATCCGGGAAAAAGTGCATCGGGGACGATCTTCACCGTCAGCACCTGTGGGAAATTCCTAATGGCTGCAAATGGATGTTTGATATATATCTACGAGATGAATCGAAGCCACCGCCCCAAAGATGGTGATCAGGTCGTTCATCCAGGCTCTTTACGTCCTGTTACAAGCATTATTTGCCCTGGGAGAGTAATAGCGTGCAGTATGGACACCTCGTCATACCGATATGCTATTGCAGTTCTTCTTGATGGTCGTATGGGTCTGGTTTGCGACATAACTCCAAACCGTATAGCACCTCCTGCTGCTTTACGCAACGCGGATAACCCAGAGTCCGACAACCTTCCAAATAAGTCGGTGGCCTCTGCGGAAAAGTCTCGAGAGGCAGAGAGCCCTCAAGGCCCTTCATTCCTCGAACGCGTGTCACTCAACAGCTCAGCCTCCAATCCTGTATCAGGCCGTCCTACGAGTGACCTGCCTTTCGTTTTTCCGGTTATTGCAACTACAGCCACTTCTAACCCAGATGAATCAACTTGGCAAGATGTTTTCAGAAGTTACATACCCCAATCGATGGGTACGGCTGTATCAAGCTCTCGGCTCCCTTCATTATCTCGAGCGCAAGCCATGGGCATGGAGAGTGGGTTGTATAGCATGCTTCCCCCTTTCCAAGGGAAAGTTCATGCTAACACGATGCCCATTGAGATTGGGCCCCGATCTCTCTATCGTAACCTCTGCTCTGATGACGATCCACCTCGGTCGGTAGCCATTTGTCCACAGCGGCGCTGCGTTGCTTATGGCTGCTCTGCTGGCATCGAACTTCATTGGGTTGATGCACTCACCGGTCAGGACTTGAACAGATGGTTTCCGCTCACGGCACCAAGCGATTACCTATTCTTCCTACCACCGAGAACCAGTGTAGACTCAGCAAAGAAATTACGACTCATTAGTAGTGCTGCAAAACCCAGCGAGAGAGCTGCGATCAGTCAAAGAGCATTTGGAGGAACCTCGCAAAATAGTCCATTTTGGGAGAGATTCAACTATGGCGCCCTCATAGAGGAGAACAATGCAGAGGCAAACAGTGATCAAAGCCTTCTATTGAGGTTGAGAGCCAGTACCCACAGCAGAGCCTTTGCTGGAAGGATGGATTGTTCCGACCATTATCGTGCGGTGCCACTCAGCGATGGATACCACGTCCTCTTCACAGATCCTACGACAGGTCTTCTATGTCTTGGAAGCGATGCCCCTGTTGGTGGTCCTTTGAAACTACTGCGTAAAATATGGTTCCAGGGTCCGGAGGGCAAGGGAAGCCCCGTTGCTTATGCAAGTGGTTCTGATATGAGCTGGGGTGTGCGGGTGATCGCGGCATTTGGTGCCGGCCCAGAGCAGAGCATTTGGTTCTTCTCAGTGCCAGCAGATGTGTTTGCTGCCAATAAGGGCTCTCAGTCAATTTTCGGAGGCTCATATGACAAGACCAGCTCCAGTGGCAAGAGCAGGAATATGGATTGGGTTGACTGGTGGCCAGATCGTGGTCTCTACGAGTGGCTGAATAATGCACAAGAGACTATGCCAGGTGTTCTTCCTAGATCTGTTTGGCCTGTGAAGATTAGAGGTCAGGAGATTGGTACCTGTCCATTATTGGTAGATCTTGCTGTCGATTCTGGCCCGTCCCTAACCGTTTGGGCCTTCAGCAAAGAGGGTATAGCTAGGGTATGGAGGATTGATGATGGGAAAGATGGGAATGTCAGGAACATACGAGTTGTTAGGGATGGTACAATCCGTGAGCGAGACGGCGAAGGCGATCTCGAGATGAGTGATAGCTCGGGGTCGACACCGGAACTTCTCGAGTCGCCGTTGTCTCTGACACAGGAGTCTTTCGATGGCGCAACTTCATTGAACAAAGCCACAACTTTGGCAACAAGATTTGTTAGGCGGAGTTCTATCGATGAAGGGAGCCAGCAAAGAGTGAACTATGATTCGGAAGGGGATGTTATAATGGAAGATGTGGATAGCAGCGACTACTACCAAGCATGGCCGCCGGATTCCTTTGAGGCAGTGGTGTTTTTACAACATCAGGATGGTAATCTATATCGAACGTCTCGCGGGTCAGGCGAAAGCCTTGAAAGTATTGGGTCTGATCTCATTGAGGGCTTGGCTGGGGTTACGAGAATTGAGATTGAAATTCGTTGAAGGCTTCAGATTGCCATGGTTATGGTCTGATTGGAGTAGATTGGCCAAGGTCGAAGATTGATCCTGTTATAATTCTAGAGTGTTGCCAACACCAAGTATCAATAGAGCAGAATTGTATCCCTATTTCCCCTATTTTACTTACAAGTTTGGTTGATACAACGTACCTCTACAACCTCAAGGGTAAATTTCCGGTCTCCAGATCTCTATCAGTAGCAATCGCTATTGACAGACATATTTCTCTTAGGGAAAGTGGGCTCAAATCTGAAGTGGCTGAATAGGCGAGATTTCAGAAATTTGGAAATGGAACAGTGAAGCAAAATGAAGAACAGGTCCATGCATGGTACGCACGTCCCCGAAGCGGCACCGCGGACGCTAAGAGCGGCGGGCGCTAGGCCCCGTGGCGGGTGCTACCGTGGCTTAGTCCGTGGCTAGTGGCGGGGCTTAGCCTCGTATAGAGGACACAACACCATAAGCTAAGCCAAGATACGGAAGAAAGTGCCAGTCAGTTGTGACCCGTGATTCCAGCCATCATCATCATCATCAGCTGTCTGTCCAATAAGCCCCATATTCCCTCCTGCTTCAGCTCGAAACATTCTCCAACCAGCATGCCATTCTGCTATATATACATCCCAGCAGCATTTCTACGATTCCCGCCAACTTCCTAAGTAAGGCCCACGAATTGATTTGATTTGATTTGAATTGAAGTCATCCTGCAAGCACGAGAAATCCCGCCGAGGTCGATTTGTCTGAAACGAGGAACTGCGCCACCACCCACCACCTGACCTAGCACAAAGTAATCGTCTTGGGGCGTTTGGAGAATTGATTTGTTTTCTAGAAAGCTTCACCCATACTGAAAATTGTGTCAAACATGTGTCTATTCTGTAAGTCGTCGTCCTCCTCCCAACAACGCCCCTCTCTCTCTACTTTATATCCTTCCCAAGCTAGATAAATAGAAGAAAGCTGACCCTCCCCGCCGCAGCACGACCAGAATACGACGTCGAGTTCGCAACTCGCACCGCGCCACGGCGCAAGACAACAACAAGAACCTATGTTGCGACGACGACGACGATGCGGCCCGTGACGCGCATCTCCGAGACTGTGATCCGGGAGCAGCGCGCGGCCGCCGCGCAATACGTACCAGCTCCAGCGCCAGTCCCGCGACCTGCGACGCCGCCGAAAATGATCCGCGCGCCATCTCCACCGCCGCCGCCGGCGCCGCGCGTAGAACTCGTGAGCGTGAGCGTAGAGGAGGATAGAGCGGCGGGGAGTCCGAGGGAGAGTCGGACGTCGGTCGTGGATAAGAGGAGTCGGCGCGGGAGTCGAGCGGGCGCGGGCGAGGAGGACGTGTGGATAGAGAGGGAGAGGGTGCGGCTTACTACTAGTCCGAGTCCGAGACCGAGGGAGAGGGACGAATATGATACGTATCGATATGTGCCGGCGCCGAGGAATGAGCCTAGTCCGAGGACGTCAACGAGGACGGTGGAAAGGGAGAGGGAGAGGGTTTATATTGAGGATGGGGGAAGGAGGAGGGAGTATTATCGGAGGGGCTAGGTAGGGGGTGCATTGTGAATGTGGGAACTCTCTGAATTCAGCGATTTGTGTTTTGGAATATCTAGTGGCCATCAATAGACTGCTTTTCGGCGTTTTCCTTCATCATGGTCTCAAGAATATAAAAGTCACGCAACTTTAACTCTTTCCCACATTAGAAAAATCACAGGCATTATCCTTAATCCGTTGAAGAATCAGTTGATATTCTAGAGCTCACTCACTCATGAAATGGCATTCCTGCACATGAGGTAATAAAGGGGGCTGGGTCTTGTACATCAAGAGACGTTGAAATCAAGAGCCTGATTTGAGGACTCCAAAATGTCTCGACTGTCTACCCAAGCTCCAGAACACCCCATCTTCAAAGTCATTTAATTCACCTGACGCCGTTTAAAAAACTCCCATTGCCATAATCAGAAGCTAGATGTACTCCCTAGATTGATGTCCACTCCTTTGGACTCATCGTCTCTGAAATTCTGCATTCAAATCGGAAGATAGTGGCTCTATAGGCGGCGTTGGGCGATGGGAGGGTAATGGTCTCCAGGCTATGGTATCCATGGTAAAGTTTTGGTAGACCGCCAGGGGATTCTCTATTTTAAGAGTTGAGGAACGTCCGATGGTAACAAAGATCTAGAATATATTGTTCAATTCTCTAGGCCTGGGATTTGATCATGAAGATCTGCTATACGTTAGTGTCCGTATACAAGGGCCACACATACGGCTACTAGCGGGAAACCCAGACTTACCTGATTCAATGCTGCTGTATCCATGCTTGCTAATCGTTTCTGAGCAATGTTTCGTGCTCGTACTGCGTGTATTCCTTGCACAACTAGCGTGGAGTTACCACTAGATGTGGCTGCTGTCGAGGAAGTGCTCATCTTGGTAGTAGTTCCGGAGGAGGATTCTGACGATTCGGAAACATCGGCAGACTCAGCTTGCCGTTTCGATTTCTTCTTGGACTTCTCCTCCTTTCTTGCCTTCTTCTCCTTCTTCTCCTTTTTGCGTCTCTTCTTTTCGGCCTCGGCTGTTGCATCATCAACGTCCATCTCATCTTCCCCGCCCTTCTTTGACTTCTTCTTCGACTTCTTCTTCAATGCCTTAGGATCCTCTTCTGTAGAAACAGCAGATTCAGGTTCGTCTGGACCGGCCTCGTGTTTCCGCTTCTTTGACTTCTTCGATTTCTTGACCTTCACGGCAACAACTTCTGGGACTGACTCATCATCCTCCTCTAACTTTCGTTTCTTCGCTTTCTTGGGCTTCTCCACTGGCTTCTCCTCATCTGACTCTGACGAAGAGCTAGAATCGCTCGAACTCTTTTCCGCGGCGGCCGAAGGCGTCTCTCCAAGTTTTCGTACTCTCTCTGCCTCGCTATCGATCAAGTGCTGTATCTTGTCGCCGATAAGGAATCCTCCGGGAACAAATCTAATACTTCCCCACCTTCTTTCTGTGTATATCGCTCTCTTCAAATCTTCTCTGGATTTCTTTTCTTTCGCTATTTCATCCTCATCTTTCCCATTAAGTCTTCCCAGCAAATCTTTGAAAGCGTCCAGCCCGGTACATTCGCCATGGCCAACCCCGCTTCCAATCTTCGCTCCCAACCCAAGGTTATCGTCCTTGATCGTCACTCGGATATGTGATGCATTGGCAGCCGTATAATGCTCCGCATGCCTCGCATTCTTAGCCCCAAGGAAATCTCCAGGTTGCCAGCCTTGAGCAGCCATAATCTTGTGCCCAAAGCTTTCCGTGTTCGAGGTCCATTTTGTATTGTTGGGATCGTGGGAGAGTTTGGTCCGCCTTTCGGTATGTTAGAATTTCAATTTAAAATCAAGAAGAGAATCAACCTACTTTCGCGGCGCTGCGAGTCCCATTTTTCTTGTGTAGAGGCTGAGAGGGAGCTGTGAATGCGAGGAGCTGCTTTTCGTTGGAAAAAAGGCGAGCGCTCGAGAAACCAAAATTTTGGTGGAACAATTCCTCGATTACGCTAGCGCTTGATTGGGTAAGCGGGCGTACCCTTCCCCGATCCTCTCCAGCACGACAAACTCCCCTCAGAACGGGGCCGCCTCAAGACAACGTGAAGTGTGGGGAAGTCTAGATATTCATCGGTCCTGTCAGATAGAAGAGAACTACCAAGCATCCATGTCACTCATCACCGAAATGGCTTCTCGTCCATCACGCAAGAGTCAAGTGACTGCACGCAGCGAATCAGACGAGGATGACGCGCTGCAAAGTTCATATGATCGGAATGAGGATGACATGCTCAAAACAGCCCAGGATATGCTCTCTTCAGTATGGATTCTACTCTATACGTTTATTAAAGCTTCTTTACTGATCTAGCCCTTGGGTAGAGCAAGAGGCGTCGGGCAGCCAAACGCAAGAACCTTGAAGAAGAGTATACTTCGCATACCAAGGATGTTGCAGCCAGGATCAACTCTTTGTTCGAGACTAGGAAATATCGAGTGTAAGTTGTTCTATTTATTGTTCTCATTCTCGCGTGTCAAGCTTCAAGTGAGATTGTTTTTTCTTGGAAACTTTGCTATAGTAACGCATACTTCCATCTGGGTGCTTTTGGAGCTGGCTCGAGTTTCTGTGCACAATGTTATTTGTATAAATGATGTACGTCTCTGGATGCGCCTTGAGAACGTTTAAAAACTTCCTGCGAATTGGTAGAGCATTTTGACGATATGTCTGGTGGTACTTGTTTTCACACTCACGCAACTCCACAGGGCTAAAATCCAGAAGGCCCAATGGGACAGGCTTGATGCTCTAAATAGGAAGAGGTCGGCTCTCGAATCTCTCATTCTGGCCAGTATGAGATCCATTGAGCAGCACACTATCAATATCTGCAGCGAATTATCCGCCATGTTCGAGGGTCGTATCGAAGAACTTCAGGAGGGTCCAGTTCCACAGAAATCTTAAGAAACTACTTACCGTCTGGAAGTTCAAGTTCGTCAACCCTTCTATTATCGATCTATTAAGTCCTGACGCTCTACTAATCGACCACACAGGGAGACACCAGGGAGACACTGAAATATTGCTATACACCTTTGCTGTACACTTACCCTCTAGCACACTTATCAAGGAACTATTTACAGGCGTTACGATAAGGGTTTGTCAGGGGCTTGTTTTGCCGGTCATTAGCACGTAAAATACATACCTATATACACTTGCATCGCGCTTCCTACTATCCACACACAATGCCAGGTGAACTATCTAAACACATTCTGGCATTATCCACCCTATGCACCAGCACCAACGCCGATAATATCCTTTTCATTACAATACATCAGAATCCCCTTTCGGGTCTCCACCAGCCGGCCAACTGTGCTAATTCGCCAATCCATTCCCGAACGGTGTCAACGACGACCTTGATCATACCCTGCCGCTTATTATTGACGCCCGGAGCGCCGGGGGTAGTTGGCTCCTCGCTGCCCATTGTAGGTAAAACGTTATCGCCCGCAGAAAGTGACACGAAGAGCGAGAACGGCACCAGCCACACACAAATCCCGAAATAGGAGGCGATCTCAGTAAAGGTCGGGACATCAGGTTTATCATAAATGGATGTCATGGGCGCGACAGCGGCGGTGGAGAAATGCGAGAACCAGACATAGTGGTTGAAGAGAACGAGAACTAGAGATGTTGGGTCAGTTGGAAGGCTCCTATACAGCAGAGACCGGGCGTTCACATACCACATGAGATTATGAACAGAGGATCACTGAGCTTCACGACAGGAAAGCGCCGCATGTTTCCCAGATATACCACATGTGACACGATGCTGAGGAGGGAGAGCGTGAATGGCAGGCCATCGATGATGCATAGAAGGATCTGGAGACCGATAACGAGGTATATGAGGCGCGTAAGAAGGCGCTTTGCAATGACCGTGTGTTCTTCGACGAGTTCAGATAAGTAGTAGAGTCCAGAGGCTTTAGAATCCTTTGTTAGTAAGAGATCGTGTGCTCTTTTGAGCGTGAACGTACCTATGGCGAGGGTGAGGAAACCAAAGCCAAGGGCCATGCCCATGTACCCTATGAGAGGGAGAATCCACATGGCGACCAAGTATTTTTCGTTATGAGACTTGCATGCTGTGTTTAAACTGGATCGATTGGGTTATTCGCTGCTGCGTCTTGTTTATCTTTCGCGGGAGGCGTATTGCGGGGTGAAATAGACGGGTGGATGCTGTCGCCGCCAGAACAAGGTGTTCTCATCCCCAGATCCCCGGCAAAACCTCGGCTCGGCACAGAAAAATTCCCATGACGATTTGCGACGAAATGCCCTTCCACGAAAATTCAGCGATTTCAATTCTTGAAACCGTTCAGAGAAGTATTTCGCGCAAAGAGACCTGCCGGGTCCCAGGAAATATTTAAAAGGAAGCCAGCTGGTAGTTTATGAAGTAATTTGGACCTTTCCTTTTCTGCTTCGGCAGAACTACTTTACAGCCATGTCTCGCCCAGAAGATACTCTGTAATTCTCCCCTCAACCCCTCCATGCGACAAGAGACTGACAAGTTACCTACAGCCCCCCCGATCTCCACTACAATGATGCCGAAGCCAAGAAATACACCACATCCTCCCGAATCCAAAACATCCAGGCGTCCATGACGCACCGCGCTCTGGAACTCCTCGACCTTGACCGCCCCTCCATGATCCTCGACGTGGGCTGCGGCTCTGGTCTCTCCGGCGAGATCCTCTCCTCTGTCGACCCATCCGAAGGCGGCCCTCACATATGGGTCGGGATGGACATCTCCGCTTCCATGTTAGACGTGGCGCTGCAGCGAGATGTGGAGGGCGATCTGATGCTGGCCGATATTGGACAGGGGGTCCCGTTCCGCGCCGGTAGTTTCGATGCCGCCATCTCGATCAGTGCGATCCAGTGGCTGTGCAATGCTGAAAGTAGCGAGGTTTCGTCGACGGGTAGGCTGTCGAGGTTCTTTAATGGCTTGTATGCGAGCCTGAAGAGAGGTGGAAGAGCAGTTTGCCAGTTCTATCCGAAGAATGATCAGCAGAGGACTATGATAAGCGGTGCTGCTATCAAGGCTGGTTTCGGAGCAGGTATCTTGGAGGATGATCCAGGAACGAAGAACCATAAGCTTTATTTGGTGTTGACTGTTGGCGGATCAGAGGCTGAAGGGAATGGAGGTGATATTACGGGAGTGGTCAAGGGAATGGAGGGTGTTGATGTCTTGGATGCGCGAAGGAAGCATCGAGAAAAGGGAAGAAAGGAACTGAAGAAGGGAAGCAAAGCGTGGATCTTGAGCAAGAAGGAGCAGATGGAAAGGAAGGGCAAGGTGGTGAAGAACAGCTCGAAGTACACGGGGAGAAAGAGACACATCGCTTTCTAGAGAGCTGATGGATTGCATTGCATGGCGTTCGGGTACAGGATGATATCAAAAGGGGCTCCAGTGATGCCCCATCCATGAGTCTTGATTTCTTGATTTGTTCTGTTGCTGCTAGATTGTACTGGCGTCTTGGCCTGGTGGATGCTTCTGTGAGTAGACTAGGTATACAAAACAATTGATCCGACAGCCAACTCTCTTCCCCAAGTAGCTCGTCCGGCAATCAATAAAGCGCGAGGGTAAAGTGCGAGGTTGAACGAGATGTGTGTTTTGGTAGGCAGCGCACAGCGAACTGAGGTTGAATAGGGGTAATCACGTGCACCCTGGGCGCCCCCCTTTCACCAAAAAGACATAAAACCCACCCAGGAGGTGTATATACATGCTCTATTGCTAACTCTCAGTTTTCATAGCCACAGAAGCTATCACCCCGAATTCCAAGTGCCTTGGTTGAATCCTTACCACCCACGTACCTTACTTTACCTCATTCAAGAGCCTCACGAATTCCAATTCTGCTGCCCACTATTGGTTGCTTAACAAGCTTTTTTATTGACTACCTGCATCTGTGACCACCTTAAAGACATCTGAGCCTACTCCTCCCATAGGAGATCACGGGCTACATCCATTTCCCGTGCATGCTTGCTACTCCACCAACAACCGATTGCTGTTCCAGAACACCCTCGAAAGAGGAATGGAAGAAGCTTAATCAGAAGTAAAAAACATGCCTGTTATCCATTCGCCATCCACCGGGGTTTTTGCTTTTTTTTTTTTTTTTTGCTTTTTCCTTTTATTCTTTTTTTGTGAGTTTTCTGAGTGAAAATAAAAAACAACAACCATCAGAATCATGAGAAGAAAAACATGCCATCAACCATAGACTTTTTTTTTTTTTTTGCTTTTTTCCTTTTTTTGAAATCGACCTCTAGAGACATAGAAAAGAGAAACAGAAACAGAGAAAACAGAAGAAACTCAAAAGCGAAATACCCTTTGCATGCCATCCTCCGCCATTGACCAAATGCTGTTTTATTCCGCAAGGGAAAAAGAGAAAGACGCAGGTAAAGTCGAATCATAAACGTCGACGGGATGACAAGGCATAAGGCCATGTACATCCAAAGAAGCGAAAAGATTCCAAATCAGAACCCCCAAGCTAAAGCTCGAGAATGTAATATCAAGCAGACATGCTATCCATTACCGACTGATTGGAGAACTGCAATATGATTGCAATATGAAGCGAGTATGAAACTGGATGTAGGATCAAGTTACTCGCAACTTAGTCCATGGGGGTATCTAGGCCCACGAAGACAACTTCATCAGAAGATGAGGTTTCGTTGGGCTGGCTAACGACACGGCTCAAGCCACATCTCTCGCACGTGTCTCGCTCTGGGGAAGGACCGGAGAGCCAGGCGTTAGAGCTGACGTGACCACATCCCATACACGGTCCATGCATCACGAGGTGAAATTGACCAGAAGCAGGAGCGGCCGGCGAGTAGAGTGATCCCGACTCGGAGCTGTCATTGTCTGACAGAGGTTCAACGGCTGCGATGAGCTGAGCAGGAGTTGCAGGGATGTTGTATTCCGCGTAACGGGCAATCGATGCGGAGGAGAGCGTATCTGAGTCCGAGTTGCCACCATCTGACATGTCTTCATCGGCTGCCACGGACTGAGCATCAGGTGAAGCTGGCTGCGTATGGCCGGCAATCGATGAGAGGGGGCTCCAACCTGGCTCCGAACCGTCAACTTGTGATGCTTCAAGGGCTGCGATAAGCCGAGCACGAAACTCAGGAGCATCGTATTGGAAATGGCCGGCAATCAACGAGGAGTGCGAACCCGATCCCGAGCGGTCACCATCTGAAATAGCCAAACCAGGGGCAACTCTAGGACTCTCATCAGGGGTGACATAGCGAGAGCGCGAACTTGACTCAGAGCTAGCATCACTGAGAATCAGATCAGGCGAGGCGATCGGGTCATGGTCGGAGGTAGGAGATGGAGAGCGCGAAAACAACTGTGAGAAGTCGATATCCGGAAACTCTTCTTCGTTCGGTCCGACCATATCGTATCCTCTGGCAATGAGTGAGCTGGTGCTCGCACGCGAACCCGGCTCCGAGATATCATCTTCCATGGAAGTCGAGACAGGTGCAGCGGTGTGCTCATGGCCGGAAGTGAGCGTGGATGAGTGGAAACCCGGCTCCCAGTTAGGAGCATCTGGGAAAGCCACCTCACTGAGTATCGATAGCATGCGTCTTTCAGAAACAAGAGATGAGGATACCGAACCCGAGCAATCACTGGCTGAGTCGGGAAAATCATCCATGTCGCTCAGGTCATCCTGCGCAATCACTGATGAAGCGCGTGAGGGATCCTCGGCGGAGAGGATGGCGAGATGGTAGGCCTCGGAAGAGATACTGGACGAGACAGAACCCATATGATAGCGGTCACTGTCCAAGGGAGCGAATTCGTGCATCTCGTGTTGATCATGATGAGCAATATATGAGAAGGTGCGCGAAGGCGAGGTAGGATTCTCAAAATGAGCCAACGCAGATGCAGTGAGCTGAGTACGGGGTCCAATGACAGAGTAGCTCGAAACAGGCACTTGTATACCATTGTCTTCGAGTTCAGAACTGATGGCGATGATATCAGCACGGCTCGTAGTGGGAAATGCAGGCACGAGAGACGGCTCCTCGTTGCGAACATCAGAGAGCTCGAATTGGCTAATGCCAGCAGTGCGATCGTCGGATGCAGGGTGTCTTAGTAGGGTACGACCCTTAGGACGAGCAGCAAGCGCAGGCAACTGTGCACGATGATCCTCTGAGAGAGCAACAGCTGCAGTGTCGACATAGACATAGCCGGCAGCGGGCGAGGAAGGGGGCGAGCCGGAAGATGATGAGCAAGGGGACACAGACTTTAGATCTGGATTATCAGCGTTGGTACGGTAATTGTAATCAGCGCCTAGATCTGGCGACGGAGAACGCGAAGGAGTGAAAGCACAGGAGGAGGTCCAGTTGGTGTATTCCTCTTTGCCAGCTTTGTAATTGAGTGGGATCTTTCGGTATTGTACGACGATTTTGCTCCTGTCTATACTCATGCACAGTTAGTAACCAAGGAAGCAGCTTGGAACGATGAGAGTGAGCTTGCCGTTGTCATCTGGGAACTCGAATCGGGCCAGCTCGAGATAGTTACCGGCTGACACAATCCTCAGCTGATCTCCGCAAACCTTAACTACGCGCTCCACGGATCGTTCATAAGCTATGGAATGTAATCAGTTATCTGGGCTTTCGTAGGCAATGATCTTTAGGATTACTTACTGTATTCTTTTTGAAGCCGCTCAATCTCAGCAAGAACATCGACAGAGGTATCGTTGAGCATCGGATAATGCGCCCGGAGGCGCTCCTGGTTTCTGTTGTAAGCTTCAGTGTATTCATTCTGCTTTTGCAATGCGAGATCGCGGGCTTCCATTAGATCTAGGGTTAGCTTGATCTTCATGCCATGGACTGTCTTTCTGGAGCGATCCTGCTGCTCAGCGTCCTCGGACTCGATCTGACCCTGCATGTCCAGGTCCGTCGAACCCGACATGTTGACAGGCGGGGGGGCTTCAAAGGTGGTGTGTAGTGCAAGTGATTAGGAGGTAAAGGAGCTCTTAGGCAAGATGTGTGGATGTATGTGTTTGTTGTGGATTGTTGAAAGAGAGACGGCGAAGGTGGGTTGTTGTTCTAAGAGACTGTTGTCGGGTTAAACAGATCTCAACGTGTGTTGGTAAAAATCTATGGTTCCGGAATCTTCTCGAGAACTAGGTTGCGGAACCTCTTTCGTGGCATCTTTATGCTTGATGACATCGTCGGTATGGATATTGAATCTGAATGACTAGAACCTCAGCCCTCTTCTTATTTCCTGCAACTTCTTTGACTACGGGAGGTCTGATTTCAACAACTTGTCACTCAGTCCTGCCTGATGCAACATCCCACAACAACTTCATATCCAACAGACTTGGTCTCAAGGTCCATTAGACTCTCCTCAACGATAAGCGCTTTGAGCAGGTCCCGCCTTAAGAGATCCGTCGCTTCTTCTTTGAAGCACGAAGATCGAGGATACAGCACTGAATGACCACAAAGGAACTTCAAGCAGCAAAGTCTTGAAGAAGGATGTGAGATTGACGCGTACCCTATTCAAGAACGATCTTCACCTAGTGGTATCTGCAATAGAAGTTCTACCTTACTGACAGAGAAATTGCAGTCACAATGACATCTGAGGCATTTATCAATGAAGTAATAGGATAGCTCAGGGCCGACGATGCAAGAAGAATGGTAAAGAAAGTCTTGGCCAACCACAAGCACGAGCTGCGGTCCTTGCCTCAAAACAGTCTAAAAGAACTCGAGGTGGAGATCCAGGCCTGGTTTCACGGCAGCACATCTAACTTAACGTTGGCCAGTCTTCATGCAGGCAAGAAGATTTAACGCTGCATTACCTGAGATCAACGGGGCACTAATACCAATGTGATGTCAGAAAACGCGGATAGAATACACAAGATCGAGAGGTGCCTTCTGAATATCAGAATCGACAGTTGCATGATTGGTTTATCATGGGGGTAGCAGTGCACATCAGCAACTGGGTGGTAAGCAATCCTTACTGCCTAATAATGTGGACATGCTAACAGAATTCAGGGCCTGCTATAATGGATGTCCATTGACTGAATGGGGTACCAGCTCAGATAGTAGGGTTCAGTGGTAAGGTTTTGTATTTCCCCATCATCTGGACAGCCCCTGACGTCTTTACAGAGCATGTCGCACCAAGTTCCTACAGGCTAGGCCAGATATTCGTTGAAAGGGCAAGCTTGAACAGCATAGCATTCGTACGATCCAAAACTTCGAACATACTAACAGGCTCATAGGGGGCGTTCAGGGTGCTATGATCGATGGGAGACTATTTCCCATGAGTCCCGCGAAGGAAGTCAATAAGATTGCAGCATCTACTATCAGCCAACACCGTGTTGAAGGGGGACTTCAAACAGCATATTTATGTTCACTGAACGTGCTGAGAACTATGTCGTAGGGCGAAAGAGAAAGCCCATAACCGAGTCTGTTAACGCAATCTGGCCACGCAACTTTGACCAGGCACGACTTGCGCCGAACGGAACCATCGGATTTTAAATTCCGCTTCAAACGTCGACCATTAGGTAAGACAACACCGGGGTGCAATGGATCAACAGCAATATGGAATCAAGCGAGAAGGGGGTAAACATTAAAAGCTCACAAAGCTTGGAACTCAAGGGGAAGCGGTACTGAAGGGAGAGAACGCCTTTGCAGAAAATGCAGTTTATGGAAGCACTGGCATCCCAGAACGCCCTGCAAAGCGAGGCAGATATCAGATTCTGAGGGAGGAGCCTGGACATATTTGGATTCATCCGGCACAGCATGCAAATATCGTTCAGGACACACCACAGTTTGCTGGTAACACGAATTTCCCTCTGCCGATGGGCACCTAAGGATTTTCTGGACATCTCTTACCGACTGTGTATCCACGTTTTGAGTGCACTTACACACTGCTGGTAATCATCTTGTTATATTATTGGCACTTGACACGATGCGCAAATCACTGGACTTCAAAAGTGTCCACAAATGCATACTAAAGTACAACCACCACAGCCACTTCTATCTGTTCTTTATACAATCTGCTGCAGGCCTCTATAGCGCCGACTCCATCTTGTCCAGAATCGCCCTCGTGAACTCGTGCGTGGAGCTGTTTCCTCCCATATCGCGAGTTCGCACAGCTCTATACGGTCATTAGCATGGGGTACGGACTAGAAGGTATGGGGAAAATGGATAAACGCTTACCCTTCGGCAATAACGTCGTAGACAGCCTTAGAGATACGGTTGGCATGCTCGTCAAGACCAAGGTGTCTCAAAAGCATGGATCCAGAGAGAAGCATAGCAGTTGGGTTGGCTTGGTCCTTGCCCTTGATATCCAGACCAACGTGACGGCATCCAGGCTCAAAGACGGCCACATCACGGCCCATGTTGCACCCTGGCACAAGTCCGGGTCCACCAACAAGAGCAGCTCCAACGTTGGACAGGATTCCTCCGTACAAGTTAGGCATGACCATGACATCGAATTGCTGTGGTCGTGAGACACACTGCATGGAAGCGTTATCCACAATCATGTCGTTGGTCTCGAGAGTTGGGTATTCCTTGGCCACAGCGTTGAAGGTGTTGCGGAACAGACCATCTGCCAGCTTCATGATGTTGGCCTTGTGGATGCAGGTGACCTTCTTGCGGTTGTTTGCCAGGGCGAAGCTGAAGGCGAATTTCGCAATGCGCTCAGACTTGGCGCGGGTGATGATCTTGAGGGATTCGACGACGCCTGACACAGATTGGTGCTCGAGGCCGGAGTATTCTCCTTCTGTGTTCTCACGGATAATGCAGAGGTCGACATTGTCGTGGCGGGTCTTGTAGCCAGGGATGTTCTTGATAAGGACAATGGAGGCGTAGATGTCGAGCTCCTGTCGCAGCGCAACGTTGAAAGATTGGTGGCCGGATCGGTCGACCGGAGTGTGCAAGATACCCTTGAGGCCGAGCTTGTTCCTCTTCAAAGACGCAATCGACTCGCGGAATAGCTCTTCTGAGTGCTTGTCACCAGTCTCAACTCCCGACACATCAACTTGCTCCCATTCGATTGGCACATTGTCGGCTTTGAAGATGGTCTTCACTGATTCCGCAACCTCGGCACCAATACCATCACCTGGAATCAGTGTAACTGTGTACTTTCCGCCGTACTTGGTTGGCTTAAAGATATCCTGCACAGCACAATTTCATTCTGGGTCAGCGTTGCTATCATATAAAGATCTAGGACAGGCAGGGTATCCTTCGGGAGGTACATACGGATTGGACGGTAGCAAAGGTCCGCGAGGGCGCTTGGACGGATCGCAGAAGGCTCTGATAAGGAGCGACGGTTAGCAACTTGTGCAGACTGCTGGAGATTCAGGAGAGTAGGATCTGTACCTGCGCCGATCTTACTGAGCTGCGCATCAACATATTGGAGTTTGGAGGGGAAGTCGGGGGGTGAGATGAGGATCACTTCAGAGCGGGAAGTCTGGGAGAGATAAAGCAAAACGCGGTTGTCCCTTCAAACTGGCCTAAGCCCGGTGGGGGATGGCGCGGATCGGTTGTGTGCCGGCATGTCAGGTGACCAGACCGAGACGCCGATCGCCAGGCACGTTCAACTTAGATGTCTGGTTTTACTGCTCTCAGTATTCACAGACAACGACATCAGAGTCGTCAACTTTGTCTGTTCAACCAATTTGCAGAGAGGGCTCTTCCTGGGTATTGACACAAGAGTCAGTGTTCTGGAGCCAGTGGCTTGCCTGAAAGTTCTTTGGCACTCGCTGTCTATATATACGGCGGCCTGAACAAGCCGTTCTATATACGGTGTAGTAGTGCCGGATGCTGCCGCACTTCCTGACAGGTGTCTCTCATGTTTAATAACAAGAAGCGATATTGGCAAGACGCTGAAGTCAGCTCTGTATGGCATACCGGATACCTTTCGACACAGGGAATTATAGTTGTTTTTCCCTTGGTCCTCTTAACCGCGGCTTGACAACCCAGGTCAGATGCAATGCGCGGTCCTTGCATTGCAGACCCTGATGCACATGAGGTTGCCATGTCCCCGGCTTAAGGAAGCACCTGAGAACTTCAATATATTCAAGAGGAAATGATTGTCTTTCCTTAGCCTGGTCAAGATTTGGTCTTCAATCGTATACATGTGAGCCCCTCACCCACAAGAATGTTCCTCTAGAGCCCGGATCCATTAGCCTTGCGGTGGCTGTAGTAAGAAGGATGATCACTATTATCGAATGCAAGGGAGATATGATCAGCCAGACATAGGGGGATTGACTTGGTAAATGCGCGCCCTACAGCACCACAGAGCTTATCTCGACGCCCGACTCGGTCGGCTCGGAATTGAATCCCGAGCTGAGTGCAATGCTTAGCATGAGATCAAGAAATCCCCGCACTCCCAGGATCCCGGTAGCTTCACTATCTCTTCCTTGTGTCTCTCTACAATACCTACCTATTAGCCATGGGTGTTGAACATCCCTTGTTAGAATGATGGTGGTCGGGACTCGGGCGATACGCTCGCTTGATCAATCATCGATGCGCGATCTCGAGGGGTTCAAAGGATCTCGCTTAAATTTCCGCATATCGACTTGAATAGAAAAGGGGTCTGAATAGGATCGGGAAACTTCTTGGATGGTCTGAATGATTTGGATTCATTGAATTCTTCTCAGCCGCCACAACAACAACGATAGCCCGTCTAATATTGCATATTTTATCTTTATTTGTGTTTGCCACAATGCAGGTACTTCTTTCAATTTTCATGCGGTTGGTCATGTTGAGGAGAGAGGCGTTCTAGTATATCTGGTGGTATGTGATCCTATGTCCAACATACCATCTGGCCAACGCCAACAACATATCTCCCTTGGTTCATCAAGATTTGAAGCGCGGGGTAAGCTAGTTGGCTCCCGCTTTCGCCCTGTTCAGCTCGCTCAATGCCAAGCACTCGAAAACATACCGCCCCTGCTTTGATCTGAACGGGGCCTTTCATACGGATTCGATATGGCTTCCACAGCCAAAAGGCCTTTGCTCGCATCCGAGTCAGTAGCTGAAATGTGTCGCGGCCTCCCTTTGTAGTTGAGTGTCTAGATCTCTCCTATTCGGGTGCTCAATAGGAAGCAAGGTCCCTATTGAGAGCCTCTCGAAGTTCCTGAGCATGTTCAACCACCCAGTGCTACTATTGTGAACAAGCTACAGTAATTAGCATAAAAGGTTGTCCATTTCTCCTCCCCCATCCTTCCTCTCCCCATCGCAACTCAGACAATCGATATCACACACGCGGGCATACTACATCCAAGTCGCCTACACACTTACAAAACCAACCAAGTCAACTACTCCACTATCTCCACCATGAGACTTACCAACGCCCTCTGTGTGATTATCCTGGCCGCCACTGCCAGCGCGGTTGCCATTCCCGAGCCTCTTGCTCTCCCTCTCCCAGAGGCATACGCTGAGGCGAAATGCGGCGAGTTTGGAGAATGTGGCCGAGTCAAGCGAGCCGCCGAGGCGTTTGCTGAAGCCTTCGCCGAGCCTTCTGCAGAACCAGAGGACTCCATTGTCATGGCACGATGCAACCTTGTCGGAGGTGCATGCTACGAAGCCAAGCGCCTTGCTCGTGACCTCGCGAGCGTGCTCGCCCATACCCGTGACGAAGGCTCTGCATTCGTCGCCCGTCTCGCTCTTGAAGACGAAGAAAGTAAGTTTCCTCGCCCATCTCAAGAAAATGACTAGCTAACCTCCTCTCAGCCTCTGACCTTAAGGCACGCGAGGCCGAAGCCAAGTGCGGGAAGGTCGGACAACCCTGCGGAAAGATAAAGCGTGTCGCAGAGCCTGAGGCCAAGTGCGGAAAGGTCGGACAACCCTGCGGAAAGGCCAAGCGTATCGCAGACCCAGAGGCCGAGGCCAAGTGCGGCAAGGTTGGACAACCATGTGGCAAGCTTCGACGCGCAGCTGAGGCCATTGCTGAGGCAATTGCAGAGCCAGAATGCGGCAAGGTCGGACAACCCTGTGGAAAGGCAAAGCGTGAGGCGGATGCCCTGGCTGAGGCTGAGGCCGTGTGCGGCAAAGTTGGACAGCCATGCGGAAAGGCAAAGCGTGATGCTTTGGCTGCTGCCATTGCTGAAGCCGACGCGAAGTGTGGTAAGGTTGGACAGCCCTGTGGCAAGGCCAAGCGTGACGCACACGCCATCGCCTCCGCTGTCAGCACTGTTCTCGAACAGCTATAAACAGCCTGCCTCCTCGACCAACGTCATCGCCCACGGTGGTTCCTCTCCTGTCCCGCTGTCCCGCATTCAATTTTTCTGGTCAGTTTTTCTTAATGTTGCTTCTGGGATAGCACCAGAATCTGCTTCAGTATATTACGCCTTCGCTTCTAAACGTACTCACATTACATTTGATGGCGGTCTCCCCAGAGACTGCTTGTTGGGACTACCTGTAATCAGATAGACTCTAAAGTCTTTCTTTCATCTGCTGGATCTGCGAGATCAGGAAAGCCTCCTGGCTTTGCAATACATATCAATTGATCCAAGCTTTGAATTTGCCTCCCATTGACAGTGATTTGACTTGGGATATTTACTGTGATATCAATCTCCATCATTGACCGTGTCTGAACACCACATGCTTAACCATATTATTCAATTTGTGCAAAAAAGAAAAAAAATTGGTACGATTGTGAACTAACTGCAACTGAATAGAGTAAAGAACCTGTCCGTACTCCTGAAAACCAACGCAGAAAATCCACGTGAAAAAGAAGACCGGGACTAGCCAGATCTTGATTTGCGATAATTATCCCTCCTTCCGTCCTTCTCTTCATAAAGAAGCCGATTGAGAAATCAATGCCGGCTTACTCTTCTTCGCTGCCTTGATATTCGAGACCCATTATCTATCCATCTTTAAAACCATCGCTATGCGTTAAAAAAATGGAAAAATGAAAATTGAAAACATCCTTTTTCAATAAGAAACCCCAAACACCCAAAAGCAACTCGCATATTCGGCATATCCGAGAAAGAAGCCCTCAGGTAGGATACCAGGCGCCATTCCTCGCTCAACTCAGCACCTTCCCAAACTTCTCCACCGGCGTTGCTGATGGCGTGGGGGTGGTCTGGTCTCTGCGGCCGTGGAGTTGGAGGTGATTTCTGCGGCTTATCCCGTCTTCGCTGCGCGCAGCTTGCGCATTTAAAATATAGACATTGTGGCAGTCGGGTCTGGGCGATGTAGATAGACATCGCGGGAGTTGCTCTAGGCTGTTGTTCGGGAGTTCGGTGTTGCGTAGCGATCTTCTCGGTCACGGTAGTCTAATAAAAGCAGCTATGATGCTTTGATCGGTTTTGTCCAGATGATGGACAGGACCCGATTTCTCCGCTCTTTTCGCCCGCCGACATGTTTCCTGTCAAACAAAGGGATTTCGGCATTGTTGCATAGCAAGGCGATTAATTACCCTGCCCGTTGGTGTCAACGCAGACAGCCCGTGCTGCTTCATTCGCGCATACACAACGACCATTTGAGAGCGAAGTTGCCAGGTCAAAGTTGTCTGGCCCTCTGTCGTACCGACACTCCCGTGTTCAATACGGCTACTATAGCTCTCCCGCCGAGTATAACATTCGCTGGAAAATCATGTACCTTGCTGCATCTCTCTCCTAAGCTTCCTCACAGTAGGTAGATTCAACCACAGCCACTGGTAGTAAACGAAGCATAAGCCACGAGTTTTTGTGAAAGCAGTGCGATCCGAAGGATTAGCAGGAAGGGGAGAGAGAGAGAGCGATGGAGAGAGATATCTTGGGTCTTGCACACTAGGTCTCGACCGAGGGGAGCATGGTGCGCCAGGAATCTCGGATAACAGCGCGGAACTGGGATGCGTAATCGAGGGCCTCTCGCGAAGGCGGATGTAAGGTGGTCAGCTCGGGGCTGTGGATGAGTAGGGCGTCGGGCTCGGTCCAGTTGTGTTGCAGCGCGTAGGCTTGAATTTCGTTCATCCAGAGCTTGATGCGGTTTCCATGGAGGGCTAGGTAGGTAGTCGTAGACACGTGTGCAGGGATCGGGAGAGAGGAGCGTCCCGTAGCATTGGATACAGCCTGAGCGGAATAGGGAGCGGATTAGGGATTTGGAGATCCCTGAGTAGGTGAAGTCGGGGAATCGGGCGGCGAATTCGAAGGCTTCTGCAGGAGATGGGCACTTGGCTAGTAATATGCGGTTCATTGTGCGAGAGTCAATGGTGGGACCGGTCCTTGGGTCTGATTTGAGTTTGTCTCCTTCCTCAACCCGTGCTCTCTCCCATGAATGGAAAGCGTGGAGAGTCTTCTTGGTGAATTATTCTAGTCCAGGGACGGGCTTCTTCCAGATAAACTGGTGCGGTGTAGCCTTGCTCTCCTCTGTCTCAAAGAGGTCGTATTTGGAACACTCTTGCTCAATCTGGGACTCACTAGCAAAGACACAGCTCCGGACCTGACAGTTGAGAAAACTAGCCGCTATCACATGGTCAGTATATCATTTGCATCTAGATGCTTAGAGAGGAACCCCACTAGTATGGAGTAGAGATCTCAAGAACGATCCATGTGACACGACGAGAAGCTCCACATCTTTCCCACCGGTTGTTGAACTTCCGCTTTGTCGTAAGCGTTGTAGTCAGGACGACCGGAGCAAGAGCTTGTAGATAAATAGGGCATCAAGAAAGGCGAGGTAAGGTGCTGATGTCGATCGTGCTCTTGTACCTAGGCTCTGAGCATCACGAAACTCCATGTTGCAGAAGTCACATCGCGCCGCCATCTTGCCAATGGGGAAAGTGCAAGTATTGGCTCTAGAACGAGACACTTCGTAAGACTTTCACTGTAGTTGTTGATCTAAAGGATCGCGAAAGTGTAGGTAGATCGAAAGACTAGATAGATCGCGAAGGTGATAGACAGAATCAAAACAAACGAGTGAATCGCGAAGACGATAGACGAGAGAGCCTAGCCATGAGAGGGCTGCTTACAATCTAACTCACTTCAAGTTTGAAGAAGCTAGGTATGTAGAAGTAGCATTTGAGATATATATAGTAGTCATTTATCAGACTTCATTAAAAAATCAAGTTCAACACAGACAATAGGTCGTTCACGTAGAGGCAATTGACCAAACAACCAGACCTGTGCTGTGAATTGACTTACTTCTGGGGACTGACCTAGAACTGTGAACTAACCTAGTTCTGTGAATTGATTTAGTTCTGTGAACTGACTTGGTTCTAGGAACTGATCTAGAATTGTAGACTGACGTACACTGTGAACTGACCCAGTTCTGGGTGCCGTCCTCCTTCTGTACATTGATCTCGTTCTATAAATTGACTTAGGACTGTGGACTGACCTGGTTCTAGAAATTGACCTGTCCCTGGGAACTAAGTTAGCTTCTAGAAACTGACCTGATTATGCGTATTAGCCTAGGACTGTATACTGACCCATTGCTGTGTACTGATCTGGTTCTGTTGACTAACATGGCACTTTCTACTGACCCAGTACTGTGAACTGACCTGGTTCTGTGAAGTAACCCACTACCGTGAACTGACCTTGTACTATATACTAAGAAAACAGAAATTGCACAAATCCCCAATCTATAATTGGCCACTTGACCCCTGATTTAAACACACAAGAGGGAGGAAATAGGAGAAGTTATAGGAATCTCTCGTGTCATTTGCTTCCAAACGCCCCTTTCATTGAGTAGTAAAAAGGCATGAAATCTGGTGTTGATACAGGGTGATTTTCACACATACGCGCCTATTCCTCCATCTTGTCTCCATCAGCTGGCTTATCTTCTTCTTTTGTTTCTTCCTCATCCTCATCTCCCTCTAATTCCTTCTTTGCTAACCTTTCAGCCTCCTCAAGGATATCTTTTGGCACCTCCTCGTGTCTCCCCTTTGTTGGTCCGTCCAGGTTGCTGATCCAGGTCATCTCCAACTCAAACTCCTTATCCTTGTTGTCGGCATGCGCAATATATATAATTTTGGCAGCTTCCTTGACACCATCCTGAAGGCTCAAGTTTCCGGAAGCCAAATCCAATTTCTCTAGCTCGGCCTTCGCACTTTGGCGCCCCTTGCCTGTGGCGGCACCATAGTATCCCCAGTATAATCCACTTGGCTCAATCATATAGAGCGCCGGTCCACCAAACTTCTTGCCCTCAACCTTGCCTCCTGAGCCGATAGATGGGCCACTGCCGACCTCACCATCAACCGGTAGCTCGACCTCGGAATCCCAGCCTGCTACAATCGCGGTGATACCGAAAGGTCTGACGGAAGAGTACAGGGTATAAGCTTGAAGGTATCCGCCCATTCGGCTGGCAAGATCCTTGGTGGTGATAGGGGTTTTGTAGACTTGGCGCCAGCTTGCTGCTTCGTCGCGTGCACGGGAGACAAAATGTCTGCCATCTGGGACGAGACCAGAAGAGACCTAATAATGAATTAGCATACTGTCTATAAGTTTAAAGACTTGGTACGACATACTACACCCATATGTCTATCAATCGTTGCAATACGCTTGTTCGCGCCTGGCTTTAACAGCTTGCTGGTGATGACCTTCTCGACAGCCAACACAACACCATCTTTACATCGAATGCCGATGGAAGTGCCACCGTTCTCAACTGCCTTGACTGCATATTCGACCTGGAAGTTTCGGCCGTCGGGAGAGAAGACGGAATTCGTGAGATCATAGCCCGTACCTATCGACGTCTGCAGGGAAGAAGACCATTGTTAGTACACGTCTGCCCGATATCATGGGCGTCATGGGTCTGTGGAGCTTACCATGATGACTACTGTGTAATGGAGATCTTCGAACGTTCAAGAATGGAGGGTTGAGATGTAGTCGAGAGGCAGGTCGAAGCTCTGGATTACACAGGTACACACGGTCGAGCTCCAACCGCCAGGCAACTTGAAGCCGCGTCTGAGATGAGTGCCTGGTGTGTGGCCTGAGGCTTGAGGCTTACATCTGGCTACGTGGTCACGTGATATGTGATGATCCCCATGACACCTCAGATGACCAACAATCAAGCATTTTGATCTACATGACTTCGACAAAGCAGAGAAGAATGTCTACACGGAAACCTCGACTGGACTCCACAAGCCAACAAGACAATCAAGTTATCCTCTGCGGCAAAGATAACTTCTGTCATAGGTAGGGAAATTCACAAATACCTTAGCTGGAACCCAAGCGGTCAGAGACTCTCTCCCCGTGTCGCCCGATGATTGGGAACTGGCGACGACGGTTCGCTGGTGCGGCGCTAGGCTGCTTCAGGCTCTCATGCATATCGGTCTGATGAGCAAAGATATTTAATCTCCTTCAACCCCTCCTTTCCTTTCACTTTCACTTCCTTTCTTCTTCTCCCTCCCACCTCCTCTACATCCCTACAAATCAACATCTCGACCAGAGGCAGCTCTGCTGAATTGCCATTCCTATACCGAGTAGCTCTCGAGATCTCGCCTTCAGTACCTTTTGTTGCTCCTCTTTGTTCGCTCCCTCCAACCCCGCGGTCGCCTGCCCCACCCCCCCGGTTTCCTGCTTTCCGTTTCTCGCAATACGCGTTCCTCTCTGCAGTACTTTCTACTACCTCAAGTACATACATAGCATAGTGAAATAAAGCAAAAAAAAAAAAGCAGATTATCTTGCCTTTCTGTCCACAAAGTCTGCTCCGCTCCGCTCTCGCCAATTCTTGCACATTCACACGTCTGACTCTAGGGTTGTGCCTTATATACCAGACTTGTTCACTTTCCCGCTCTGCATTTCCCTGGCTTCTTTCTTGAGCAACAAGGCTCTTTTCAAACTCGGTCTTGCATTCCCGAACTACATTTGCAGCAAGGTATGCTGCATATCCTTTGCCCGTTCGGCAGGCTAACAGGTGCAAGGTACCTTAGCAAACGGACCCTTTGAACACGATGGCCACGCAGGAAGAGCTAGCAGCTCTCTTCGCCCGCAACCTTTCCCTTCACAATACATACGTCGCTCCCGTACAAGAGCCTCCAAAGGTCGAAACGCCGATCACGTACTCGATCTCTCAGCATTATCATCACTCCGCACACCTCGCTGCTGAACAGTCTTCGCCCTCAAGATCTGCGTCGGAGCCCCCACAAACTGATCAGCTCACAACAGAGATTATACTGTCTAGACATGGAGTAGATGTTTCTACCCTCTCTCCCTCTCAGGTCGACCTCTTCCGGACAGCGGATTCGGGTCAACAAATGCGGCTGGTCGAGCTTTGGCGAATATGTCCTCCTAATTACGGCGGGCATGCTTTGACAAATGGTACCGTGAACTTTCCCGTCACCAGTTTTGAACAAGAGGAGACCATGGCTAGGCTACGGTATGAGCGCCTGATGCAGGAAGAACATTCGTCCCGAGCCGGTGGAGATCCTCAAGCTCTGGACAGCGAGTCCACCATGAGCGACGAGAGTACGGCTACACCTATCACCCCTATCCAGGGTGGTGATGGACGATGGAACTCAGCAGAACCATATATGGTATCAGGCTACGCACTCCTCGCACAGCGTGAATATGAGCAGTCAGCGGTACCATCGAAGGATGTCTATTCCCATTTCGGCACATCTGTCGGCGGACCGACATATAATCAAGCCACGGACCCTGTTTACAACACCGTTGAAGACATTCACAAATTCCCGAATGTTGGCGGTGACTGGGCACGGCTTCTCGAGCAACGTCAACAGGCGATGGAGAATCAATACGGCTCTTTCACGCAATTCCAGCACAACGCAGGTTTGACGATGGCGGGAGAGGATGAGGAGATGTTGTAAATATCACATCGCATAAGTTGATAGGCATATTACACAGTCCGTAGAGTTTAGTTTGTTTCTGGGATGGAAAGAAAGGGGCTTGTTTTCAGGGCGGAGGATATTTGAGGTTTGACAAGGGCACGGGAATGAATTTGAATGACTGGCAGGCAAGTGGTGTTGGGATGGGGCTCTTTATGCATCTACTCTCTGTTTCATGTCTCCAACTCCTGATTAGGCTGGTGAGGGTTGAGTCCCGGCGTCATGTATAGAGAAGGCGTACGGTACGTACTTCTGACCCCGATATCCCTCCTTTATCCCCTCCGAAACCCCTCTCTCCCCCCACTGTCAAGGTATATCATCACTCTTCCTCTCCTCACCCGAAAATTCGGAACGTCTGAGGTGCGTATCCTCAATCACCCTTCCCCCAATCCCGAGGCGACTCTTACTACTTACTTGAAAGCACAAGCCCAAGGACCCTGGCTTCCACTCCTAACTGGCCAATCTCTGGATCCTGGACTCGGACCCCGTGCTCCCTGTTTCTTGTTATTGTCTCAAGTGTCAGCCAAATAATCAATCAATCACATTATTCATGGGTTTTGAAATTTCGTGGTCAAGTGATCTGTCTCATCGTTCTCGCCGTGCTGTGCTCGTGGCTACTGCTTCAATTCAAATATGTATTCATTGGATATCTACCTACATAAATCATCAGCAAGCAACGCAGGACCCAGTTCCTCTTACTACCAAAAAAGTCACTTCATAATATCAATAAACCCTTAAAACGCCATCCCGTCTCCCCTGTCCTCAGCCCTCTCTCCCTACACCCCAACCGCATGACTGAAAACCTTCTGCGCCAACTGACTCAAAAGTCTCGCTTTATCAGACTGCGGTAGATCCTGCAAGGACAATCAGCATCTACACAATCAAGCCATTCAAAAGAACCCACCTGGAAAACAGCATAAACACTCTTCCCCTTCGCATCCCTAATAGCTCCGAGTCTATTCCCCGCTACGGCACCCGCCAGCATGCCCGGAAAATTGGCGACGATGAAACCCATAGCACCACCGGACAAGCCGCCAACAAGGCTCCAGAACTTCCCCGTCGGCGCGCCCCCACCCTCCGCCATACCCTCCTCTCTCAGCATCTCCTCAAACACATCTCCAAACTGCTCGCTCTCGAACTTCTCCTTCTCCGCATCGCTCTTGGCTTTGAATCCGAAACTCGCCCACGGGAACCCGCCGCTCCCCGCTTCAGCGTCGGGACCTGGTGTCCCCTCGTCGAAGGCTGTCGAGGTCCCGGAGTTATAATAGGCGCGCGCGGCATCGTACTCGCTACGTCGGGTTTTATCAGAGAGCGTATAGTAAGCGTCGTTTATGAGCTGGAATTTCCGGGTGCGTTCAGCCCGTTCTGGGGAGTCGGAGGGGACTCTATCCGGGTGGGTCTTGAGCGCGGCTCTAGGAACTTGGTTAGCTTAGGTTTTTTGAAGGGGGATGAGAGGAGAGCTGGTACTTTTTATAGGCATCGCGGATTTGCTGCTGTGTTGCGGTGGAGGGGATCCCGAGAGCCGCGTCTGGGGAATCATTGTTCAGTATTGAGGTGTTCGCAGGTCAAGTGAGGGAAGGCGGGGCCCGTTATCTAGTCTCGGGGAAACGCACTTACAGTAATCGATAGGGGGTCCTCCACTCATAGCGACTCTTCTTTCCTGTCTGAATATTGAGAAACTGAAAGAGTCAAGAGAGCGACCGTTTGAGGTGTGTGCTTTGGAGAAAAGAGGGCGGATGACGGGCAGGTGATTTGAGATGTAAAGGGTCCAAGATGCAAGAATGCCTGCCCCTCGTTGAAAGGACGTCACCTGTGGCGTAACCCACCTAAACAAGCCACATTTCAGAATTTCCAAGATCAGTTAGCCCCCCTTATCGAAGGGGAGCTATTCCCTAAACAGCTAGGCCGCGTCCGGAAAATTCCAAAAATCACGTGAAACACGCACACACCCCGTATCCGCTTAGCGCTACGCGGGCCGTACGGGGACTGGCGCATTATTAGCGTGTTCCTGGAAGCGAGCCCATCTCTCTCTCTCTCTCCTCACCGCTCTCGGCTTTTTAATTGGAGGGGCTGGTGAATTGTGAAGTTCTGGCCTTCAGCATTTCGCAGTTCTCTCTCCATAGCTTTTTTCCCCGTCTCCCTTACCGGTCTATCAAAGCATTATTTTCTCTCCCATCACTCTCTCTTCCCGATCATCCGTGCACTCTTACTATTCCTCTTTGACCATCTATCTCAATTGCATCGGCTCCTGCTCTCTCTCTCGATTTTAATTAATCTAGAAGAGCTGCTATATCTATCTTATCTGTCGACCTACCTTATCTAGGTGATAGATAGGTAAAAAAAAAAAAAGCAGCCCCGGGAGGAGAAAAATATGGATTGGTTTCAAGGCTCCTCAGAAGTCAGCGGGCATAGTAGCCATCATCGTCGGAAACACCACGACTCCAAGCATGAATCCGCCCGCTCGATTTTCGGCTCCGGCAGCCCTAGACACAATTCCTCACGCTCTTCATTCTTCGGTACGGCTCCCCCTCCCTACCTCCCTCACCCCTCACGATCGCGAATTCGGGGGAACGAAACTAGGTAGCTATGTTGTGATGGAGAGGAGAGAAGAGAAAGGCTGATTGATCGACTAATTGGCGCATTTACAGGATTCAGCACCGGTCGCTCCTCATCCTCTTACTATAAGCGCTCCCCCCGCGATGGGTACCTGCGCAAGCTCTACTCGAAGCTGCGCCGTCTGCTGCGCGATCTGATGTACTACCTGAAGAAGAACCCCGTCAAGGTCTTCATGCTGGTCATCATGCCGCTGTTGACCGGCGGCGCCTTGACGGGCCTGCTGGCCAAGTTCGGTATTAGGATGCCCGCGGGTTTGACCAAGCTGTTTGGGAGTGGTGCGGCTCGTGGCGCTATGGATTTGGGGAGGAGTGGCGCTGCCATGGGTGGCTTGGGAAGCTTGGCTGCTGGTATGGGCGGTGTGGCTGGTCTGGCTAAGATGTTTGTTTGAGCTGTGTTGAGGGAGTTGAAAACTGCGAGGGTTTGAACGGGAAACAAGCGATGTGACGAGGCGTTTGGGGCGTTGGATACCAAATTCGAGACGAACCGAACGGGATCTCGTTCCCTTCTTGGACAGTTATTCTTTGCAAACCTGTAGGAACGAGCAATCGCTGTCGTGGTTCAATTTCATCGCCATATCATGAATAAATGAGCCCAGTGAAATGATCTATTAAAAAACTATTCCCTATCAGTAATGCAAATGCAATTGCGAAGAAATTCCCATCATCTCCCCTTGCCCTTTTTCTTGCTGGCGACAGGTTTCCTAGGAGGATGTCTTTCCTTTTCAACTTCTCGCTCCTCCACAAAAACCTGCACTCCATTGCCCAAATCATCGCTCTGGTCCTCGTCACTACTACTACTGTCAACGTTTGTAGGCTCGTTGCGAACTGAGCCTTTTCCCCTCAATCTCGGATCAGATGCGGAACCCCTGGCTGCAGCAGGGTAGCTTCCGATCGGTGGACTGCGGCGCAATGAGGAGTACGCGACTTCGGTAGGTACAGAGACAATGCGTCGGCCTTGGATGTATTGCTGAGGAATTGGTGGTGGATGGCCGGCGTCGACTTGGTATTCAAAGGGGTCCAGACCGAGAGACTGTGAAGAGGCAGAACCTCGTCTTGAATTAGGTACCCAGTCCTCCTCGTCTGGTAGGAGACGTCTAGAACCACTGCTTGAAGAAGAAGTGGGTCGCGTGCCTTCAGAATAATGACGGGCTTGTCCTGATTGGTATGCGAATTGTGGGGGTGTCGTGCCGTGATGTTTCTGAGATGTCGAGGAGCGCGGTCGAGGAGGCGAGTTGCGACTTGAACTTGCCTGTGGATAGTATCCCAAAGGCGCATATGTGATACCATCTGCCCCAGCAACCAGCATACCCGGTGTTGCTGCTGGTCCTGAAGGACGTGGATCAGGCTCCTCTGACCGTTTGGATTTCCCCTTTTGACGACTTTTGGGCTCCACGACTGGCACCGAGACGAGCTGCCGCTCACTTCGCCGTTTTCGTTCACCCCCGCTGCTGGAACCGCTTCCTTTCTTTTTCTTGCCCTTAGTGCTTGCAGCCGCCTGCATACGTTGCCGTCGTCTCTGCAAAGCTTCCAGCTCCTCTGGATCAAGCTTCACTTGTGATTTTCCCTTTTCCTGGGCGCGGCGAATCCGAGCAAGCGCAGATTGCACAAGCGCCTCCTCCTTGTCCCGAAGAGCAATTTGCAAAGCATTACTATCGTCCTCATCTGACTCCTCTGAATCGGACTCAGACTCAGAAGAATAATCCGTATCATATGTATAACCCTTCCTAGCCCTATATGTAGAGGGCAAATCTACCCCCGTGAAATGAATTGACTCGTTAGTATATCGTTTTTTCTCAAAATTCAGCCCAACGCCTTGTGTATCTGTATCGTCGCTATCAAGCTCTTCAACGCGTGCTCCTTCCCAAGCCGCCCGCTCCCGCTCCCACCTCCTCCGCCTCTTACTCCCCTTCGGCCCCGGTGGTCTTCCCCATAAGGGCACAAATTTGGGAGATCGCGGCCGACCATCTAGACCGCCTCCCCGGAAAAAGCCTCATCGATCGGTTTGTCCATAAACGAGGCATGTCCCAAGATACTCACTCCGCTCGCGCCAATGAGCCAGAGGATTGTTGAGATGGGAGATGCAAAGATACCGAGAGGTACCGAGACGATGAGAAGACCAGTGTAGAGTTGTGACGAAGTAGCGCGGAATACGCCGATATCGAGATCCCTTCCATCCAGCTTGCCGATACCCCACATGCCGCCAACGACGAGCACAATGACGAAGAGGAGAAGAGGGTTTGTGATCAAGCTGTAGATGCTGAGCATAACAAAGACCACGGCATAGTTGCTGGAGAAATGACCGAGGTTGTAGTTCACGCGTGATTGAACTTCGCCGAAATTCGCGGGCTTCGACAGTCTCTTCAGGTCGAGGAACTCGGAGAGAGGCTTGAGGTTGGAGAATCTTGCTGCCAGTGATTGGGATCGTACACCGGCGAACCTATCAGAAAGATTCAAACGCGACGTGAGGAGGTCGAGAGGGATCTGTATGCGAGACATGGCGTCGAGGTGTTTTGGGTCGTGAGGGAAATGCCGAGGCTTGTTTCGAGGAAGTAATGGTTGTCAGATGTTGATCAGGATGGGATCGAGTAGGCAGAAGTGAGTTCTGGCTTGATCAGGTTCAATTGCGTTTGGATGTCTTTGTGGATGATATTTCGAGATCTGTTCAAAAGATAGAAACTTTTTATGTCAGCAGCCGTGATCGTCTAAGGTAAGGCAGGTAGAAAGGAGTCTGGAGGCTGAAGGTAACCGACGATAGTAAAATTAGATAGGAACTAACCTCGTTTCGACTTCTATGAATCCAAGGGCGGCTGTAGTGAGAATACTAAATCTGTCGGGGCAGTGTCTGCGTGAAGGATGCGGTACTGTGAGTGCGTGAATCGTGGTGTCGAAGGTAAAGTGAGAAGAAGGGGTCTTGGAATCTCCCCGGACCAGGACTGCCGACCGAAAGAGGATGGATCAAGGCGTATTTGCGTCTTCAGGGGGTTGCTGGTGCTGTAAGGTAGTCCGTAGATAGTCTGGAGGTAATAAAAGCTGCTATTATTGGGTTTTAACTCGAATCATCAAAAATCTCCCCTGCAACGGGACACCTGGTCGCAAATCGATCTGCTCAGCCGTGCCTGGCTGCCTCAGGATGCAATACCCGTAGCCCTGGAGAGCGAGGCCATCTCTCTCTCCTCCACACAAAGCGAAACGAGGATCAAAGGTTGAGAGAAGAGAAGGTTGTTGTGTGTGCCGCCGGACTCGTCTTTATATAGGTCTCCGCCCGCTCCATCGCTCCTCCAGCCGACCGCCTCGGACATCTCAGCACTCGTGAGTCGTGCAGTTGCTTCGTCAGACAGGCCAGACGCTCAGTGGAGTCCCCCAAGTCAAAAGCATATTGTCCAATTCGCCCGCCGTCTGGCAGTCTTGCAGAGCATTGGGACGCTAAACCGCCTCGGTTCACAACTGCCGCCCGCCGCCATTGAGCAAGTTCGCGCATTCTTCCATTCGAGGCTCGATACGCAATATTAAGACACACGACACATCAGCTCGACGTCTTTACCGTCGACAACCAACAAAAATGAGGCCGTCCCTCTTTACCCTGGCCGTTTTTGCCCTCTTCATTGCTGTCGTTGCAGCTTGGAGCAAAGAAGGTACCTCTCCTCGCCCAACACCTCGCTTTTGCTGCCCAATCTACTGAGACGTGTCGATAGCTAACCCTAAACCACAGATCAAGAAATCTTCCGTCTGCGCGCCGAAGTCGAAGCTTCCGAGGGTCCAGGTGTGACTTTCTACGATTTTCTAGGCATTTCTCGATCTGCCAGTCAAGAAGAGATCAATAAGGCCTACCGTAAGAAATCTCGACTGCTGCATCCTGACAAGGTCAAGCAACAGTTCATCGCCGAGAAATCCACCGGCAAGTCCAAATCGAAAGACGCAAAGAAGAAGCCGGGAGTGCATGTCTCCAAAGGCCCCACGCAATCAGAAATCAAGGCCGCAGCGAAGGAGGCCAGTGATCGATTTGCGCGCTTGGGGATAGTAACCAATATCCTGCGAGGAGAAAACCGCGAACGCTACGATCATTTTCTGAACCATGGTTTCCCCACATGGAAGGGGACTGGGTACTACTATGCGCGATTCCGGCCAGGATTGGGCTCGGTCTTAATTGGGTTGTTCGTTTTCGTCGGTGGCGCTGGGCATTGGCTTGCGCTTTACATGAGCTGGCATAGGCAGCAGGAGTTTGTCCAGAGGTATATCAAGTTCGCGCGCCATGCTGCTTGGGGCGAGAATCTGGGGATTCCGGGATTGGACGGCAATGGGGCCGCCGCTCCCCCAACCAACGCTGATGATGCCGACTTGGTGCAACCGATAAACAGGAGACAGAGACGAATGCAGGAGAAGGATGCAAAGAAGGATAAGTCCAAGGCAAAAGGTGTGAAGTCCGCCAGGGCATCGCCTTCCGCGACACCTCCTGTTGGCAGCACCGGCCCTAGAAAGCGGGTGGTGGCCGAGAATGGAAAGATCTTGGTCGTTGACTCTGTTGGCAACGTCTACCTTGAGCAGGCGGACGAAGAGGGGCAAACCCATGAGTTCTTGCTTGATGTACGTCCCTCCACTGTCTTATCTGAGATTCCGAACTAACCCCCATCAGCCCAACGAGTTTCCTCAGCCCACCATCAAAGACACGGCGCTCTACCGCCTCCCTGTCTGGGCTTACAATCGACTAGTCGGACGCATCCTCAACAAGCAGCAGCCAGACTACGAAGATGAAAAAGATCAAGTGGATGCAGACGAGGTACTCCCCTCCAGCAGCAGCTCCGGAGCTGAAGATTTCGAAGTCCTAGAGAAAGTCAAAACAACAGCGCAAAACGGGAACGGAAAAGCAGCTAGAAAGAGCAAAAAAGGCGGGCGTGGTCGGTAGAACCTTAAAAAAAGCGTGTTTCTGATTTATTACTGTACAATATGGGTTGTGTGGCTTAGACAAAAGAAAAGATAGTGGGATTTCATCGACCTTCTTTACACCGAAGGGAAAAATCCAAATCATACTCGTTTCTTCGCTCGTCCCAGTTATTCAGTGTCATGTATAGAGAGATTCGCAAGTCCCTAGCTCCAGCTCTAATTTCCTCCAACAGTTAATAAATCGCAATCCCGGAGCCGTCCCTCCCCCCTTCTCTCTCCAAACCTCCTATTATTAATATTCACCCAAACATAAGGTATAGAACAAGTCTAGCAGAGCAGACCATATCTCTCCCAAGAAAAAAAATCATAAGAGAGCACTATCCCAGAAACCACCTGTACCTACCACCCAGTCAATCAATCAATCCCTGCACTTCACTCTCTCTCTCTTCTCATAAGTAGAAAATAAAGGGGACATGCAACGGAGCAAATAGGATCCCTGAGCGTGACTAGTAGAGGGAAAGGATACTAAGTTTCAAAATATCTTTATATAGAGTATAGCTACTAGGGACACCCTGTCTCCAGCTTAAACAGAGTTCTGTGGCAGCTAGATTGGAGATACTAAAGTTGAATGGTTGAGAACTATTACTTGAGGCTGAAATTGTGTTTAAAAATTGGCTTGTGAAAGATACTAACTATTGAAGTGCTAGGCTTTTAATGTTACTGTTCCTGACCTTGGACTTGCTAAACTCTAAGCATGTTTAGAGCTTGGAAATTTTTGTAAAAATCAAGATTTTATTTTATGAGAGGTACTGAAATGCCAGCTCCTTCTATCTAAGGCTTTGCAAGCCAATCTTTAGATATAGGACATGTAGCCTTTGCTACCTATTGTGCAAACATGCCCAGAGCCTTTGGTCATATGCTCTTTATTCCTAATAACTTCTAAGAACTCTTTTTTAAGTTCTTCTTAATTTAGGCTTAATACAATAAGAATTAGTCTATTACAATAGAGTAGAATCTTCAATTGGCAGTTTCAATAGGTTTAATAAGGAAGGGCAAAGTTTCTAATGAATAGAAGATGAAGTTTGAGATTGATTAAAGCTTGTTAGTTCTCTTATAGTTCTAAGAAATTCTATAAGAGTAGGGCTAATGCTTAGCGTCTGAGTCATTGCTGCTAAGGTCTTGTTAATCAATATTAAAATCTTGTATTACTTAAAGCATATTTAAGCAATACTTTAATATAGTGATTAATGATCTAACTAATCTTTAACACCTATTTGCTTGTGTATTCAAGAAATTGTATACACAAATAGGGCAAGAAGAAATAGAAAAGTTTTGTTTAGCCATCTCTAAAAACAAGAAATTCCTAATTAAGAAGGGCAAATTAAAATTCTTTATAGACTTAAAATCGATAGAGATTATTAAGGATTCAGTGCCTGAGCAATGCCCAAGAAAACGTAAGAGAGTGCTAGATAAAAGTAAACATCTAGATATAATAGTTTAAAACTTTAAGAAGAATACTATAAGCAATATCAAAAGCCTAATTAAAGGTTATTAGCACAAGCTCAGCACTGAATCCTTAGAGATCATCATGAGATTACTAATGATATTGTGGTGTCAGTGATATGATATATTTTTAAAAAGATGCACTATTAACTGTACCACGATATATTACGAGGTGATATTTTTAGGTGATATGATATGATATTCCTATATCACATACTATTGGAAACCCTGAGGGCGGCCGCGCCGGTGAAGGCGATTTTGCAGATTTTGAGGCAGAAGGATCGGGAGCAGGAGGAGGGGAGGTTGGGGGAGGGTGATGAGGAGGATGAGCATGGTGGTGAGAGGGTGGGGTTGAGCGCTCGGGCTACGAATGCGATGGAGTGGATGGAGGTGGCGAAGAAGAGGGCGGAGGGTTGGGAAAGGAGGGCGGAGGCCATTGCCCGCGGCGGGCTGGGGGAGGTCGTGGATGGTAGGGAGAAGCTTTGAGTTTGCGGGTGGTCAAGCTACGATGCCGAAACATGGTGTACCGAGGGATACAGTGAGCCGGAAGGAATCAATGCGATAGAAAGGAGAGAAACGAGTGATGAATGTTGGCGAGAAGGAATCTAGCTAAGTTGGGAGACATGTGCGATTTGCGGATGGAGTTTGAGCGAAGAGATACCCACTATGGTTCAACAGGACGGTTTGTTCATACCTAACATGTTCTTCTTCAGCCTCTAGTATGCAAAAATTGAACGTTTTCCTTTTTTTCGGCGACGCGGATACGAATCACCCAAGTTCTTTTGGGTTGTGCCTTATTTATTTAAACCGTAAATAATAGCTGTCTCGGTTGGTCCAGCCAGTCTGCCCAGTCAACATGGCCATCCGCGCCGCCGTGATTTCCTGCCCTCCTTGACCTGGCAAAGTCGCCCGTCAGCTCCATTCACCCCCTCCCTGTGACGCGTAGTTAGTGCCGTTCTGAACAGTCGTGCTATCCACGAGGAAAAGCCGAAAAAAGCAAGGGGTCATAGTCTGGAGCCGCAGCAAAATCGCACTCAAGGATTTGTCTGCATAGAATGACGGCGTCGATCTTAGCTTGCTCTTCCGAGATGCGATCACCCTGGTTCTGTTCCCAGGTGATGGCTTCGATTTTCGCACTGGTGCCGCCCTCGCTTGGCTTGACAGCAAGTCTGTAGAGCTCCTTGTTTGTCCAGCTTCGACGGATGGATATATTACCATCCTGATCCAGATCCAACGTGGCTTTATCTGTCAGGGCTTCATCTGTCGTCGCTTCATCCATCAGAAGTTCATCTATCAGCTCTTCATCCGTCAGCTCCTTATCCGTTGTCGCTTCATCCGTCGTCGCTCCATTCGTCGTCGTCGCTTCATCCGCCAGCTCTTCATCCGTCATAGCTTTAAAGATCCATTTGTCATCCATATCCCGAGGCCTGACACCGCGTTTGAGCTTCGCGAAGTCTGCGTCGCTGATACTCAGACCCCAGGATGCTGTCGCAGGGTTCTCCATAGTATGTATATGATCTGTGAATTGCTTTGCAAAATGCATTAGCTACGAGCACTGAAACACCTTGGCTATGTTCTAAGGTTGGTACGAACCCGCAAAGCTGGGCCAAATCTAGCTAGGTTTGAGCCTGCAAAGAGTTTTGCTCAAACTGTTCGAGAGGGGAACGTCGAAGACACGACACTCGTGAATGGGTGCACGTGAGCGACCCGGAAGAATCAAAGAAGAGGAAGACAAAGGCCAGCGATTTGGTGTGAAATGGCGGGTGTTGCCAGACTTTTGACCCAGCACTTTAGGTACCCAGGTATGGATGACTAAGGCTTTGGCCTCTGCCACCGGTAGCAATTCACCAGGTTATGTCTAAACCGACCAGTCTCTTGTCATGCACCACGACTAACAACAGTCAACAGCCACGCCGCCGCCCCGCATTCCCCATCCTGCCCAGAAATCCGCGCGGCTGAGCTTGCCCGCGCCACCCCTTCGGCCGCATGGAATCATGCAGATCATGACCTTGATTTTTCTTAGCGCTTACTCCAAGTTATAAAGGGGAATATCACATGCGGTCTAAGGTATCTGAAACCTCGACTCTGCTCACATTAGCGATGCCACTTCGTGCCCAAATTTGGACATCTGTAAAGCCCGGTTGGCCAGTGTCTAAAAATATAAAGGGGAATGTCACATGACACCTAGTGGGCCAGCCTCCTGGAGTCCTGTGCCCCTGAATCGGAACGTCGTGAATCGAACCAGTGCTTCTACTAACAGGGCCGCTACCTTTCTTCAGGCTAGATTTTGCTTTTTACAGTAGCCAAAGCGGTGAATAATAGGGGAATCATATACACATAGGGATGCGGCTCTATTCTAAGCTTACGTCCCAAGCCTATGGGTAGGCCATGCTCGTGGCTATGGTCGTCGGCAGGCTCGCCATGCCGTTGTTCGAGGCGCCCCCCTCCCCCATCTGACGGGATCCTGGACATTCACGATCCAACAACCAACTCCTCCCAGACTGTCAGTTGGATTACCATCCTTAAGGAAGCATAAATCCTTTAGAAAGCATCATCCTTTAGGAAGTACAATCCTTTAGGCAGGACTTTATTCACAGGATCTAGTGAGTATATAGCTAGAAGATCACACTCATTTAGTATGAGCTCTTTAGTCGTTTCAATCAAATCAATTTCTACCCAGTTGTGATTCCTATACGCAACTGATACAGACCCCTTCGGCATTTACAACCTATAAAAAAGAAACCCTTGCAAATCTTCAACGTTCACAATAAAACAAACCAAACCTGCAAACATCCTTGAAAGATGGCCAAATTCTCTTTCTTCTTTCTCCTTGCATCGCTACTGGGTGCCGCCTTGGCCACCGTGCCAAACCCTGTCTATCGAGCTGATGCACGCAACCCCGACAAGATCAAAGCTACTGGAGGCTTCAAGAGCTGGGGCAACAATGAGGCGATCACCCTCATTGAGCACGTGTCGAAGGTCTACGCAAAGGGCCATAGGCAGGGGCAGGACCCGTGGATCTCCACCTCGGGCCTGACTTCAGTCGCTCAATCGGGCGTGGTGGACAAGCCCTGCTGGGTTTACACCATCGACACGAGCAGTATCGCCTCAAGTTTCACCGAGGTCGCAGCAGCGTATGCGGCGGCGGGACAGACGTATACGCATGCCAGCGAACAGGAATGGGCAGCAAAGCTCGAGATCCCTTTGGCATCCATCACCTCCTTCTACCAACTGAGGAAGGACGGGAAGAAATCAGCGACCTACACTTGGGCAACCTGGGAGGCGGCCCAAAAGGCAGCGCAGGAGAAGAAAGGATCGAGCTCGAAGAACCCATCGAGAGACGAGACTCCCATAGTGAAGAAAGCGGGTACTCCAGGTGCTGCCGCATTCCGGGCATAAGATAATTCGCTCAAAACTAGTTGGACCGAATTTTCTTGTACGGGGAAGGGAAAGAGACTGTCCAGGGATAATCGTCTGGACCGGATATTCTTGTGCAGGGAAACACGGCCAAGTAGAGTCTTCAGACGTGTGGGATCTTGGTAGGGGCGTATGGCGTATGGCGTATGGTGGATCGTTGTATTTGTCGTTCGTTACTTGGCTTTCAGGGGGTAACATAGAAACTGAGTAGCTCAATCGAGTGATATTTCATAGAAAGCTTTTCCTGCGAGAAGTCGCAGCCCAAGCGAGCTTAAGTGATGGCTCGTATTACTAAAAGGTCCTTAATCTTTATAAAGCTATTTTTACGGCGTTTATAAAAGAGGCTACCCAATATAGCTCTATCGTCGTCACCATCGAATGTCTTGTCACAGGACCGGCTCCTCCACTGAAGTCATTCCAACAGTAAAAGAAGAAATATTGATTGGAAAGAGTAGCAATCTTATATCGAAGCCACATTCAAGCCACGGACGTTGCGTGCAGCTGCTTGAAATGCTGATATGCAACAAAATTGATTAGATTTCTCACATGACAATGCATTATGTCGGAAGAACTTCCCATTTCCTGTGTATTATGGTCGGTAACTGATTGATTTTGACGAGGGGGATAAATACGAGTTCTTGAGAGTAGATGCTCTGTTTGATTGATACTACCAGAAGAACCTCACCCATGCTATATTGTTTCTCTACTATCTATCTGCTGGCCGCTATATCACTGACAACCTCATTGGATACCAGTCTCTATTTGCGAGTCTGATTCAGATAACATTTGAGAGACAGAGGCCTCTAGCTCTTCATTGATGTCGATTTCCCTTGCTGGAATCAAAAGCAGCATGTTGCTTCTGTTAGCAATGGCAGCTTGGAAACAAATTTGTGGCGTCAGAATATTTAAGTCGGTATCGTATACCCTTATCTGCTCTCTCTTCCTTATATACTTGACCGCTATTCGCTCGACCTCGGATGAATCAGAGGAATAAACATGGAGCCTGTGAGCGGTCCTCCAAACGCCTCGTTCTCGACCCTTGAACATGATCCAGACCAAATCTAGCGTTTGAGCCAGCGGAGTTGGATCCTGTAGAAGTCAGCTCGTTGAAATAAGTGATAGTGAGTATAACTTTACCTGCCGTCTCCTGGGTCTTGGTTCAGTTCTTTCTGCTGCTAGACCTCCCTCTGACTCAATTGTCTTCTCTTGTTCCCACCTCCCTTGTTCTCGCCTCTCGCGTCCCTGCCTCTCTATTCTCCGCTTGTCTAGATCTCGGTTCTCTTGTTCTTGTTCTCGGTTCTCCTGTTCTTGCTCCTCTTGGTCTATTTTTTCCTGCTCTCGTAGCTTCTGTGCAAAGCTTTCTTGTAACTTCGCCCACTCTAACCTCTCCTGGTCACGCTTCTCTTGCTCTAGTCTCGCCCACTCTAGCATCTCCTTCTCCAGCCTCTCTTGCTCTGTTATCGCCAGTCTTTCCTGCTCCAGCCTCTCCCACTCCAGCCTCTCCTGCCGCCCGCCGGATTCATCGCTTATAATAGCCTGTGAATCGCCAGCAGTGTCTGAGCTAGGGTCTTTTGCCACCAGTTCTCTTACCAATTGCTGATAATCATTTGTCTGAGCAGAAAAACCCTTCTGTTTTCCGCTGGCGTCGGCGAGAATGCTCTCTATATAAATTTTGTGTGACGCTTTCTGGTTCGCTCAGAGTCTTTGACACTCTTCTCTTGTTCACGTCGCCCTTGTGCTCGAGTCTCTTGGCGTCGCATTTCCTCCTCTTGCCTTTCTTGTTCTTGCCTCTCCTGCACTTGCTGACACTGCTTCTCTTGTTCTATATTGTCTTGTGCTTACAAAGCTAGGCCAACCTCTCCATTTTCTCTGTGATATGCCACCCATGCATCTGACCCCCTCATTCGCCTCGCTTTGAACGCCGCTTCCCTCGACCGGATGTGCTCCCGCGTTGGGACTGGCTGATAGAAGGATGAGGTCCTCATCATATATTCGTCCTCAGTAGAGGCCAAGGGACAAGTAGGCACACAGGTCTTGAGCTGCTGCCTGTCCACTATATAATAAGTAACCTAAATCTACTAACATATAAGTAAAACATTCTTTATTAACTAATATTAATACTAAGAAAAGTAAGTAATTTATTACTTTCTTTTTAAACTTTTACTAGTCTTAGTCTTAGGCCTATTTTACCTTTTTCTTTTACTCTTATCTATACTTTTAAATAAAAGCTACTTGTTTTTTAAGTTTTCTTTTTTTTATATATCTTCTTTATCTAACGCTTTCTTACTAGTCTAGTATCTTATTATATATAGCTTTAAAGTAGATACTATAGCTATTTTCTTAGGTTAGGTTAAGCTACTAGGCTTTTAAGCTAGTAGTAAGTAGTAGTCTTAGATATAGTAGTCTTTACTACTATATTATAAGTACTTTCTAATAGTATAGTATTAGCTAACGACCTTATCTAATACTTACTAGGCTTACTACTATTATTATAAGTAGATAGTAGTAACTCTTATTATCTAAGTTAGCTCTTAGTCTATATAGTTATTAGACTAATTATTCTATAAAGGTAAGGTATAGTAGGCCTTAGTCTAGTAACTTACTTACTTTTAGCTAGGCCGCTTAATAGCGTTAATATTATAGCTTATAGTCTATAAGAACTTATAAAAATCCTTATACTTCTTAAGTATATCTTAAGCTATAATTATTAAGTTAAGCTTATCTAATAAGCTACTCTTTAAAAAGGATTTCTTTACGTTATTATCTTAATTTAGGCCTTTAGCCTCTAATAATATATAATTAAAGTCTATAAGAAATACTATAAAACTCTAGTTCTTTTACTTTATCTTATATAGTTATGTCTTAACTAACTCTCTTAACTTTACGTTATTAAACGCTTACTAGAGTTACTTTAATAGCTAGATATTTATCTTGTCTTTAATAAATAAGCTATTTTATATATTTAATCTAACTTATAAAGTAATCTAGGCTAAGGCCTTACTTATTAACTAGCTATAAACGTACTAAAATCGTATAGTAGCTAAGTTATAAGTAAGGTCTATCTTAAGCTTAGCTTTAACTACTAAACGTTATATAATAAACTAGGCTTTAGTCTTATTAAAGGTAGTAGTATCTAAAAAGAGTCTTTTTTACCTTTCTTTATATAGCTTTACTAGCGGCCTTATAAGGGCGATAAGTAGTAGTATTAAGATAGTATATAATAGTATTAAGATAACTAAGATTAGTATTAAGATAGTTAAGACAATTAAGAGTATTACTATTATTATTATTGTTCTTACTACCTATACCTACTATATACAGAACCTCTATACTATATAAATCACGTAGTAAAACCGTACTAAAGCCAGGTAAAAACCTACGTACTACTACTTGTGTTTATACTATTATAGTACTACTAGGGCGTTAGGTCCTTATTACTACTCTACTAGAACTTAACCTTCTAGCCTAGTAATACTAAACATACTAACAAGACGCTAGTAAGGCGTTAGTAAGGCGCCGGCTACTAGCTAGGGCTACTCTCTCTTCTATAACTCCTTTACTAGGTAGCGCTTAGCTAGACAGAACTATAGGAATTAGCTAGTAGATAGTAGCTAATAGATTAGTATATAAGTACTCTTACCTTTCTCTATTACTACTATAAAGTCGTAGAACGTCTATAGCGCTCTTAAGTAGAGCGCTTACTATAAGGCCTACTACTATTAATCTAGCTACTAGTAGTTAAGGACTAGGTAAGCTACTATCTCTAAGGCCTTACTATAAGGGTACTAGAAGGTCGCTACCTCTAGTACTCTACGCTTAAAAAAGAAAGCCTAGAGTCTAACTTTACTAGTATAGATCTATATTAAAAGAGAGCTCTTATACTTATAAAAGAGTAAGTACTTCTTAAAGGTATCTACTAAGAGGACAGGTAGTGTAGCTAGGGCGGCGCCTTAGTAGTGTACTAGTAAGCTATCGTATTAAGACTATTATACCTTTTAGTTCCTTTATAAGGTCTTCTTTAAGGAAGAGTCCCTATACTAGTCCTTTACTTATACGGCTTAGCCTACCTTATACTTAAGTAACGTATAAGGTAGTACTATAGTAGCGCTATAGTAGTGTTTCTAGCGTTATTAAAGACAGGCCGTTACCTTATTATAGATAGACTATATAAGTTCTCTCTTACTTATACATTTAAGACGTTATTTAAAGTCTACTACTTACTTGTTAAGGTAAAGGTTAAGTAAGGGCGTAGCTATTTTAGACTTAAGGAACTAGACAGGCGTTGCCTAGTACGCCTTTACAATAATGTAAAGGTACTATAACTACTTTATAGTAAGGTCTTTTACGATCTCCTTAGCTTACTACCTAAAAGGGTAGTACTAGACCCTTACGCTATATACTATAGTACTCTAGATTACTTTTGTATAGATCTCTCTTACGTATAGTAGGCTATATCCTTATATAGACATAGCGAGCCTTATAAGCGTAAACTACTAAGTAGTAAACTTTTGTTTAATAGTATTAAGGTAGCCCTTTTATCTAAGCTTTTAGTCTAACTAAACTCTTAGAAAGCACGCCTCTTAGACTAAGGGTATAACCTAGTTGTTAAGGTAGACAGGCGTCGTTAGTATAGTATAAGTATAAGTAAAGTAAAAGAGCTTACTCTTTTCTAAAGTAAACTTTATCTTTCTTATACGCGACTACTAGCTATATGTCTACTACGCCTCTTTAAGGTACTAGTGTATCTTTATTGTGTCCTTACTAAAAGCTAAGAGGTTAAGGTCGTTAGTAAACCTTACTATAATAAGGCCTATATAACCTTATAGTAGTGTATATAAGCTAGTAGTATAAAAGAGAAAGAGAATAAAAGAGAAGAGCAAACCTTATAGTACCTTTATAGTAACTTCTTAGGGCGGCGCTACCTCCTTATTAAAGAAGAGACTAGCTGTCTAATTAGTAAGAAAGCTATGTACTTACTATATAGCCTATATAAAGAACCTTAGGTACTAGAGAGTATAAAGAAGGCGTATATAGTTTACTATATTAAAGGCGCCTTTAATGTTAAGTTAAAGAAAGGACGTTATAGCCTTATAGCTTTACGCTATATATATAGCGTTAACTACTATTTTGACTATAAGGTCTGTTAAGCGCTATAGCTAGTTCTTTATCTATATTTCTAAAAAGAGCCTTTACGACTCTATAGCTTTAGTAAAGCACTAGCTAATTACTAACTTAATTACTTTACTTATTACGTTTAAGAGTAATATTAGCCTATAGGCCCTAGCGGTTTATTACTACTTAAGGGTCTTTTTAGGCTTATGTAGTACTACTACTTTTACTACTTTAAACTACATAAGGAAGTGCCTTAGCTAGAGGCTTATAGTTACTATTACTATAAGGAGCTTAGCTAAAGGGCGCCTATATACCTTAAGAAAGCTAGTAAGTAGTAGGTTAGGGCCTAGCGCCTTTTAGGTACTTGTCTTTTAGAGAACGTTAGTAATATCTGCCTTTATTATAGCGTCGTTAATAGTAAACCGTTAGTACTACTTGTCTTAGAGGTCTAGAACAACGTTACTAAGATTAGCTATTAATTCTAAAAAGAACTGTTAGCCTAATACTATTACTTTGTTATAATAGCTTATAGCTAGTACTTTCTTATTAGCGCCCTAAAGAGGCAGGAGTAAGGCCGGTTTTAAGGGCATATAGCTATAGAGCCTAGCCTATCTCTTAAGACTCTATAGTTTCTGTTAGTCCTTTAAGGTAGTAGTAAAGGCACTATACTAGCTCTTAGTTTTTACGTCTTGTATTATATAGAGTTAATAGGTACTAGCCTACTAGAGGTCGCGCTAGTAGAGCTTAGTTAGGGTAGTAGCGTATTAATAGTACGCTACCTGTACTTACTAGACGGCCTTAAGGACCTTACTGTTCTACTAGGGCTTAGTACGCCTTTAGTTAACCTTCTTTCTTAAGGTAGATATGTCTATAATATATATAAGCTAAGAGGTAAGTAAGTTAACTATCTTATCGACCTTATAGAGTGTGTCTAGCGGCTCTAAGAAAAGGTAGAGCCTCTTAGCCTTAATTATTACTAGTTCTTTGTCTATTAGGGTCTAGCTTTATTCTAGTACCTTTACAGCTCTCTTCTAGTAATCTCTTACTTAAGTAATAACCTTAATTAGCTAGGTATAGTAGTTAGATCCCTTATACCCTAGGTTACCTTAATAAGTATACTAGAGCGTCGCTATAACCTACGCGTAGTTAATCGTTAAGTCTCGTTCGTTATGTCGCTACTATATTAGCTCTCTCTAGAGTGTGTATAGTAAGAGCTACTACCTACAGGGACAATTAAGAGTAGTAAATCTATATATTAAGCTATCTAGGCTTAAAGCTATTATATTACTAGCTTTAGCTACTTTACTTTATACTCTAGTTACTCTCTTTAACCCTAGTTAGTAAGTAGTTACTTATAGCTCTTTTAGCCTTTAGATAAGCTACTTAAGAAGGTTTAGAAACTTATTATAAGGTAGTCTTAATCTATCTTATTATTACAGTCGTATAATAGATAAAGGTACGTGCTTATAAGGTAGGCACGCTAGATATAAGAATACATGTAAATAGACTAGTAGAAAAGAGAAATACTACCTATCTTTTACTAAAACTATTAAATACTACTTATATAGTAACAAAGTAGTAGTAATACCCTTAAAACTAGCTTCTTTAGATAAACAAGTACTAGCACGTTGTTAACGTTGTACTAGTAGCTTTAGCTATACTAATAGACAAGAGACCTTTATATAAACAAGACTTATAATTATTAGATAGTATATATTATTATTAAGGATTATTATTAAATTACTAAATTAGAATACAATTAGTAAGGATTATCTAGACACGCTATAACACTATTATATATATAGAATAATAGCGCTAATTTAACACTATTAAGTTAAAATTATAGAATAAGACTATACTATAGTTAGTAAAGAAACGGTTCTTCTTACTTAGTAAATTAAAAAGTTTATAAAAGTAAGTAAGTCCTTTATAAAGTAAGTACTAGTATTAATATAGTAGATCGTTAATTATATCTTTAAGTAAGTAAAGGATTTAAATATAGTATACTTAAATAAGTAGGTTATTAACAGACCTATACTACACTAAGTAATTAAGTACTTTAATAACGTAATAGTAAACGTTATAGTAAAGCTAAACATTAAATACTAGAGTAGTGTATTAGTTTTATTATAAGCCTATTTAAAAGAACCTCTTCTAAGGATTAATAAGAATAATACTATATACTAAGATAATATAGTATTAGGTATAATTTCCTTAGCCTCTTTTCTTCTAGCCTCTGCTAGAGGGTTAGTAAGGGCTAAGAGAAAAGGGGCTAAGGGAATTATACTTTATTATAAAAAGAACGTTACTAAGTATAATAATTATAGACGTTATCTTTTAACGCCTTCTTATATTAGTATATAAAGTTTAAAAACAGTATTTTAATATAGTAAAGATAGTAACCTTAAGAAAGTAACTACTTTATACTAATAGGCTCTTACTACTATATATATAGTAGGCGTACTACTAACCTTAAGTAAAGGTTAGTAAGAGATAGTACTAATATAAGATAGTATATATACTACTTTATAATATAGGTCTACTCTAGTAACTAACTAATAAGGTAGTAACATCTTTTATAGTACTATCTTCTCTCTAGTTAGTTATAATAAGCCCTTTCTCTTTTCTTTTCTTATCTTTATCTTTATCTTTTTCTTTTTCTTTTTTTTTCTTTTTACTAGCCTTACTAACTCTCTTTTCTTTCTCTTCTTTCTTATCTTTTTTAGTATCTTCTTTCTTAGACTCTTTAGTACCCTTTCTTTAGGCTTAGACTAGTATATCTCTTACTAACTTATTAAAATAGTCTAGGTTATTATTATTATTAATATTATTCTTATTTTTATCTCTTTCTTTATCTTTATCTTTATCTTTACCTTTATCTTTCTCTTCTTTTTCTTTTTTTACTTTACGTACTATAACTACTACTTCTTACTTAAGAAAGGTAGTGTACTTTATATAGATAGACTAGATAAGGGAAATTAATAAAGAAGTATCTTAAGAAAGTAGTAAAGCCTTAGTCTTATAAGTATATATACCCTTAGCTAGGCCTTTCTTTTTTTTCTTTCTTTACTTTATCTTTGTCTTTATCTTAGTTATTACTATTATTATTATTATTATTGTTCTTACTACTTATGCCTATTACATACAGAACCTCTATACTACATAAATCACGTAGTAAAACCGTACTAAAGCTAGGTAAAAACCTACGTACTATTACTTATGTTTACACTATTATAGCGCTACTAAAGCGCTAGGTCCTTATTACTACTCTACTAGAACTTAACCTTCTAGCCTAGTAATACTAAACATAACGCTAGTAAGGCACTAGTAGGGCGCTAGCTACTAGCTAGGGCTACTCCCTCTCTTATAACTCCTCTACTAGGTAGTACTTAGCTAGACAGAACTATAAGAATCGGCTAGTAGATAGTAGCTAATAGATTAGTATATAAGCGCTCTTACCTTTCTCTATTACTACTATAAAGTCGCGGAACGTCTATAGTACTCTTAAGTAAAGCGCTTACTATAAGGCTTACTACTATTAATCTAGCTACTAGTAGTTAAGGACTAGGTAAGCTACTGTCTCTAGGGCTTTACTATAAGGGTACTAAGGAGTCGCTACCTCTAGTACTTTATACTTAAAAAGGAAAGCCTAGAGTCTAACTTTACTAGTATAGATCTATATTAAAAAAGAGCTCTTATACTTATAAAGAAGTAAGTACTTCTTAAGGGTATCTACTAAGAGGGCAGGTAGTACGGCTAGGGCGGCGCTTTAGTAGTGTACTAGTAAGCTATTGTATTAAGACTATTATACCTTCTAGTTCCTTTATAAGGTCTCTTTTAAGAAAGAGTCCTTATACTAGTCCTTTACTTACGCGGCTTAGCCTACCTTATACTTAAGTAATATATAAGGTAGTACTATAGTAGTACTATAGTAGCGTCTCTAGTGTTATTAAAGATAAGTTACTACTTTATTATAAATAGACTATATAAGTTTACCTTTACTTATATATTTAAGACGTTATTTAAAGTCTATTACTTACTTATTAAGGTAAAGGTTAAGTAAGGGCGTAGTTATTTTAGACTTAAAGAACTAGACAGGTATTACTTAGTACGCCCTTATAATAACGTAGAAGTACTATAACTACTTTATAGTAAGGTCTTTTACGATCTCCTTAGCTTACTACCTAGAGAGGTAGTACTAGACCCTTACGCTATATACTATAGTACTTTAGATTACTTTTGTATAGATCTCCCTTACGCGTAACAGGCTATATCTTTACGCGGACGCGGTAAGCCTTATAAGCGCGAACTACTAGGTAACAAACTTTTGTTTAATAGCGTTAAGGTAGCCCTTTTATCTAAGCTTCTAATCTATCTAAACTCTTAGAAAGCGCGCCTCTTAGACTAGGGGTATAACCTAGCTATTAAGGTAGACAAGTATCGTTAGTATAGTATAGGTATAAGTAAAGTAAAAGAGCTTACTCTTTTTTAAGGTAAACTCTATCTCCTTTATACACGACTACTAGCTATATATTTACTACGCCCCTTTAAGGTACTAGCGTATCTTTATCGTGTCTTTACTAAAAGCTAAGAGGTTAAGGTCGTTAGTAAACCTTACTATAATAAGGCCTATATAACCTTATAGTAGTGTATATAAGCTAGTAGTATAAAGGAAAAAGAAGATAAGAGAGAAGAGTAAACCTTATAGTACCCTTATAGTAACTTCTTAAGGTAGTACTACTTCTTTATTAAAGAAGAGACTAGCTGTCTAATTAGTAAGAAAGCTATATACTTACTATATAGCTTATATAAGGAACCTTAGGTACTAGAGAGTATAGAGAAGGTGTATATAGTTTACTATATTAAAGGCGCCTCTAATATTAAGTTAGAGAAAGGACGCTATAGCCTTATAGCTTTACGCTATATATATAGTATTAACTACTATTTTAACTATAAGGTCTATTAAGTGCTATAGCTGGTTCCTTATCTACATTTCTAAGAAGAGCCCTTACGACTTTATAGTGTTAGTAAAGCGCTAACTAATTACTAACTTAATTACTTTACTTATTATGTTTAAGAGTAATATTAGCCTATAGGCCCTAGCGGTTTATTACTACTTAAGGGTCTTTCTAGGCTTACGTAGTACTACTACCTTTACTACTTTAAATTACGTAAGGAAGTACCTTAGCTAGAGGCTTATAGTCGCTATTAGTATAAGGAGCTTAGCTAAGGGGCGCCTATATACCTTAAGGAAGCTAGTAAGTAGTAGGTTAAGGCCTAGTGCCTTTTAAGTACCTGTCTTTTAAAAAACGTTAGTAATATCTACCTCTATTATAGTGTTATTAATAGTAAACTATTAGTACTACTTGTCTTAAAGGTCTAGAATAACGTTACTAAGATTAGCTATTAATTTTAAAAAGAACTGTTAGCCTAACACTATTACTTTATTATAGTAGCTTATAGCTAGTACCTCCTTGTTAGTAGCCTATAGAGGTAAGAGTAAGGCTAGTTCTAGAGACATATAGCTATAAAGCCTAGCCTACCTCTTAAGACTCTAGAGTTTTTATTAGTCCTTTAAAGTAATAGTAAGGGCGTTATACTAGCTCTTAGTTTTTATATCTTAGATCGTATAGAGTTAATAGGTACTAGCTTACTAGAGGTCGCGCTAGTAAAGCTTAGTTAGGGTAGTAGCGTATTAATAACGTACTACCTATACTTACTAGATAGCCTTAAGGACCTTACTGTTCTACTAGGGCTTAGTACGCCCTTAGTTAACCTTCTTTCTTAAGGTAGATATATCTATAATACGTATAAGCTAAGAGGTAAGTAAGTTAACTACCTTATTAACCTTATAAGGTATGTCTAGTAGCCTTAAAGAGAGGTAGAGCCTTCTAGCCTTAATCGTTACTAGTTCTTAGTCTATTAGGGTCTAGCTCTATCCTAGTGTCTTTATAGCTCTCTCTTAGCGATCCCTTACTTAAGTAATAACCTTAATTAGCTAAGTATAGTAGTCGGATCCTTTATACCCTAGGTTACCTTAATAAGTATACTAGAGCGTCGCTATAACCTACACGTAGTTAATCGTTAAGTCTTGTTTATTATGTTACTACTATATTAGCTCTTTTTAAGGTATATATAGTAAGAGCTACTACTTATAGGCTAGATAGAGAAAGGTCTCTAATTTAGAGGTAGTCTTACTAGCTTTGTCTTAGAGTAGGTAATAGAGGTTTATGTTACTTATAATAATCTATAGCCTCTCTAAGTCCTTTTTAGTAAGCCGCTAGAGAGGGCTAGCCTAGCCTAAGGAGTTAGGAATTAGTAAGTATATTAACTAGATAGTAACGCCTTATAAAGTAACGTAACACTAGTTAACGCCTGTCTTTATTACTTAAGTAAGAGGTAGGTACTACTTATAAATATAGATAGCTACTCTATCTTTACCTTTATAGACCTACTAGTATCTTACTTATACTAGGTAGTAAACTGTCTTTATCTAAGTATTATACTATAGCTCTTAAATTACTATAACGTTAACTTTACGGCTATCGTAAAGTACTATTAAGGTAAGGCTATTCCTTCTTATAGTATTCTAGTATACTATTATTAATTTTATTACTAAGAGTCTAGGATCTACGATTCTTACGTTATAAAGGGGTCGCTAGACCCCTAGTTAGCTCCCTAGCTTAATATCTCTATAATGTCGTAGCTCTAGACTATTATAGTGTCTAGTACCCTAATAAAAGGACGCTCTTACCTTACTAGAGTCTTTACTATAGGCTTCTTACTATTACCTGTCTATAGTCTCTTAAGTACTATAATCTAGTAGCTATCGTTACTATCTTATAAGGACGCTAGCGTAACGCTAAGTACCTAGCTAGTAAAGCTACTCTTAGATACCTTAAACTATCTAGGCCTTTATTAATACGTAGTATATACCTACTCCTTTACCTTAAAGGCCTTAAGACACTAATAGTCTTATACTATATATAGTCTACTATAGTTAATATATCTCTTTCTACTATTAAGTTAAGGGTACTTCTCTTTACCCTAAGGGTACGCTACTCTTATATAGTAGTTATACTAGGCCTAGTTCTTATAGAACCGCCTAATATAACTAAACTAGTAGTATTAAAAGTATCTTTAGATTTATAGGTTAGCTAAATATAGCTTATAGTTAAAGATCTAGGCTTACTAGATTAACCCTTATTTGTATAAGCACGTCGTTACGTTAGCGCTCTAAAGGTATAGTACTATTGTTATAAACTTTACTATAAGGGCCCTAATAGGTTTAACTTTAACCTTTATAATATATAGCGTATAGGCTTAGATCTTTACTAGTAACGCTCTTAGCTCTACCTATATAATCTACTCTACTAGTAGGCCCTTTATAATTACTATAAACTTACTCTTATAGAGCTAAGCTATAGGCCTAAACGCTCTTTATACCTAGCCCTAATCTTAGATTACGTTCTTTAGTATAGTCTCTTTAAACGTAAGGATAGTATTACTACTAAGTAGCTAGTAGGTCGCTACTACCTTAGCGCCCTTAATTACTATATTAGCTACTATTACTACTTTAATAGCGCTATAACGTACTAGGTCTTTTGTCTGTCTGTCTGCCCTAATCCTTAGCTCCTTAATTCGCCTTTTTAGTATAACCTATACTCTTATTAGGCGCTAGCTTACTACTAACGCGTAAGTAGCCTAAGGGGCTACTATTACTACTAGCCTTTAGAAGGCCTTTTCTAATATTGTTCTTAATTATCTAATTATTACTAGGTTATTGTTAGAGAAGGACTTAAGGGTATATAAGAGAGTCGTTATATTTATAGCTCTTGTCTTTACTACTATTGTTATTATAGTAATAAGGTTGTATAAGAGATATAACGCCTTTTTCTTCTTGTCTAGTATTATATAGGCTTTAATTCTTTATATGATTTTCTCTATCTTATTGTCCTTATTACCCTTACTACTCTCTAGCTCCTTACTATAGCTCTTAGTTAAGGTATAAGAGTACTAGCTCTTACTTATAAGTAAGTAGTGTTAGCTTTGTTTAAGTCTAGTATACTTACTATCTGTTACTATAAGCTTGCCTATAGTCTACTAGTACTCTAGAGAGTATCTAAAGGTACTAATTTTAATTCTATCGTTTGTTTTTAAGTTTTTAAGGTAGTAAGAGGCGTAGACAACTGTCTTATTATTACTATTATTATTATCTATACTACTATCTTTATTATTATTATTATCTTTAGCTTTAGCTTTAGCTTTAACTTTAGCTAGGCTACTACCTTTTCTAGTACTACTCTTAATCTTAGCTTAGCTAGTATCCTTTTTTTTTCCTTTCTTTACTTAATAAAAGTAAGAAGTAAAGAGGGATATAGGTTAGCTATAGATATAGGCTACTTAGTAGGCTTTAGCTATATAAGGTAAGAGCGTTAGTCTATAAGTAAGTAATAAGAGGTACTAATAATAAGGAATATATAAACCTTTAATAAAGTATTTAGACTAATCTAAGTAAAACCTTTTTTTAGCTCTTTAAAGATAGATCTATAAGTACTAAACATTATAAAAGGGCTAGGTAAAAACACTCTAGACCTACTTTAGAAAAGAGTAAAAAGGTTATTATTATTAACATTATATTAAAAAAACGGTTGTCTATACCTCTTACTACCTTAAAAACTTAAAAATAAATAATAAAATTAAAATTAGTACCTTTAGATACTCTCTAAAGTACTAGTAGACTATAGATAAGCCTATAGTAACAGATAGTAAGTATACTAGACTTAAACAAAGCTAATACTACTTACTTATAAGTAGAAGCTAGTACTCTTATACCTTAACTAAGAGCTATAGTAAGGAGCTAAAGAGTAGTAAGAGTAATAAAGATAATAAGATAAAGAAAATTATATAAAGGATTAAAGCCTATATAATACTAGGTAAGAAGAAGAAGATATTACGTCTCTTATATAACCTTATTACTATAATAATAATAGTAGTAAAGATAAGAGCTATAAATATAACGACTTTCTTACGTATCTTTAGGTCTTTTTCTAATAATAACCTAGTAATAATTAGATAATTAAGAATAATATTAGAAGAGGCCTTTTAGAGGCTAGTAGTAATAATAGCCCTTTAGGCTACTTACGCGTTAGTAGTAAGCTAGTGCCTAATAAGAGTATAGGTTATACTAGAGAAGTAGATTAAAGAGCTAAGAATTAGAGTAGATAGATAAACAAAAGACCTAGTATATTATAGTGTTATTAAAGTAGTAATAGTAGCTAATATAGTAATTAGAGGTACTAAGGTAGTAGTAACCTACTAGCTACCTAGTAGTAATACTATCCTTATGTTTAAAGAGGCTATACTAAAGAACGTAATCTAAGATTAAGGCTAAGTATAAAGGGCGTTTAGGCTTATAGCCTAGCTTTATAAGAGTAAGTTTATAGTAATTATAAAGGGCTTACTAGTAGAACAGATTATATAAGTAAAGCTAAGAGCGTTACTAGTAAAGATCTAAGTCTATATACTATATATTATAAAGGTTAAAGTTAAACTTATTAAGGCCTTTATAGTAAAGTTTATAATAGTAGTACTATACCTTTAGAGTACTAATATAGTAATATACTTATATAAACAAGGGTTAATCTAGTAAGCCTAGATCTTTAACTATAAACTATATTTAGCTAACCTACAAATCTAAAGATACTTTTAGTACTACTAGTTTAGCTATATTAAGTAGTTTTATAAGAACTAGGCCTAGTATAGCTACTATATAAGAGTAGTGTACCTTTAAGGTAAAGAAGAGTACCCTTAGCTTAATAATAAAAAGAGATATATTAACTATAGTAGACTATATATAACGTAAGACTATTAGTATCTTAAGGCCCTTAAGGTAAAAGAGTAAGTATATACTATATATTAATAAAGGCCTAGATAGTTTAAGGTATCTAAGAGTAGCTTTACTAGCTAAGTACTTAGTATTACGCTAGCGTCCTTATAAGATAGTAATAATAGCTACTAGATTATAGTACTTAAGAGACTATAGACAAGTAATAGTAAGAAGCCTATAGTAAAGACTCTAGTAAGGTAAGGGCGCCCTCTTATTAAGGTACTAGATATAGTAATAGTCTAGAGCTATAACATTATAGAGATATTAAGCTAAAGAGCTAGCTAAGGGTCTAGCGACCCTTTTATAACGTAAGACTTATAGATCCTAGACTCTTAGTAATAAAATTAATAATAGTATACTAAAATACTATAAGAAAGAATAGCCTTACCTTAATAGTACTTTATAATAGCTATAAAGTTAACGTTATAGTAATTTAGAAGTTATAGTATAATACTTAGATAAAGACAGTCTACTACTTAGTATAAGTAAAGTACTAGTAAGTCTATAAGAGTAAAGGTAAAGTAGTTATTTACGTTTATAAGTAGTACTTACCTTTTACTTAAGTAGTAAAGATAAGTGTTAACTAGTATTACGTTACTTTATAAGGTATTACTATCTAGTTAATATACTTACTAATTCCTAACTTTCTAGGCTAGGCTAGCCCTCTCTAGTAGCTTACTAAGAAAGGCCTAGAGAGGCTATAGATTATTATAAGTAATATAAACCTTTATTACTTACTTTAAGATAAAGCTAGTAAGACTACCCTTAAATTAGAGACCCTTTTCTATCTAGCCTATAAGTAACAGCTCTTACTATATATACCTTAAGAAGAGCTAATATAGTAGTAACATAATAAACAAGACTTAATAATTAACTATATATAAGTTATAGTAATACTCTAGTATACTTATTAAGGTAACCTAAGGTATAAGAAATCTAACTACTATACCTAGCTAATTAAGGTTACTACCTAAGTAAAGGATTACTAAGAGAGAGCTATAAAGGTACTAAGATAGAGCTAGACCTTAATAGACTAAGAACTAGTAATAATTAAGGCTAAGAGGCTTTACCTCTTCTTAAAACCGCTAGATATACTTTATAAGGTCGATAAGGTAGTTAACTTACTTACCTTTTAGCTTATACGTATTATAGATATATTTACTTTAAGAAAGAAGGTTAACTAAGGGCGTACTAAGCCTTAGTAGAATAGTAAGGTCCTTAAGGCTGTCTAGTAAGTATAGGTAACGTACTATTAATACGCTACTACCTTAACTAAGCTCTACTAGCGCGACCTCTAGTAGGCTAGTACTTATTAACTCTATATAATCTAAGATATAAAAACTAGAAGCTAGTATAGTACCTTTACTACTACCTTAAAGGACTAATAAAAACTCTAGAGTCTTAAGAGGTAGGCTAGGCTTTATAGCTATATACTTTTAGAACCGGCCTTACTCTTACCTTTATAAGGCGCTAATAAGAAAGTACTAGCTATAAGCTACTATAATAAAGTAATAATGTTAAGCTAGTAGTTCTTTTTAGAATTAATAGCTAATCTTAGTAACGTTATTCTAGACCTTTAAGACAAGTAGTACTAATAGTTTACTATTAATAACACTATAATAAAGGTAGATATTACTAACGTTCTCTAAAAGACAAGTACCTAAAAGGTACTAGGCCCTAACCTACTACTTACTAGCTTTCTTAAGGTATATAAGTACCCTTTAGCTAAGCTTCTTATACTAATAGTAACTATAAGCCTCTAGTTAAGGTACTTTCTTATATAGTTTAAAGTAGTAAAAGTAGTAGTACTATATAAGCCTAGAAAGACCCTTAAATAGTAACAAACTATAAGGGCCTATAGGCTAATATTACTCTTAAATATAATAGGTAAAGTAATTAAGTTAGTAATTAGCTAGTACTTTACTAACGCTATAAAGTCGTAAGGGCTTCTCTTAAAGATATAGATAAGGAACTAGCTATAACGCTTAATAGACCTTATAGTTAAAATAGTAGTTAACGCTATATATATAGTATAAAGCTATAAGGCTATAACGTTCTTTCTCTAACTTAATATTAAAGGCGCCTTTAATATAGTAAACTATATACGCCTTCTCTATACTCTCTAGTACCTAAGGTTTCTTATATAGGCTATATAGTAAGTATATAGCTTTCTTACTAATTAGACAGCTAGTCTCTTTTTTAATAAAGAGGTAGTACTACCTTAAGAGGTTACTATAAAAGTACTATAAGGCTTACTCTTCTTTCTTATCTTCTTTCTCTTTTATACTATAAGCTTATATACGTTACTATAAGGTTATATAAGCCTTATTATAGTAGGGTTTACTAACAACCTTAATCTCTTAGCTTTTAGTAAAGACATAATAGAGATACGTTAGTACCTTAAAAAGGCGTAGTAAATATATAGCTAGTAGTTATATATAAGAGAAATAAAGTTTACCTTTAAGAAAAGTAAGCTTTTTTACCTTACTTACGTTTATACTATACTAATAACGCCTGTCTACCTTAACGGCTAGGTTATACCTTTAGTCTAAGAGGCTTACTTTTTAAGGGTTTAGATAGATTAGAAGCTTAGATAAAAGGGCTACCTTAACACTATTAAACAAAAGTTTACTACTTAGTAGTTTATACTTATAAGGCTTACTATATCTATATAAGGATATAGCCTACTATATATAAGAAAGATCTATATAAAAGTAATCTAAAGTACTATAGTATATAGTATAAGGGTCTAGTACTATCCTTTTAAGTAGTAAGCTAAAGAGATTATAAAAGACCTTACTATAAAGTAGTTATAGTACCTTTACGTTATTATAAGGGCGTACTAAGTAACTCTTATCTAGTTCTTTAAGTCTAAAATAGTTACGCTCTTACTTAACCTTTACTTTAATAAGTAAGTAGTAGACTTTAAATAACGTCTTAAATATATAAGTAAAGACAAACTTATATAGTCTATCTATAATAAAGTAGTAACCTGTCTTTAATAATACTAGAGACGCTATTATAGCGCTACTATAACGCTACCTTATACGTTACTTAAGTATAAGGTAAGCTAAGCTACGTAAGTAAAGGACTAGTATAAGGACTCTCTTTTAAAAGAGACCTTATAAAAGAACTAAAAGGTATAATAGTCTTAATATAATAGCTTACTAGTATACTACTAAAGCGCCGCCCTAGCCGCGCTACTTACCTTCTTAATAAATACCCTTAAGAAGTACTTACTCTTTTATAAGTATAAGAGCTCTCTTTTAATATAGATCTATACTAGTAAAGTTAGACTTTAGGCTTTTCTTTTTAAGTATAAAGTACTAGAAGTAGTAACTTTCTAGTACCCTTATAGTAAGGCCTTAAAGATAGCGGCTTACCTAGTCCTTAACTACTAGTAGCTAGACTAATAGTAGTAGGCCTTATAGTAAGTACTCTACTTAAGAGTACTATAAACGTTCTATAACTTTATAATAGTAATAAAAAAAGGTAAGAGTACTTATATACTAATCTATTAGCTACTATCTACTAGCTAATTCTTATAGTTCTGTCTAGCTAAGTACTACTTAGTAAAGAAGTTATAAAAAAAAGAGTAGCCCTAGCTAGTAGCCGGCGCCTTACTAGTACTTTACTAGTGTCTTATTAGTATATTTAGTATTACTAGGCTAAAAGGTTAAGTTCTAGTAAGGTAGTAATAAGAACCTAGTACTTTAGTAGTACTATAATTGTTATAGTAGAGTAAGCGACGCTGTGTACAGCGTACAAGACACAGTATATAGTGTACAAGAAGGAAGGAGCGTAGCGCGCACAGCCTGTAAATAGCCTATATCTAAAGAAACAGGACAATTATAGAATTTAATATACATAAAACGCGCTATAAGTAGCGATTCTACGTAATAACTATAACATCTAGTAGTAATACTACTAAGACTAGCCCTGTCGCTTAACAGGTACACTAGTAACACTACGTGTCGTACTAGTAGCCTAGCTACACTATTAGGGATTAAGGACCTCTGTTAAATCAAATCATTAAGTAATACGTAATTACTAAACCTATATTAAGGGTCGATTATTATTAGGGATTATTATAGGATTACTAAACTAGTTAAACAATACAATCATTAGGTTATTAAGACAATTAAGTAATCGTTAACACACGCTAGACGTCTATAGTACTATTATATATACTACTAATTTATTAAATTAGAACTATATATTAGTATACTATAGTTAGTAAAGAGACCGTCCTCCTTACTAGACAAATTAGGAAGTTTATAAAGGTAAGCGACTCCTTTATAAAACAAGTCCTAGCCTTAACACAACAAATCGTTAATTATATTCTTAAATCTATTAAAGACGACTTAACAGTAGTATATCCTAACAAGTAGGTAATAAACAGACTAATACTACACTAAGTAGTTAAGTATTTTAACAACGTAACAATAAACATTATAGTAGAATTAAACATTAAGCACTATAGTAGTACGTTAATAACAGCTTTATTACAAGCCTAGTTAAGAGAACCCCTTCTAAGAATTAGGAAAGAGATAGCTTTAGGTTTAGGAACAAATAAAGGTATACTACTAGCTAGCCTGTTAAAGGCAGATTAGAAGGCAATCACTTAACGAGTTACACGTCTTCTTAGTAAACAGAATCAAAGAGGTAATAATAACAATAACGATAGAGGGGCCCTTACTACTAACGCTAATATTAATACCTAACGTTTAACTACTAAAGTAATAAGATTGTTTAACCTATTATTTAACGGCAAGGGTACTAAGTTAGGTATCGTTTAATAAGAGAAGTATATAATATATATAAACGTTTACCTTTATATAGACCGACTTTAATACCTTATAAAGTAATACTTAGAGAAGGTAGTATAAGATATATAGACAACCTATTTATAAGGCAAGGCGTTACTATAGTACTCTATAGAGCTTATAGAACTTAAGAGAGAGTTTCTAATAGACGTAAGTATAGACAAGATCTTTAAAGAGATAAACTAACGCTTTTAAGAACAGCCTAAGGTTATACGCGTAGCGTTAAATACAAAAAGGTTTATAATAGTAGACTTATAAGACAGTAAGTCGATACGCGCTTTTTTAATGTAAATGTTCTGTCTAGTACGATTATTAGAAAGTAAATCGACCTTTTAGAACCTCTTGTTAGTATAGATAGCGCTTAATCTATAGATCTAGCTATACGTATCCTACCTTATAAAGAATACGTTAATTAAGAGATTTTATAAGAAGGTAGACTTAAAGATAGTAGCGTTAGTTAATTTTATAAGTAGAGTATAGTAGCTACTTATAAACTAGTATACAAATAGAGGCAGGCCTTTGTTTTGTTTATATAACTCTAGACCTATAGCCTTATACCCCTAGGCCTAGCGTTTATACTAGCCGTATTAGTACTTGTTATAGTAAGGTCTATAATAGCCTTAGTAGCTATAATAATCGTAAGTACTATAGCTTATATAGCGACTACTATTCTAGTCTAGCGGCTTGTACAGAAATAGGCAAAATTAAGACAACTCGTAAGGCAGATTTACTAAGAATAATAGCTTTAGTAAGGGCTAGAACAAGAATAATATAACTAACTATTAAAGTTAGACCTTATATTAGAATTAACCTCTTAGATAACGTAAACAGTTATAGATAACTATAAGAAACGCTTACGTAAAGAATAGTAACAAGTATTAATACTAACTATAACTAGCGTAGGCTTATTAGGCTATAGCTAAAGACGTACTAAAAGATAAGTATATAAGAGCTAAAGTATATTATACGTAAGATAATTTATAAGCTAATATAGTTAAGCCGCTACCTAGTTTTATAGAACAGGATTTTTTAAATATATATTATATATAAGAAGACAAGTTTTATAATAATCTAATTACAAACTTTACAAAAGTTAATTTTACTAAAGTAGATAGCCCTTAACACTAATACAAGAAGTATAAGAAACGATTTAAAAGTACTAACAAACTCTTTATATACCTTAAAAAGGCCTATAAGGTTACTTAAGTAAAGACAGGTAGTAGTAAGTCTATAGTAGTAGTAAACTCTATAGAGCCTATAGTAGTCTTAAATTTTATAAAAGTAATAGCGTCTTTAACGATCTCTATACTTAATAATAGTATAAGGTACGGCTTCTAATTATAGTACTACGTAATAATTAAGTTAGTATTTAGAAGTATAATAGTAAACTAAGTCTAAGGATACCTTAATATAAGATTAATACTAAGTATAGCTAGTAAAGTATAGCTATACAAATAGTATAGTAGTATCTAGGTTTAAATACAAGTAAAGCTAATTAGCGTTAGAAGAGTAAGTACTAATAAGATATAGTCTATAGAATATGTTATAGTAGACATGTTCTTACTAAGGACTAAGACTAGTAATACGGCCTAGGTAGTAATATTATACGAAATATACCTTATTAACACTCTTTTTATAAACCTTATTATTAGTATAGACATTATTAGCCTTAAATGTATTAATATTCTAGTATTAGACAAAAAGGTACTTATACACTTATATAGTATAATAATTAATATTAACGTCTTACTAAAAGAAAGACGCTAGATACTTATAGTAGCTAAAGAGGGCACTACTATCTTATCGCGTACTATAGTAACTATACTAGTAGTATACGACGTAAAGAAAAGTAGTTAGGACATACTGTTTAAACCTAGTAATTCTTAAGTTAGCTTGTTTACGTATCTTATAGACTAGTAGTTAACATTAGTTATAGTAAGAAACGACATAGATAAACTAGTCTAAGTCTAGAAAGACATAAAGCTTAGAGACCTTATTAAGTTTAATTATAAGGACTACTTTTAATTATTAGATAACATAGCTAACTTATAAGACCTTATATTACAAACACTATAGAGAGAGAGACTAAGACTTGTCCTAGACATAACTTCTATAAAAATAAAGTACTTGTATAGTATAACTATATACAGCCTCTTAGATTAAGTTAAATAGCTTTTCTAGTTAATAGATAAGTTCTTAGATAGCCTCTAAAACAATAAGGGATTTATTAATATACTTAAAGATTACTAGATAAAGGTAGAGCTTTAATAAGACTAGTAAGACAGAATGTTAGGTAAGGCTAAAGTATACTCTTTAAGAGTTAAGGATTATAAGGTACTAGAATCTATATTTAATAAGTTAATTAACTAAGGGCGCTTAGAAAAGACATTATATATAATACCTTTCTTTTACTTAGTGTTTATAGTTTAGCGTATAATACTAAATAGTAAACGTAAAGAAAGGGTAGTTATTAATATTAAAGGATTAAATTAGTTAGTCGTACTAGACGTTTACCTAATACTAACTTAAGAAGGTATCTTTTAAATAATTTAAGGCTATAGGTTTATTATAGTAATAGACGTATTAAGTTATTTTTACTAATAGAAGTATTATCTAAAGACTTATTACTACTTTATAGTCGTAACGTACATAGGTTAACATACCTTTAACTATACTCTTATAGGTTTTAAGAACACACTATTATATACTTAACGCTAAATTAACGTGTTAATAGCGCGACTAAGAGCTTTTATAAGAGTATTTGTAAATAACGTAGTAATAGTAAGTAAAACGCTTGCTAAGTATATTAAGTACTTATAGTAAGTCTTTATATGTTTTGTAAAGACAAACATTACGCTTAAAGGGCCGAAATACTTTATAGTATTCCCTTTAGCTACTATTCTAAGACAAAAGGTAGACGTATTTAGCCTATTAACTATAAAGAAACGATTAGTAGCTATTACAAAACTAACGTTCCTAGAGACACTATAATAGCTTAAACGATACCTTAGGATAGTAGGTTAGTTACGTAATAAAGTACCCTGATTTACGTAGATTATAGAACCCTTATAAGTACGTAAAACTAAGCTCTTTAAGAGAGTACTAGTAAAAAGAAGAGCCTACTAGACTTTTACTATAAAGAAGGCCTTTACGTATCTAACTAGAGTAGAGAGAGCTACGTTTACTAAGCTTTAAAAGGAGCTAACAAACCCTTAGGTCCTAATACACTTTAACGTAAAGAGACAGTTCTTTATTAACTTTAACGTCTTAAAACAAAGAGGTATTAGTATAGTAGTATACTATATATAAGGTAATCTAGTTCTATAAAAAGGTAAATACTTAGTAAAGACAAAAGTATAGCCTATAATGTTTTTATTATAAACTATATGTAGCCTAAAGACAAGATACTAGCCTACTAAGCTTAAAATGTATAAGGTAGTATAGATAGTATAGAAACTTATAAGGTTTATTAAGGGTTTAAAAGTATAGCTTATTATTATATTTATAGACTATAGCGCTCTATATAATATTTTAAAGTAATTAGATATTATAATAATAACGTTAATACAAAAGCTAAACTTACGGCTAGTACTAGCTAGTAAGTACCTATCTTAGTTTAACCTAGATGTACGTTATAAGCTAGGTAAAGCAAATATTATACTAGATATACTATTACGCCTATCTACTATAGCTAAAGATAAGGACAAGAGTAGTAGTAACAAACTAGGCAAGCTAGACACACTATTAGAGACCTACTACTATATAGTAACGTTAGTTAAGATAGACCTTACGTTTAAGAAATTAATTATAGATAGCTATAAGGCTAACCTAAAATTATTAAAAGTAGTTAATATAGTTATAAAGAACTTAAAGCTTAAGGATAACGTAGTATTTTTACCTTTTAATTATATAAAAGACAGCTTACTCTTTTATAAGAGTAGTAATAGCTACCTAAAGAGGCTATATATACTATAATTATATATTAAGAAAGTATTTATAATAGTATACAAGTATAGCTACCTTAAGTATAATAAGATATTAGAGATAATATCTACAAACTTTTATATCTTGTAATTATTAAAGTACTTATATACCTTTTTACGTTACTACCTAAAATGTCGAGTATATAAGACGACTAGGTATAAGCCTTATAGTGTACTATAACTAATCCTTATACTACCGGCCTTATTCTATATAATAACTATAGATTTTATAGTCGGCTTACCTTAGTTAAAAGAAGGGTTTAACGTACTTCTTAACTTAATAGACAAATTAATAAAGAAATTAGCGATAATACCT